CGAGCCGTCATGGGCCGGATAAGTAAGCATCTTTTGTGTTTTAAATTAATTAGTTAATGAGGTATTACAGGTTTAATTACATGTGTCTTGAGCCAAGGACGAAGTCCATGGCAGTTTCCGCGATCGCCTCCGCCATGTTGCCACCAGGCTCATGGCGGGGCGATCATGGGTTTTGGTCAATTGGCAGTGGCTCGGACCGTCATTAGTAATTAATTTGTCATAATAAGAATGTAAATTACATATTTTAAGCTCTGAAGCCCATACATGAGGCAATGGCGCTGCGATCAGTGGATGAGAGATGAGCTCCTCCACACGTGGATGCTCTATGCTCCTCCCCTGGTATTAATTAGTGTTTTTTAAATAATAAGTAATTAATTAGGGTTTAGGGTGCAATTAGGATTGGGTTTAGGAGTGCTTCGGGTTTGAGTTCGTGCATGAGGAGCATGACATTGTCATGAGCCATCCAATGCTGCATCAGCACTGGCGCATCATATGCACGGTGGCATGGGTGGAGGCCCCTGGCAAAAACATAAAACCCCCCCTAACCCCTGTAAACCCTATATAATTAACCCCACAACCATAACTATCCCTAAACCCTAAACCCTGCAGGTGAGCCTGGCATTGTTCCGGACCCATGAGTATGACAGCGATGAGTCTGGATGCTGCAGTAGTTCTTTTTTTTTAGATTAGGGTTTAAGGTTTAATTAGGGTTAATTAAACCCTCCTAAGTAAACCCTACTTAACCCCTACTTTAATTAACATAATTAAACCCTAAGCCCTAAACCCAGGCTGTATGATCCTCGCAATGATGAGATCAGCGATAAGCACATGGTCATGAGCGAGGTGACGCAGAACATGGAGTCCGCCATGAGGACAGCCTTCATAATTGAGAGTACTTAGAGCCCAAACCCCATAAGGCCCAATTAACCCCCCCCCCCTTTCAGGACGGAGATCTTTGAGCTGGCATCATGGGAGACTGTGTGGGGCGACATGAGAGGCAGCTCAGGGAATAATTTAAGTATCAATTTTCCATAATTTGTTACGGTTAATAGATTATTGAGAAATAAGTTATGGTAATTTATTAGTTAGCTAGTAATAAGATTCAGCCGAGGCAAGCATTGGCTGATCAAAAGCTGGCACGGCATGGCCCGTTCCCACCATGAGCCGGCCAAATTCAGAGCATGGGTTGAGACCCATGGGCCAGAGCCCAAAGCGATCATGCGGTCCTACCATGGGCATTTCATGCCCATTGAGGCGGAGGCATGAGCCCTCAGCCCGGCCATGAGTCCATGAGGAGATGGGCTCGTATATGAGCCATAAGGCTGTAGATCCCATGAGGAGATGGGCTTTTTTAAAAGCACCCATGACGCCAGCCATGAGCTGCATTAATTAGTTCAGTTAGGGATAAGATTAGTCTTTGGGTTTGTTTGGGGTTTAATTAAGGTTTAGGGTTTAGGATCAGGTTAAGCTCGGCATAGCGCCGCATGAGTAAGTAATCAATGCATGAAGCAGCATGGCATTTTTCATGGGTGCGATGAGGGGATGGCTTTCTGATCTTCGCATGAGAGCAGCGAAACACATGGGGAGGGTTGGGCCCTTACTTAAAGGATCATGGGACTTAGTAATTAACTAGGGTTATAATTAGGGTAATTAACTATACTTATAACCCCAGCTAGGGTACTTATAACCTTACTTACTAAGTCCCATGATCCTCCAAGTAGTTAATGCCAAAACTCCAAACCCCATACTGCCCTTATCCCTAAACCCTTTAACTACACCCTAGACCCTCAACCTTAAACCTTAATTAAACCCTTTTAACTTAACCCTAAACCCTAAAACCCTAAACCTTAAACCCTTCGAAATAAACCCTACACCCTAAAACCCTAAACCTTAAACCCTTCGAACTAAACCCTAAACCCCAAAACCCTAAACCTTAAAGCCTTCTAACCAATTAAACCCTAAAACCCTAAAACCCTAAAACCCTAAACCTGAAACCCTTGTAGCTAAACCCTAAACCCTAAATCCCTAAACCTTATATAAATCCTTGAAAATAACCCCTAAACCCTAAAAGCCCAAACCTGACACACTGCTGCGGGCATGAGCTGCATGAAGCCGCACAAATGCAGTGACTTAGATGAGCTGTGGGCATGAGCTGCATGACACCGCTTGCATGCAGTGCTTTCGATCAGCTGTGAGCATGACAAGCATTGTGGATGAGCTGTGGGCATGAGTTTTTGATAAAATGTGATTTTGAGCTTTAGGCATTTGTTTCATTAAGTTTCACATTGTGCCTTTTTCATGACATAGGTTTTCAAGTGAGTGTGCATCTGTATCACGCCATGGTGTGGAGCATCAGTCTTCGTGAGCAGGTGACATGCCACAACAGGTTTGCCATCCTGTCGCAACCAGATGAGGATGAAGATGAGCTCATTGCTTTGAACGACATGTTCTTCGACTGGGATGAGCTGGAGAACAGGTGGAATGAGATGAATGAGCCTTGGGAGCTTCATGATTTTTCCTTCATGGGGAGGTTCTCATGGTCTGATGAGTCAGAGAAGACTGGGGTTGCTCAGCATGTTTACCAGCACGAGCATGTCAACAGCATGAGCCGCAGCAGCAAGGGCATGAGAGAAGTGAAGAAGCATGCTGTTGTGAGAGACAAGAAAGCAGCATGCAGTGAGCCCATGCCTCAGATCATGCCAGCTCCCATTCGAGATGAGGGCTTGCGGCAGAGGCTGCATGAGAGCATTCTGAGCATGCAGTTGACAAGGCATTCGCAGTACCATGCGATTCGCAGCATCATGAGAAAGGCATTCAAGACGCATGCGAAAAAGGAGCGACGACTCAAGCGCCAGCATGAGCAATTGAAGACCTCTGCATTCTTCGATTGGGACGAGTTAGATGCTGCTGAAGACAATGAGCTGAGCAAGCGATCAAACTCATGGTTCGATTGGGATGAGCTGAGTTCTGCTGAAGCCATCAGCAAGGCCAGCATGGGGAAAGCATGTAAATGTGCCTGTGATGAACATGTTTTCCGTCTCTGATATAACTATTCTCCAATCCTCATTCCTTATATCTCTGATATTCTCCAATCGAAATTCCTTATATCTCTGATATATTCTCCAATCCTCATTCCTTATATCTCTGATATTCTCCAATCGAAATTCCTTATATCTCTGATATATTCTCCAATCCTCATTCCTTATATCTCGGATATTCTCCAATCGAAATTCTTTATATCTCTGATATATTCTCCAATCCTCATTCCTTATATCTCTGATATTCTCCAATCCTCATTCCTTATATCTCGGATATTCTTCAATCGAAAAATCCTTATTTCTCTGATATATTCTCTAACTCTCATTCCTTATATCTCTGATATTCTCCAATCGAAAGTCCTTCTATTCCTGATATATTCTCAAAGCCTCAGGCTTTCTAGGTCAAAACCAAGGGCTTGCAAATCCCTGGTCCCGGGCCGGACCCTGTTAATCGGGGGGGGGTTCCTGCTATTCTGGGGGGGGGCGGGGCCTGCAAAGGGGTAGTCTTGGAAAACTTGACAAACCTATTCTTTTTATATACGGTTTAATTAGGGAACTACCTGTTTCTGGCAGCAGAAGATATCACCCAAATCCCAGAAAATCCCAAGGCTAGGGATCTCTGACCCTTCCATCTCAAAGCTTCGGACTTTCTAGGTCAAAGCCAAGGGCCTGCAAATCCCTGGTCCCGGGCCGGACCCTGTTAATCGGGGGGGGTTTCCTGCTATTCTGGGGGGGGCGGGGCCTGCAAAGGGGTATAATATTTTATATTTACGGTTTAATTAGGGAACCACCTGTTTCTGGCAGCAGAAGATATCACCCAAATCCCAGGGATCCCAAGGCCAGGGATCTCTGACCCTTCCATCTCAAAGCTTCGGGCTTTCTAGGTCAAAGCCAAGGGCCTGCAAATCCCTGGTCCCCGGCCGGACCCTGTTAATCGGGGGGGGTTTCCTGCTATTCGGGGGGGGTCGGGGCCTGCAAAGGGGCAGCCTTGGAAAACTTGACAAACCTACTCTTTTATATACGGTTTAATTAGGGAACCACCTGTTTCTGGCAGCAGAAGATATCACCGAAATCCCACGGATCCACAGGCCAGGGATCTCTGACCCTTCCATCTCAAAGCTTCGGGCTTTCTAGGTCAAAGCCAAGGCCTTGCAAATCCCTGGTCCCGGGCCGGACCCTGTTAATCGGGGGGGGTTTCCTGCTATTCTGGGGGGGCCGGGGCCTGCAAAGGGGTAGCCTCAGGATCCCAAGGCCAGGGATCTCTGACCCTTCCATCTCAAAGCTTCGGGCTTTCTAGGACAAAGCCAAGGGCCTGCAAATCCCTGGTCCCGGGCCGGACCCTGTTAATCGGGGGGGTTTCCTGCTATTCTGGGGGGGGCGGGGCCTGCAAAGGGGTAGCCTTGGAAAACTTGACAAACCTATTCTTTTTATATACGGTTTAATTAGGGAACCACCTGTGTCTGGCAGCAGAAGATATCACCCAAATCCCAGGGATCCCAAGGCCAGGGATCTCTGACCCTTCCATCTCAAAGCTTCGGGCTTTCTAGGACAAAGCCAAGGGCCTGCAAATCCCTGGTCCCGGGCCGGACCCTGTTAATCGGGGGGGGTTTCCTGCTATTCTGGGGGGGGCGGGGCCTGCAAAGGGGTAGCCTTGGAAAACTTGACAAACCTATTCTTTTTATATACGGTTTAATTAGGGAACCACCTGTTTCTGGAAGCAAATCCCAGGGATCCCAAGGCCAGGGATCTCTGACCCTTCCATCTCAAAGCTTCGGGCTTTCTAGGTCAAAGCCAAGGGCCTGCAAATCCCTGGTCCCGGGCCGGACCCTGTTAATCGGGGGGGGTTTCCTGCTATTCTGGGGGGGCTTCCTGCCTGCTATTCTGGGCAGAGAAAAAGATAATTAATAAATTCTCTTGCTTCTGCTTGTGCAGGAGAAGGCAGAAAGGGAGTACTGGCGAAGCATGATGCGAATGAGGGGAGGCGGTGATGAGTCGCAGCATGAGCAGGAGCAAGAGAATGAGGAGACAGCCATAGTCCTGGACGATGAGGACAAAGCCCTCTCCCAGACTCCTGTGGCAAAGAAAGAAGCGGATGAGAGCATGAGCCCACCCACGGACCGTGTCAAGCGACAGCTGAGCTTTGGATCGGCTTCATCAGCCGAGTCCAAGCAGTCAAGGCTGCATAAGTTCTTCCGGTCTCCGTCATCCTTCTCTGACGACAGCAGCATCCATGAGACGCCCAGTCCGCCGCCCAAGAGGCCAAGACATCGCATGGAAGACACTCTTCGTGAGATGTTGAAGAGTGGGCAGCTGTCGCTTGATGGGAAGAAGCTGACCCTGACAGCCCATGAGGATGTCATCCCAAAGCTGCAGCAGGAGGTGGGCAAGAAGTTTGGGAAGTTCGGAGGTCGGCCCATGAAGCCGGTCAGCGAGAGGAGAGGGGTCATGGGTGGCCTGAAGTCCAACCGGAGAAAGGCAAATGAGAAACCTCGGCAGTTTGAGTTGCCTGTGTCCATGAAGAACCGCATCTGCCAGCAAATCTATGAGACCCGTGGGCACCATCCCGCCGAGCAAGACATGCTCAAGGCCTTTGCAAAGAAGAGCAAGATGAGGTTGGACAAGGTGCAGGACATCTGGGCCAACAGGAGCACATGGGCTCAGCTCGAAAAGAAGGACCATGGCAACATGATGGGTGGGGAGCAATCCAAGCAGAAGCCAAGGATGAGAGCAGAAGGTGCTGGTGCCAAGCGACAATTCCCTCATGTCGTCCAGAAACTTGGCCATTGGCTTGACAAAGAACGAGCCCATGGTCATCAGGTGCTGCAGCGACACCTGGCATGGCAGTATGAGCTGCTCCTTCAGGAACACATGCTTGAGCTTACGGAGCTGCTTGAGTCTGAGAAGAGTAAGGACATGAGCACAGAGGAGCGGCAGCAGCATGAGGTGAAGCTAAAGCTTGCAGAGAAGCAGATTGAGGCCATGCATGGGAGCGAGAAAATGCTGAACAAAAGGGCAAAGACATTGGCCACATGGCTTGGGGCTGAGACGAGGGTTCCAAACCTCGTGACCCAGATAAGTTCCGTGGAGCAGCAGGTGAGGGCTGAGCTCTCGTGGCAACACCATGACTGGTGCATTCACAAGGTGGCATCAGCAGATGAGGACTTCATGAGACAGTACTTTGCCAGGCCCAATGAGATCACCCCAGCCATTAGAAAGGCATGTGTTCTGGGCTTCTCCGATCAGGTGCCACTCTGGCTGAAGTCTGGGTCCAAGAAAGAAATCATGGCTTCATGGGAAGTAGCAGGCCTCAAGAAGAAGAAGCAGCATCCGCACCTGCATGAGCCGCAGCAGACTGCAGATGAGACAGACCCGGCAGCTGAGGAGCCTCATGAGGAGTCGAAAGCTGAGGAGCCTCATGAGGAGTCGAAAGCTGAGGAGCATCATGAGAAGCAGCCACATGAGCAGGAGGAACCAGGTGATGAGTGGAAGCTCGCCATGCCAGATGAGAAGCATGAGATGGCCCATTTGACCACCCGTCGGCAAGAGAAGGCCGATAGGTACAGGGTCACATTTGAGGCCATGCAGCTCGTGAGTGGCTTCTTCGACCATGAGAAGACCCCCGAAGGCCACTGCATGAGAGGCATTCTGATAGTTCCCGGCCAGCATGCACGGTTGGATAACATTGACGAGCATGGGAAATGGAAAGAGGATGAGACATTCTTCTACATGGGTCAAGAGAAACGCCACATCAGAGGTGAGAGCTGCGGCCGAGCTCTCATCAGCTGGCGAAAGCTGCGAGATGAGATGCCACAAGCATTCCGGCATTTCTCCGTCATGAGCCAGCCTGCATCCAACAGTGATGGGATTTGCCTGCCATGGGTCATAAAGGATCAGGCTAGGCAGTTCCCACTGAGTGTGTGGATGAGGGACGCGTATGGGCCTGCATTCACATCAGATACGGTCAAGACCCTCTTCATGGGGCATCAGGTTCAATCGAGCATCATGCCTAAGATGACATCAGCATTACAGCTGACTGACACAGATTTCTCACATGCCTTTAAGGCATCAGTGAGAAGAGCCATCGATGAGCAGAGCATGAGGCAGGCGGCTCGCCGGAATGAGGAGGATGGCCACCATGAGCAGCAGTTCCCGAAGATGGGCATCAAGGAAATGGCATTGGCCATCGACGCTGCCATGGAGCACATGATCCAGATGAATGAGAAGACGGAATGGGTCTTGGCTGGGCTCCGCCGCAATGGGTTCTTGGCCCTGAGACCTGATGAGCATGGCAAGATGAGGAAGTGCGATCACGAGGCATGGGCCAAGGACAAGCCATTGGGGCGCAAGAGGATCCATCCGACATGGGTCGCCAATCGGTACCAGCATGAGAACAATGGAGACATTGAGAAACCCAATTGGGCTCGCATTGAGGGAGCCACTGAGTTGAGTGACCTGGCCCATTGGCACTACAACGATGGGTTCAAGGATGCCCCAAGCTGGGAGGACATCCCGTTTGATGACCATTCCGAGCCCGAATGGTTCATGTGCGCCCAGTTCCAGCTGCCATTAGACCTGAGAAGGGCCATGCTGGCAAGAGAGGCGACCATGAGCGATGAAGCCAAGGCAAAGAGGGAGAAGAGAAGAGAGAAGAATAAGACCAAGCGGCAGAAGAAGCAACAGGAGCATCAGCTCACGGATGAGGTCCGGGAGGAGCTGAGAGCAAGCATGCAGGAAAACTCCAGGCTCCTCGCTCTTCCTACTTGCCCTAAACCCCCATGAGACTCTCCTTCTGTCATGCCACCAGCCAAGGTATGCAGCCATGAGGGATCTGCCATCATCGGCCTCCAAGAGAGGCATGCCGAAGGCCAAGGCGAAGGCGAAGGCCAAGCCCGAAGCCAAGGCCAAGGGCATGAGATTGGCCAAGATGGGCAAGATGGCCAAAAAGCAGCATAAGAAGCAGCTCAAGAAAGACGCATTGAGCAAAGCGGTGGATGAGCTCCCTGAGCCGCCATTGCCTCCGCCACCCGGCCCACCAGCTATGAGTGCTGACACTGGTGAGCATGACATGACCAAGGGCACATGGAGGATAGTCAATGAGGCCTGTGGGTTCGAGAGAAAATTAGCTGGTTGAGCAAAGCCCATCATAAGCTCTCCCTAGCCGCAGGACGCTGGCATTTCGCTGTATGGGCGGCATGGGTCCATTCTGGGTGTCGGCCGTCAGAACTGCCACATGCTGCTGGAGAAGGACCATTTCTTCCCCAAGCAGCAGAAGGCATGGGTCAGCAAGAGCCATTGTGAGCGATTGCCAGAGGGTGAGCATAAGGTGTGGAAGTGGGCCCAGATGAGCTTCTACAGGGCCTGGAAGCAGGAAATGCTGCTTGACATGGGGCTCTTGAGCCAGGACCTGGATCAGCTGGATGGGCTTGAGCAGGTTCACATCCTCCCATACCCAGACATTCAGGCCGGCGGCATAGAGCTGCAACATCTGCATTTGGGCTGGCGAGTCCTGCTTTGGCACATGCTCCAGAGCTCAATGCAAAGCAAGAGCATGGGCTTCATTAGTCCTGGATGGACACAGCCACTATATCTGCATCATGACAATGCCAAAGTGGATGTGGATGCATTCATTGAGTGCATCAAAAAGCAGATGAGTGCTCATACACTGAACTTCCTCCCCCTGGGGTCTGCTGCGCACTGGGTTTTGCTCGTCATAGATGCGACACATGAGTCTGAGACCCCGAAAGTGAGGCACACCATGCTTTTTCCTCCTTTTCCCTATTATAAGGCAGAGTTGTGCATGGGGACTCCTTATTTCGCATTCGCTCGCAGAGCCAGCCCTGAGGTACTATGACTCCCTGCCGGATGAGTCCCAGCGATGCAGGGACTACGCTGAGAAAATCTTGGCATCCCTGCTCTCCATGGGCCTGGTGCATGAGGCAGTGCTGCCTCCTCGCAGCAACAAGGTCTTCCAGGGAGTCGATGAGTGCGGATTCCATGTTCTGGCTGCCATGGAGCAAGAGGCCGCAGAAGCCATGGGGTTTGGAAAGGCCAGCACTGGGTGGCCTTCGCATTCGGCGAAGAAGTGGCATGAGCGGCTGCATAAGGTCACAAATGCTCTCCGCACTGAGCAGACCAAGCGACTGGATGAGCTGAACCAGCATAAGAAGAAGGAGGAGGCCTTGGGAATCAAGATACTCGGACCTTTAGTACTTAGGCCCATTTTCCCTTTTGCAATTAGTCTTCCACATACAGGGACCCTTTTCTTCCTGGGCTTCCCAGGATGAGAAAAGAGCGAGAGCACATGGCGGCCATGGCTGAGAAACGCATGAGCAAAGGCCTTGAGCTGACTCAGCTTCAGAAGATGGCCCATGAGGTCATTAGCCAAGGCAAAGTCCTTGAGATCGAGGACATGCCCCAGGCATACTGGGATGAGAGAAATCGAATCGAACTCCATGAGATTGGAGTCTGCAGCCGCTGCCGGCATGCCTCAGGCTGCCTGAGCTGCGATGAGGGTAAGCTCCTCGCATACTGGATGAGGAAGGAAGCCCGCAGATTGGGCAGGAACATTGCCCCTGAGTACAAGCTCAGCTCTGCTGGACATGAGCTGGTCAAATGAGGAAAAGTCTGCCATCATGAGTTCTTTACGGTTTAGGGTTCAGGGTTTGGGGTTTAGGGTTAAGTCTTATGCCTCTAAATCCCCTAAATCCTTATTTCGGGGATTTTCGGGGATGGCCCCGTCTAATCGGGGGGGGTTTAAATGAGCTCCGGTACTATAGGGGTGGGGTCTAATGGACTTCTTCATTAAGCCCATGAAATGCCCGGGACGGCCCCGTCTAATCTGGGGGGGTATCTTAATCTGGAAACGACATTATAGCTGCACGTCAACACGCTAAGCCCTAAACCCTAAACCCCTAAACCCTAAACCCCTGAACCCTAAACCCCTAAACCCCTAAATCCTAGGCCATAAACCCCAAACCATAGCCCCAAAATCCTAAACTTGTAGTAACAACAGCCGCCGAAATCCTGAGCCGCCAGGCCCCGGACTATAAAGCCAGAACCCGAAAAGACAACCCATACTTAAAGGGGGTCATGGGGCTTAGTAACTAGGGTTATAATGTAGGGTTATGTAAGGGTTCCTGTAAAGGGATCTGTAAAGGGTTTAGGGCTTAGGGTTTAGAGGAATACTTAAAGGGTCATGGGACGTAGTAACAAGGGGTTGTAATTAGGATAACTATACCGATAATTACTTATAACCTCAATTAAGGTACCTATAACCCTACTTGCTAAGTCCCATGATCCTCCAAGTAGGCCCCATAGTAGCTCCTTTTGGGGATTACTTTATAGGGTTCTACATATGAACCCCCGAAAAAGCAACGACTATCGGGCCTAAGCCTAAACCCAATCTACAAAGGCCAGAAACCCTTCAGGCATGTACTTTTACTTACTACATATACATGGAGACCATACAGGGGTCTAAACCCTAAACCCTAAACCCTAAACCCCTAAACCCTAAACCCTAAACCCTAAACCCCTAAACCCTAAACCCTAAACCCCTAAACCCTAAACCCCTAAACCCTAAACCCTAAACCCCTAAACCCTAAACCCTTCCGGGCCAAGGTGTACGCCACATCGGCACATAGGCCAACCCTGTCAACCCCTAAACGCCTAAACTCTAAACTCTAAACCCCTGGACTCTAGGCCCCGAACCGCCTAAACCCCTAAACCCCAAACCCTACACCCCTAAACCCAAATTTTAAAACCCTCAATGACTCAGACCACGGTGCCGGATACCCTGCCGGACCCCCGGGTGGCAGGGGCGCCCAGCCTTCTTTTGTTTCAAAGGTTTCTCCATGGCAGGACCCCCCCCCCACCCCCAACTGCCCTTTAAAGGAGCCCGAGTGGTCTTGGTCTTTAGGGCATAATAGGGGGTCGTCGGGGGGTCTAGGCAGGGGTTATAGAGCATATGGTTTCAGGGTTTTGGGTCTAGGTGTTTGGGCTGGGTTCATCTAGGGTGCGGTGTTCAGGCTTTAGCGCGACTCCATCCGTTTAGCTTCCTAGCCGTGAGGCATGAAGCTTGTACCGGCAAGACTTTTCATTCGCAGTGGTTCGGGTGCCCAGGGAACCAGGGACTCCAGCCCCCCTTGATTTCGGCATATATCTTAAATCGTTTTAGGGACCCTTAACCCTAGCCAGAGTAAGCCAGTGAAATATCTCGTTTGTTTATGGGGTGATCTCGTTTCCAAGTTGATCTATGTAATTTTCAACCGGGTTCCCCGAACATTCTCCAACTGGCGAGCCCTGCTCTGCATAGCCCCTCAAGCCCTACAATGCCCTACAATCCTAAGAAAGCCCTAGGCCCTAGATCGAAATTCCGGAGTTATGATTCCCCACTGTTTGCCTTTATGCTACAAGTACTGCGAAGACAGAGGCCCGACCAAGACACGCAAACCCTTAACCATACCATTGTCCCCAGTAGCCGGACCTGGACCAGGAAATCGTCATTATATGGAGCCACCAAAAAGCTGGGTCATGCAGTATAGGATTCGGGTAATTAAGCTCTAAACCCTAAACCCTAAACCCTAAACCCTAAACCCTAAACCCTAGTATAGGTTTCGGGTAAGCTCTAAACCCTGAACCCAGGATCTCACGCTTTAAAGTTCCTATAACCACTGCCACAGGGTCGGTTCTGCCACGCAGGCAGGATCCTTGGGGCTTTTTTACACCCTTTAGACCTTGTAAAGCCTCAAGCCCAAAGCCCTGAAATCTTGAAAGGATCCTCCCTTATAGGGAACCTTGCAAGAAGCCCAGGGAACTTTTGACAGGAGAAGCCTCGGTACTTGGAGGATTATGGGACTTGGTAAGTAGGGTTATAACTACCCTAATTGGGGTTATAAGTAATTATAAATATAGTTACCCTAATTTATAACCCTAGTTACTAAGTCCCATGACCCTTTAAGTACGACTGAGGAGCTTGCTCGGGGAGACCACGCGGTAATCGAGGGCCTAAAGGCTGGGATTCGGGTTCTGGGCTTCGCGGAGTTTTTCTGAAAAAAAAAATACAGAAATTTGGCTTTAGGAGGCGCCTGTTGAGAATGGGTCCAAAGTTTCAGTTTCCAATCACTTGCAAAAATTTGGCTTTAGGAGCCGCCTGTCGGGAATGGGGAGCTCGGGGGGGTAAGGTTTCAAGAGCCCTAGGCCCTAGAGTTCGCCTTACTTGGTTTTCAGGTCCATGCTTGCCTGAGCGCCCTGAAAGCCTAGCTTCCTCCAACGCCCGTGGTAGTAGTAGTGGTGGTGGTAGCAGTAGCAGTAGTAGTAGTAGTAGTAGTAGTAGTAGTAGTAGTAGTAGTAGTAGTAGTAGTAGTAGTAGTAGTAGTAGTAGTAGTAGTAATGGTAGCAGTAGTCATGGTAGTAGTAGTAGTAGTAGTAGTAGTAGTAGAGTAGGCAACCTTTAACCTTTTCGGGGTACTAAAACCCCTCTATAATCCCAATATACTCCCAAGGGTTAACCTGTAGGTTTTTCAGGATATTCGACAAGCAGGCCCCGCATATATCAAATACTGAAGTCTCTATGTCTGCAAGGCTTTAGTTTGTTTGCATCGCATTTGCGGTGTATTCTAATCCTCCGTTCATGGCGGAAAGTTAACCTGTTCAACAACCGGGGTCGCTAGGTCTGGATACAGTTGCAGCTTTCAGGATTCAGGACCGCTGAAAGCTTAGAACGCATGAGAAAGCCCACCTCGGCAGGCAACGGAGATGAACGGCATGATGTGCTCGCACCACGACCACATTGTGTGTGTGAGAGATGTTATTTGCGTTTGGGTGGTGATCCAGGACGCAAGGGACTAGCATTGATGCAGAGCCCTTAGCGAGTGATCCCCGGGGCAACCAAGCATGCAGCACCCTAGATCGTAAACGCTTCACCGAACTAGATCAAGACACCTTCCCCAATATCATTCCCAGGTTGCTCTGGTGATTTAAAGAGCCAGGGGTACGACATTAAATGGTTCACCGAACCCCAAAAAACCCTGAGCCGTACAGCCCAAACCCTAAGCCTGAAATCCTAAATCGAAGCCAAGGCTCACGGTATACGAGAGCCATGTGTGCTTTCTGCAGGATGTGAATCTCGAATCTCGCAGGGCAAGTCGCATGATGTAATCCCAAGCCTGAAACACTCTACTCTCAGCCCCCTCGAAACCCTAAACCCCTCAACCCTAAGCTCTAAACCCTATGAACCCTTATCAATGAAACAACACCTTGCAAACCCGATCTGCCCAAAATTCTATCCTAAACCCTGACCCCAAACCTCCAAAAAACACTATAAGCCTTAACCTGAACCTTAAACCCGAACCAAAATGGACATCTATATCTAGCTCCTAAGCCTGAATCCTAGACCCCAGCCCAGCACCCAGGCTTTTCCGTTTCGACGAGGAAAGCGGCCGTTGGGAGGTGAAGCTCTCTGACGGCGAGGCCTTTAATATCTCTGTGGAAAGACGGTAAGGTTTCCAAGGAAAGGGGGGCAGAACAGGATGCAGGCGAACGGATGTTTTGCTTCTCCCGTGCCCGAGCAATAGGAGTTGGGATTCAGGATTGTTTGGAGCTGCGGCGGCAGCCTCGCAAAAGGTTAAGTGTAGGACTCGGCGGCTAGGCCCTTAACCCTAAACCCTAAACCTTAAACCTTAAACCCTAAACCGTACAGAAACTCTAAACTCGAAATCTAGGGTTCTGGGTTTCGCGTGGGGTTGTTCATTCTTTCAACCACAGGTCAAGGCCCTGAAGCCGTGCCACCTGGCCTTCCGAGCGATCGGCGCCCTGGAAGCATGGTTTTGCACAGCGGACCGTTTAGGGCTTGGGGTTTGGCTAGATTAGGGTTTAGGGTTCGGGGGGGGGGCCAGGGCCAGGGGTTTGAGGATATTTTGCAGAGGGTTTGTGTAGTGTCAAATCTTATCAGCGGGTGGGAAGGCTTTCTTGGTCGATGCTTGGTGCATTGGGGTCATGTACAGGGTCCTTCCTCATGGGGTCATGGTCGAGCGTGCTTTGCTGGATTTCAGGTTTTGGCGTGGACATTTGGGCACGCAAGTGTGGTTCTAGAAGGTTTAGGCAAATAAGTAGTGTGAGTGGGGGAGGTGGTGCTGCCAGTGCCGGTGCTGGTGCTATCGCTAGTAGTAGCAATGGGAGGAGCAGCGGAAGTCCACGTTGTTTCTTTGCTGTTACTGACGGCTTAGACGACGACTTAAAAGAACACGTGATGAGGATTAATGTTATGGAGGACTCTCAGGCCAATATTTGCTGGTAGATGGGACTCTGACTAGGTCTGATTGGACTTTCTGGCCGCAAACTTGTTTTGTGGCCGTTGTGTCATAAAGGTTCTGTGCCTCCTAGTAGTTGAATCACCCTCACACGATTCAGCACTGTTTAGCACTTCATTGCGCCATTTAGCTTTATTTAGCACTACTTCAACACCATTTAAGACTGTTTTGCATTGTCTTGGCACTATTTTGGGACTATATTAAGCAGTATCCAGCACTACTGTGGGACAAGAAAGCTGCTATTAAATCTTTTTCAAAAAGAATCACTGCGACCCTGCTGCGGATGATGATGTTGATGATGATAAATGAAGTATAGGTGGTGAGCACGGTTGCGGTAGTTGTCATGTGCATGACCAAGACGACGTTCTGGCACCGTTCTGGATGTTGCCGGCGCACATGACGATAGATGCGCCCAGGTTACCGATGCTGATTTTTCATGATAGAAGTAATGCATCATGCTCATGTCCAAGGACTAGCGGATATCATAGTTTTGTGAACGCTATTGCCCATGACGTGCTTAATCTGCTTGGTGATGCAGATGTGCTTGCTGATTGAATGCATCATGAGGGCGGCGATGCCGTTGCTCCTTGTCCTGCTGCTGATGACCTGTGGTTTTGGACGTCTTGCTAACCTTGTGAATACTGTCAAGCATTCGTACCATAAGGATGGGGAGTGTTGCAGCAAGAGATTGTTCATGCTCTAGGTGCCATCGAAGATGACGGATCCCTGACTCTTGTTGGCATGGCCAGCGACCATGCGACGATTCACCGCGTGCCACTTGGCGAAGCCATTGTGTGCCCAAGGTCATTGACGTACAGTTACCTCATCCAATCTACAGCGTAGGTGTGTTGAGGGTCGTAGAATTCTCGAGCTCGTGTGGTGTTCACACTGATCTGCGTCCCCCCATCCTGAAGAATTCTTGTGACAGGATTGGCAACGTGCGTGAGCTGTTACGCACCGGTGGTGCCCCCGGTCATGCTGTTCCGAGCGTTTGCGTAGGGCTTGAGCAGAGCAATAGAGATCGCAGCGTCGAGTTTGACAGTTTGAGGTACCCCTAACCGCATACCCTATAGACCTTACCATGTGCTTCCAAGGACTTATAATAGTTAGGGCCCAGACCCCTTAAACACCCAATTTTTTCGGTCCCAGGAAGCTTAGGGTTACACGGACTTTCCGGGGCTGGGGTGTTCTTGCACGGTACGCGCTTGAGTATCGGACCCGGGGCCACGAAAGTCTTTGTGATCTACCTATACTTGGAGGATCATGGGACTTAGTGAGTAGGGTTATAGGTACCTTAATTGGGGTTAGAAGTAGTTATAAGTATAGTTTAGCATAGTAGCTATCTTAATTATGACCCTAGTTACTAAGTCCCATGATCCTTGAAGTAGTCTCCATTGTAGTTCCTTTTTTGGTCCAGCCACAGTTATATTGAGGATCCTAGAAGGTGACCCGGAAAAGGAACTACAATGGAGACGAGAGGTAAAGCAGGGCGTACCATACCCGCAGATATCCTACCGTTACAAGGCAATATACCTAGGGAAATCATAATAGGGAACCTTACAGGTAGGGTGTAGAGGCTGCTAGTGGGTTTGATGGTATTCTCAAAATTTTCTTCAGCAAGGCTCCAAAGTAGTTCCTTTTTGGGGTTCATATTTAGAATCCTATAAGGTAATCCCAAAAAGGAACTACTATGGAGCCTCTGGGTACCTTGTGATTTGATGGGAATTCAACAGTGAAATGGGCCTAAAACCCGCGCTCCGAACCTTAAACCGGCTCCAGCCCCAGACCTTTCTTCTAAAAGGGTTTAGGGTTTAGGGTTCAGGGTTTAGGGTTTAACCGTAAGAAGAACCCTATAGGGATCAAAATAGCCCTAAAGCCTTATCTAGTATGGTCTTTGGGCCCAAAGGCCTTCATATATGAGTCCTTAGATCCCGAGGGGAAGGGCCTTTTCAATGAATAGTCCAGTTAGGCAAATCATAGCCAAAGCTTTGGCACCCCTCGGACTCCGGAACTGGAATTTTCTGGGTGATGGAGGAAACATTGACTAAGAGCATTCACGCAGGGCTCTGTGTCGACGTCTTAACACTAGGGCTTTAGGGGTGGAGGTCCAGCCAAATCCAACTTCCCAGAACCTCGCCACAGTTTCTATAGCATGAACTCGACTGCTCCATAGCTTTCAAATGGAAGGATCCTTATTCTAGGGCCCAGAGTAGGTCCTTTTTTTTTTATTAGTATTAGGGTTTAGGTTCCCTTATAACCCCCTTTAAACGAAGAAGGGCATCATTTTCATTGCTAGGTTACTCTCGGGTCTAGTAGCCCCTTAAATAGAAGGGTCCTGATTCAAGGTCACTACTTGGAGGGTCGGGGGACTTAGTAAGTAGGTATTAAGCAGACTTATAAGTACCCTAAAAGGGACCCTAATTGGGATTATGGTACTTATAAGTCTCTAAAATAACTACTTACTAAGTCCCCCGACCCTCCAAGTAGACCAGGTCCGCACCCAAAAGGCCCCTTCCCCCCACCCACTTCACATGCAGCCATGTGCCGTGAAGTGCCTCGTCAGTCCTAAACCTTAAACCCTAAACCCCAAACTCTAAACCCTAAACCCGAAACTAAAAAACCCAAACTCTAAACCCTAAACCCTAAACTAAAAATCCCAAACTCTAAACCCTAAACCCTAAACTAAAAAACCCAAACTCTAAACCCTAAACCCTAAACTAAAAAAACCAAACTCAAAACCCAGAACCCTAAACTGAAAAATCCCACAAAGCGTTTAGAATCGGATTCTTCATCTCAGGTCCCACGTTCGAAAGCCTCAAGTTGAAGGGGTATAATTCACTACAGTATCCCCGCACGGTTTAGGGTTTAGGGTTTAGGGTTTACTACAAATACATATCCCCCAAGCCTCAATCCAACTATTGCAGAAATATAGGCATATAGGGCTCTAAAGTTTAATGTGTTCGGGTTGAAGGGCTTGGTGTAGGGATTTCAGAGTGTGAGGTATGTGTTGTACTCCCTGAAAGAGCTTCCCCAAAGGCTCCATCTACCCTTATAGTAGATACTTAAGCCTTAAACGGGTCCCTATATAGGTACTTTAAGGCCTAAGTATATACTATATGGGCACATGGAGCCTTAGGGGTAACTACTTGGAGGATCATGGGACTCAGTAAGTACGGTTATAAGTACCCTAATTGGGGTTATTAGTATAGTTACCTTAATTGTAGCCCTAGTTATGTGTTGTACTCCCCACGACGAGGTAGCGAAGCGCTGGCATTGCTGGGCTCCGTGGTGGCGCCCACAGGCGGACGCCGGGCCATCGGCGAGGAGGCAGATTGCCTGATGACGAAAGGGTTACATAACGTGTTTCGAGTTTACTCACATAGGGTTTATAATGTAGGGTTCTATAAGGGTTCCTTTAAAGGGATCTACAAGGGATCTATAAAGGGTTGACGTGTTTCGGGTTTACTTACTTAAAGGGTCATGGGACTTAGTAACTAGGGTTAAGGGTTCCTGTTAAGGGTACTATAGGGTTCTATAATATGGCTCCCTTTAAGGATGTTTAGGGTTTAGGGTCTACTTAAAGGGCCATGGGACTTAGTAACTAGGGTCATAATTAGGATAACTATGCTGGTAATTACTTATATCCCCAATTATGGTACCTGTAACCCTACTTACTAAGTCCCATGATCCCCATTATAGAACCCCTATAGATCCCTTTAAGGAACCCCATTATAGAACCCTGTAGCACCCTTATTACAAGGGACCCTAAACCCTACTTACTAAGTCCCATGATCCTCCAAGTAGGGTGTTGAGTTGAAGCACTGGCTACTCAGTCCAAAGTCTTGCAAGCTTCTTTTAGGGTTTAGGGTTTAGGGTTTAGGGTTTCTACTGCTTGGAGTTTTCGATTTCGAGTTTTTAGTGTATTGAAGATCATCTGGTCCGGAATTCGGATAGATTTCCTAAAGTCCTATAGAGGTACTATGGGGGCCTAAATATAATTACCTGTACTAAGTCGGCTGCTTCTCATTCCAATTTTAGTATACTGGGCCCCAAAACCCTATTCTAATCATTAAGGCCCCTACCCTAAGGGTCCAAGCACCCAAATTCCCAAATAGTAGGGTTTCAGAGTCCAAAAACCATTCAGAGTATGGATTTTGGGACTTCAAACCCTACTATTCGGGTACTAGGACCCTCTGGGCTATGGTAGTGTCGAAGTGCCTCGCATGTAGCGCAAATAGGGCTGCGAGCACTTAGTAAGCTGTCAGGAGTTGGAGGTGTTACAGTAAACCCCAGAAAGTTGGAACATGGTTTTGGGAGGATTAGTGCTAGGATCCCTTATACTTTACCCTAAGGGCATGGGGATAATGATGTTCCACCTTTCTGGCTTCTACTGCATGAGTTCTGTACAGGGTTTCGGTTATGTCAGGGGCCAAGAAGCGTCCTTTCCTGACGGCTGCACAGATCTTGACCCGGGCTTGCGGCTGTGCCCTCGCCTTGGCCCCAACTTCAAGCGATCATGCCTCAAGGACCCGAATATCGGAGCCCGAACATGAATCGACTAGGATTTTTCTTATAAGGTAGCCCAAAGAAGGAACCACAATGGAGACTAGAGATAGGAATAGGCTGGAAGCCCCTCAAACCTCAATCCTAAACTGTAAACGCTCAGCCATTTTAGACGTTCCTAAGCCCCAAAACCATCCAAAACCCCAGACCCTGAACCATCACCAGAAACACCAGATCCCAAGCCATCCCGACCTCTATAAAGCCTATAAACCTTCAAAACTAAACCAAACACTTAGCAGCTGAGTAGGTAACCTTTGACCTTTTTGGGTTTATATAATCCTACCAGAACCAAAGCTGAAAAGCTTGACCTTCTCTGGGCTAGGGTACTCAGACCTAAGAACAAGAAGCGGAGAGGCCCGGATATGGCTGAAGCTTGCGAAGCAAGCCGAGCAGAAGGTCCGAGGTGCGCTTTCACCGGGTTCTTTTTAGGGCGAGTTACGGGCTCCCTAGAGGGAGAGTTTTTGTTAGGGGTTTAGGGTTTAGTAGGGGTTTGGGCTTTAGTAGGGGTTTATGGAATTAGGGGGTTTAGGGTTTAGTAGGGGTTGGGCTTTAGTAGAGGTTTAGGAGGTTTGGGGGTTTAAATTTAGGGTTTAGGGAATGAGTTCGTTAAGGGGCTTTCTAAGGACGGAGATGTTTTTGCGGGTTGTGGGTTTTTTGTCTGCGCACCCGCGCATGTGTGTTTGTGCATAAGTCTGTTTGAGATTTTTTTGTTGCGGAGGGGGGAGAGCTTTTTGTGGCTTGCGGAATTGCAGTATCTGTTGGGTACTGAGCCCACTCTGTAACGGTTGAATGATACTTGTTTATTATATGATATACCTAAATATCTGTATATCCCGGATTATGAACCCTAGTATAGACTGTTATAGGGGTGGGCAGTGCCCAAGGTATTTGGTTTTGAGGACGGGGTAGGGTTGAATGAGGGTTTAGGGCCCGTGCGCGGTTTCAGGTGTCTCAGACTTACTTGGAGGATCATGGGACTTAGTAACTAGGGTTGTAATTAAAGTAAATATACATATCGTACTTGGAGGATCAGGGGTAAATAAGGTTATATGTACCTTAATTGCGGCTGTAAGCAATTTTATGTGTAGTTACCTTAATTATAACCCTAGTTACTAAGTCCCATGACCCTTCAAGTAGGGCTGAGATGCTTCGAGCTTCGGGCTTTGCTTTCGGTTAGAGGATTTAGCGGTGAATTGGGAATAGAAAATTTTAGGGTTCAGGGTTTCGGGGCTAATATTCATGAGCCCTTATACCCTACACTTTTGGCACGAGAGATCGCGCATGAGCCCCGAACCGGCTCAGAGACGAGATCGGTTCCTGAGTGCTGCCTTGATCACAGCACTCGGCCTCTAGGTCTCTGTGGTGGTCTTTTGTTTCTCGAACTTACAAAAATCAAGCCTGCGGCGGAGGCTTTACCCGATGCGAAAAGCCAATCCTCGCCGTGTTAAGTCTATCATCCTCACCCCGCACTTCGGATGCAAGCTACCAGCTACGGTTGCGGAATTTTCCCTTAACTGGCCGAACTAGCCACTTGTGGAGTCTACCCCAAGGGTCCAAGCACCTAATAATCATATACTTTCCAAAACCCTAACCTGCATAATGCATAACTACAATCCTAAAAACCGAGTACCCAATCATTGGGTCCTTGGGACCCCTGGGCTGTGTGTACATGACATGTGATCCTAAGCCCTAAACCCTAAACCGCTAAACCTCGAAAAACCTGCAAAGGCGCGCTGGAGGATCTCCAAAAGAATGTGGCAGCTGGGCAGTCGCAGAAGTTCCGGTCGTTTCGGCAGGGCTCAGACAGGTTTGGAGTTGTCCACTGTCAGAAGCTTCTGTTTGGGGCTCGGGGTTGCAATATCATAGCCACTATAAAAGTCACAAGAACTTATCACGAATGCTAGTCTCTAGTGTTCCTTAGATGATAGTCATCCTATATTACATCCCAAAACCCTATTCTGACTATGAGTGCCACTATGTTAGGTTGTTAGGGTACTTAGTTTCGCTGCATGAGATGCTTGAGAACCTCTAGGGTTTGAGTTGACCTTGTTTGGGTTCTTATGTAACAGTCCTTCCACAGGGATGTTGGGGTATATCATGCTGAAGTTAAAACCTGAAGTCCAAAGAATAGTCTTGGTAGTTCAGTCTTCTGTATTCCGGTCGCATTAACTACTATTTGCTTAAGAAACACACAAAAAATTAAAAATGATAATCCCTATCTTACCCCCATAAGGAATATATTTTTTATTTCTTTGGGGGTTCTTAAGCAAATAGTAGTTAAACCAACAGCATATCTGATCCGTCGGAATCGGCAAAGCCAAAGTCCCCAGTGTCCCTTCCCGGAGGGTCCACAGATGCTACATGGGTGGTTGTCAATATTAGGGTCCCTCTTTGGGTCCTTATCATAATACGGCACCTACTATTTAGGGTACCCAAAAAGGGACCAGAATTTTGACAACTACCCACATTGCACTACTTTTTTATGGAACTAGACCTCAAAGGACCATCCTTGTTGTGCCTTGGGGGACCTGGTTCCCTCTTGGATTGTCATCCAAGGAGCAGGTGGATGCCGTGGATGCCTCGCGCTATGGGCCAAAGGCACATCCTACTTAAAGGGTCATGGGGCTTAGTAACTGGGGTTATGATTAGGGTCACTATGCTGATAGTTACTTACAACCCTAATTAAGGTACATATAACCCTACTTAAAGGGTCATGGGACTTAGTAACTAGGGTTATACTTAAGGTCACGATACTTGTAACGTAATTGAGTCCCGTCATCCCCCCAAGTGGGGTTTAGGGGACTTCGGGCAATTTGGGGCGCGGGCTGATGATGTGAGGTGTACGGTTTGCGGGTTATTTTTTTGCGACTCTTTGGCTATTACCTGGATACTCGGTAGTACCCGTATTCCCTTTTTGGTAGTCCTAGGTTCCTTATTAAGTTACCCAATAGCAGATTATCGTCTATGAGCTCAAAGAGCGATTTAGAGGGGCTGGAGGTTCTGGGAGATTGTCATATTCCTGCAGGGCATACCCCGACTAAATGCAGTCTCACAACACAAGACCCCATGGTCCGATCCAGTCAACTCAAATCCCTCCCTAGACCAGAATAGTAGGTTGGTAACCCTAAACCGTAAACCCTGAACCCTAAACCGTAACTCTAAGCCATCCTAGAGGCGCTTGGGTCCCGAGTCGCAGAGGGCCTGTGGCTGTTGTTACCTTTCTGGTCGTTCGGCCCTCGAATCTGTGAGGTTTTAAGTAATTGTTGCAGTCTGAATGCATCGGGCTTAGGGTGTAATGCAGCCTAATAATTACGATCACTAGTCCTTATAATAGGGTTTACTTCATAACCTTACTCAGACAAAACTACAATGTGCCCCCAAGCCCTATCCAAATCATTAAGGCCCCTACATTTGGGGCTGCTTAATCCGAGAAATAGTAGCTGCGACTTAGCTCGCAACACCGAACCACGAATCTCATCCACCCCTGCAATATAAGTGGTTTTGTGAGTAAGCCAGAGTTTCGAGTATGTTATAGTCTAAGTATAACAGGGACTACAAGGGGAAGACGAGTGCCAGTCATGCCGACCCCAAACCCCAAGCCCTTCACCCTAAACCGACCCATCACACACCAGATGGCGGCTGAAATCCGAATGGCGCGGAAAGACTTGGTCCAGTTTGTTCAGAAGGCCAGGCCCCTCTCAGGCAGCCTTTTTTGGAACCCTTAGGGGGATCCCTGACAAGATTCCTGAAGGACCGCAGCAAAGGGTGGATCAGAGTTTGCCGGGTGCAAAGCATGCAGTACACATTCATAAGCTGTTCCTGCCAACCCTAAACCCTCAGCCCTAAAACCTTAACCATATACCCTGGGCCCTGTAAGGTCTGCTAGCATTAAGTTTAGGGGATGTGTGTTGAGGGTTCAGAGTTTAAGTATCACAGTCATCATCCTCATCATCATCACATAACCATCACCACTATCATCATCATCATCATCATCATCTTCACCATCATCTTCACCATCATCTTCATCATCATTTCCATCATCATCACCATCATCATCTTCATCATCATCATCATCATCACCATCATCATCACCATCATCATTTTCAGTAGCTTATCATCACCATCGTCTAGCTCGCACAGTGCTCTTTATCTCCGTCCGTTGCCGCAGCGTCCGTTTTCGTTAGAAGGTGTTTCACACCTACCGCCGGCGATGGTGATGATGGTGGTGATGCTGATGATGATACTGGTGACGGTGATGGTGCTGATGTTGATGATGACGGTGGTGATGATGATGATGATGAGGATTTGTATAACGATGATGATGATTATTAGCTCCACTGCCATTTCTACTCCACCGACACCACCACTTCCACCACCACCTCCGTTCTCTCCATCCTTACAAAAGACGATGTTCATAAGATATCCCCAAACCCATAAACCCTAAGCTCTGGACCCGAAATCCGTGTTGTTTTTTGCAGATAGCTTGCTCACTTCAGGTCAACTCGAAACTCTGTGCGCTTTACCATCCAGCATCGTCATCATCAACACTACTACTTGGTTTTGGGACGGTAGTTATCAGGATAAAGCTTGAAGTCCAGCATTCCCGCCTTGTAAGGAAGATTCCTGAGCCTTGGCCCTAAACGTTGGTTCTTTACGCCTTATACCACGCACCCCTAAATACCCAAAAACCCTAAACCCCTAAATCCTATACCCTATAAACTGAAGACCTGAAGCCCCACGCAAAGGGTCACACCCTAACCCTTTTTAAGGGTACGTACTTTACTGCATAACAGCTCCTGACCGTAAAACCAGGTACCCTAAGAAAGGGTAAGGGGTATGACCCTATAATCCTTAAGCCCCTAAACCCCTAAAGCCCTAAACCCGAAATAAGCCCCAAAGCCCCTAAACCCCTAAACCCTAAAGCCAAGGCCCCTATAAACCTTGAACCCTAGACCACAAACTCTATAACCCCTAAGCCCCTGTTCAGGCCCAGGAGCAGTTGGAATCTGGAATTGCGCGGCTGAAACCTGTGATGACGCACTTAGCACCTTGGAGCCGCCAGTTGAGCGGATGACTTAGGGGCACTTAGAAATAGTTTCTAACTTTTGGTTATTATGTTACCTAAGAAACAGCGAAAATTGCAGTTGTTGCTAGGGTTCTAAGTTCAGTATAGATTTGGGTTTAGCGGTTTAAGGGTGCAGGGGTTTAGGGTTTAGGATTTAGGGGTCTGGGGGTTTAGGATTTGGGGGTTTAGGGTTTAGCATTTTAGGGTTTAGGGGTTTAGGGCTTTAGAGTTTAGGGGCTTAGGGTTCAACCGTTAGGTAAAGCTGCCGGTCTTTAGGGTTGCGGTAGTTTTCAGAGTTATACTATACTAGTGGGGCCTGGCTAGTTCTTGATACTGGTCTTTTGGGCTTCTTTTTCGCATCAATAATCAAGGTACATTGCTCACAGCCTTCCCTAAAGCTCCAAACAGCTCAAAGTAGGTACCATTTATAGACCTTAGACCCCCAAGTAGGTACTATTTGTATATTCGTAGTCCTAGGGCTTATTCTGATTGTTAGGAAGGCCCCTATGTTACCGCCAAACATTAGACTAAGCTTGTCTTCAAATTCTTACATAGGGGTACTTAATTCTCAGTTTTGGATACTTTATTCCTTAAGAGGCAGCTAATGCCATGATTTTTGCTGGAATTTGTGTTTCAGGTCTTCTTCAGAATTAGGGTTTAGGTTTTGAGGGGGTTGTTAAAGGTTTGCTTCAGTGGCGGGGGAGCGGAGAAGGTGCAGCGGGACTGGGGGGGGGGGGGGGGGGGGGGATAGATTTGGGGTTGGGGCACGGAGGATTCAATTCGAGTTGAGGCGATAGTGTTAACCGCTGTGGTATCGAACCTCCATCCCGTCAAAAAGTATCCTAAACCCCTGATACAAGACCGGAAAACTGTCTTTCCGCAGATAAACTAGTTCTTTGACACTTTGATGAAGTGGAATTTGGTGCCCTCAGCTTTTCTTTCTCGTCCGAATCGAAGATTCGAAGCGCTGGCACTGGAGGGTGTCGGGGATTGCTTAGGTGGCTTTTGGATTTCGGCCGTGTTTTGAGTTTTTCAATTATGGTTCGCGAGGCGAAAGCCGAAACCCCAAACCCCTAAAATCCAAAGCCTCAAACATACTATGTAGGATTCTAGTCCTTTGGACTTAGGGGCTGCGGCGTCTGGAACAAAGGCTTTGTCAGCGGCATGCCAGAGCCAAGGTGAAGCTTGTAGTGCTTGAACTGGTCCTAGTATCAGTCTCAACATTAGTCCTAGCTTTGGTTAATGCAAGTACGACTGGTAGTTCCGAATGGCACGGCAGGCAGAGACTGAGATCAGATACGTACTCTGACGGGAAAAGCACCAAGCTGGAAATTAGCTATGGCTTGGCATGGCTCAACTACAACAACCTACCGTCTTCTATATATATATATATATATATATATATATATATTAGCCATCATGAGGAACCCTACAGGTAGGGTTTTCGGCTTCAGGTAACCGCACTTGCAGACATCACAACTAGTAGGAGTAAATTCGATTTAAGGCTCGCCCTCCCTTCAACATGAAGTTTGTGACTGCCTTATACTTAGTTCTCCAATACCCAACCTTTAAGCTTTGGGGTGTAAAGATTTTAGTAGTAACCTGAAAGATTAACTTTTCATGTCCCTGGCTTATTGGGGGAGTAAGTATAGAATCTTTCCGGACCCCAGAGCTCCTTCAAGAATCCTTACAGAAGTCTTGTACTTATTGGCTGTAAACTCAACTTTTCAACTTTTGGGGTTCTTAGAAGTTAGTCGGTTCTGAAAGTTTCAACTTTTATTTCCTTGGGTGTGGGGTCAGTGAGTATAGAAGAGCCCTTACAGAATCCTGTTGGCCCTTTCCTTGTGGAACCCTCTAAGAAAGCCCTTTTTTGAAGCCTTCAAGAAACCCTTTATAGAGGCCTTGAAAGAACCCTCTAAGACACTTTTTATGGTGGCCTTGAAAGACGTGAAGCAAACCCTTGTAGAATCCCTTAAGAAACCCAGAAACCCTTCATAGAGGCCTTGAAAGAAGTGACTAGGATGCCCAGTAGTACCCTTATTCCCTTTTTGTAGTCCTAGGTTCCTTATAAAGTTACCCAATACCAAAAAGAGAGGCCTTTTTATTCTTTGGTTACCGGGTATCCTAGGTGAAGCCTGCAAGGTAGCCACCGTGCCGGCAGCACCCAAGGCTTTAGGGTCGGAAGGAAGTGAGACCCTTCACGAAGCTTGGCTTAGGGTTTAGGGGGTTTAAGGGTTTAGGGGTTTAGGGGTTTAGGGGTTTAGGGGTTTTAGGGTTTAGGGGTTTAGGGGTTTTAGGGTTTAGGGGTTTGGGGTTCTTGTTAGAACATGGATTTAGGATGATTTGTGCTGGGATTCCCTATGCCATACCTTACGGGCATGAGGCTAAACGGTGTTCCAACTGTCTGGCCTCTACTCTATCCGAAAGACTTCAAGTATACAAGTAGTACCTACTTTGCTTAGGGTATTGCTCACGGCGTTAACGTTCGAGTTTAGTAATAAGGGCTTAGGTTTCGAGTTTGGGGTGATAGCCACACCTTCACCCAGAGGCTTCATAGTAGTTCCTTTTTTGGGATTACCTTATAGGATTCTAAATATGAACCCCCAAAAGGAACTGCGTTGGAGCCTTAGGGTAATCATCAGCACAACGCTCGCTTGGGATAAACGCTGATTGCTTTGGGGCTTCGGCCCCCGTTCCCAGGAGACATTCTTGGAGTAGAACTGCCTTTAAAGGGGTCTAGAAGGGTTACTGCAAGGGTACTACAATATAGGGACCGTAAGACTTAGAAGAGGGTTTGGGGGGTATGTTATACTATAGACATAATCCATAACCCCGATCAGGGAGGGACCCTTTCAGGTACTTATTCCCGACCGTACTAAGTCCCCCGACCCTCCAAGACCCCTTACAGAACCCTTATAGATCCCTTTAGAGGAGCTCTGAAAAAAACTCTACAGATCCCCTTAACTACCTACTTACTAAGTCCCGCGACCCTCCAAGCAAGGAGCAGTTGGAGACGAATGTTCGTCGTGCTCGTGAGAGTCTTTGAAAAGCCAAAATTCGTAATTAGGGTTTAGGGGCCGCAACAATTGCCTACACTGTTTTGGAGTTCCTCATTATAACTATAGGCGACGTTCTATTCATTAAGGCCCCCTATGATACTTCAAACCCTTACCCTGCAACCTGCAAAGATCATTGTTGCCTTCGCGCGAAATGCTCAAGAACCCTCCTAGAACCTGAAAGTATACTCTGAAATGCTGAACAACCATCCCAAACTTTCCTAAACGCAAGAACCTCAATCTTGACTCTGACATGCTCAACAACCATCCTAAACGCCAAGAGCTTCATACTGGCCTATGACATCCTCAGCAACCATCCTAACACCCAAGAACCAGAAACCAGACTCTGAGCTGCTCAAGAATCAAACCTACTAACCCCAAGGATCTGAAACTACCTATAGTCTCCATTGTAGTTCCTTTGTTGGTTTAACCAAGTAGATATTAAGGATCCTATATAAGGTAACCCAAAAAAGGAACTACAATGGAGACTATAGGTAGAACTAGACTCTGAAGGTCCTCACGCCCCCGAGCCTGATGCAAACCGAGCCACGGTTCGGTTTAGGGTTTAGGACGCTTAGGTTTCAGGATTTGAGGTGTATTTAGAGCTTAGGTTTTACGGGGCTCAGGCTGTTTAGGGCCTCTGCCGCCCGCTCTTCCCCCCCACCCCCCAACCCCCCCCGCGCGCCCGCGCGCCGCGCGCGCGCACACATCGAGGAGCGGTACCGCGAAGCCTTTCAGAAGCTCGAGGCTCGTGCTGCTTTTCTTGTGTTCTCGTTACTTGGAGGGTCATGGGACTTAGTAACTAGGGTTACAATGAAGGCAACAATACTTATAAACTTACAAATACTAGCTTATAACCCCAATTACAGTACTTGTAACCGTACTTACTAAGTCCCATGATCCTCCAAGTACGGAACTTAGCGAGAGTTACCATAGTAGGTATCTATAGTAAACAAGATGGTTTCCTTGTTCCGACAGCTTTAAAGTAAGTTTCTGAGCATGAAGCCAGTTTAGAGGTTTGATGGTTCGAAGTTTAGGGTTTAGGGCCGTGCGGTTCAGGGTGCAGGGGTCTAGGGAGTCTAGGGTTGCGGGTGTTTAGGGTTTTGGGGTTTTAGGGTTTGGGGTCTAGAGGTTTTGTAGGGTTCAGGGTGTGGGTAGCAGGACAGCACGGACGGAGGGAGAACCATCAAGTAGGGGGGCACCAGCCCGAACCACAGGCAGGGAGGGGAATGGGCAGGTTAGTGGCAGCAGTAAATAGCAAACTACATATGCTTCATATACCACATGTGATGGCTCATGGACATTCCTCGATCTACCATACAGAACAGGAGAGAGCGGAGAATCCGTTTTGCAAGGGACAACCCAAACCACGAGGGAACCAACCCTCAGGTGGAGAGGAGAGGAATATGGAGGAATAGGCAGCCATACAGCAACAGTATATGGTTAACCACCAGCAGTATACGGCAAACCACTAATATGCCCCATATTCCATCTGCGCTAACTCATGGACCATTCCCCGACCTAGGGTGTAGGAGAGAGTGGAAAATCCGTTCCACACGGGAGGAGGAGAACCAACCCAAACCGCAAGGGGGGGAGGGGAATAGCCAGCTGTGTGGCAGTGGTACATAGCAAACACAATGATGCTTCATGTACTCTGCATGGTATCATACGGACCATGGGGGAGGGGGAAGGAGGGGGCCCACCGCGGCGAAACCATTTATGGGGTTAGGATTTCACCGGCAGTACGGTGTAGGGGGTTCGTGTAGAGTAGTTTAATTCCAAATTCTGAACTCAAGAGGAGGAAGCTTCAAACCATGACCCTCGTGATTCAGACTGCGAACCACGTCAGCCAATCTCCGCAAGGGCTTGCTTGGATCGCGTTGTTCCAAAACGATGATTCACGCACCTGAGCCTCAACCGACCTCTTACATGCTCAGCTACATCAAGATCGGTCGGTATGAGGTTTAGTCTAAGGGTGCATTGGTTCGGGATTCTGTGCGTGGAGGCTTCGGATGATGTTGCAGGGTTTCTTGGCTTTACAGATGTGGGGACCTGGTTTATGGTGTAAGGGCGGAGGTGTGTTGTTTTAGAGTCTATAGGGCTTTACCGAGGTTTTAGGCTTGAGAGGTGAAGGGCTTGGGGTGGAATGTCGGATATGTCTGAGGGCTCATCAGGGTTGCAAGCATGTGCGCGTCTCAACGGTTCTGAGGCATCAAGCACGGTTTGGGTGATGTTGGGTGAGGTGGGTGTAGGCCTTCAAGTCATCGTGATTCGATACAACGCAGAGATTGTTGTGGGCTTCGTACAGTACATTGTGGCAACTCGTCTTCATCGGCAAAAAAAGAGAAACTGGAACCGCTTCTTTGCGTTGGATGTCGCTCATTGCCCAGCCACGGTCGGCTTGTTATAAGAAGACACGAAATAGCTCATGCTCCGGCGCATCGCTGTCATGCCTGACACGCACATGTTGCCATGCCGCAGTACATTGTATGGCAAGTTAATCGTCCTTACCTTGCATTGGTGATAGTAGATATCTTGTTAAGTAGATGCTTCAATGTTTGAAGATGTCCAGACGGCCCGGACCCATGGCGATATCAAACACAAGAACATTCCCAAGGTAAGCCCCATGAACCAAGCCAAGCTGCCGGCGAGCCCAAACTTCGTGCCCCTCACCTTTGACGAAGAAAGCAACTTGTGTTATTTGGAAACGCATGATGGTGTTAGTTAAGGGGAGCGTATTGGTAATGAAAACTAGTGCTTCAAACATACGAGGTATTACCCTGCAAACATGTAGAATGAAAATGCATTTGTTGTAGCAGCACTCTCCCCTAAACCCTAAACCCTATGGTAGAAGCCAGAAAGTTGGAACATTAGTATCCTCATGCCCCTAAAGTAAAGTATACGGGATCCTAGCACAAATCCTCCTAAATCCATGTTCCAACTTTCTGGCTTCTACTGTAAACCCTAAATGCCGAACTCCGGAATCCTGAACCCTGAGGGTTCCGCATGTTTGAATTCGCCAGGAAGTCGTCCCTGACCAGAGCACACGCAAGAAGGCCTGGTTTATGAGTAGACGATTTGTTGTGGATTTTTGATGAAGGGCTCAGGGATTTTTATCATGGGCTTGCAAGAGGAACTTTCTGAGAGTTGCCGCATGGTATAGTACTGCCATTGATGGAGGCGTGGTACGCAAGGGCTAGAGTTAGAGAAGAAGAACCCTATGTTCGGCCATTGCATCAGCACGATGAGCTCACAGTTTAGACGGGATAGTCTCACATCCTCCAATAATGCCTTGTCAGTTTCGAGTGCCCCCTTCTCTGCAAATGTGCTTCTCCGTAATTTATATACACATCAGTCATATTTCGGAGTCCCAAACCATCCCCTCACCGATTTTTACAGGATAAAGCCAAGCCCTTCCACAGCCTATCCATTCAAGCGTATATCAGTTTATTACGTGCGATTTCGTGTTCTGAAGAAGCTAGAGTCAGAAATCGCAGACGGCGACCACCGTAAACATCCGCAGAATTACTTGGTATGTGATGAAAGCAAGCCGGATGGGTAATGGCTTGGTTTGCCTGTGATGCAGGCAGTAAGAGAAATACCCCTGGAAGGACAGAGGATCCCTTCTCGAATCGGGATTGTTAAACAAGGCTTCACATTAAAGGCCTGAGTAAGCGTAGCATTCCACATGATCAACTGCAATATGCATAATAGCTGCACAATGCAGTTTGTTTATACTTGGGCATTGACATGTCCCCATCTAGTTTGAAACTACATAGTTCATAGTTCTGAAATTGTAAACTGTAAATCTCCAAAACTCACAGCCGTCGCACCCTAAACACTAAAGCCCAGACCTCGAACTCCGAATCTGCAAGGGTTAGGGTTTAGGAGTGCAGATCATCGACTTGAACTCTAACCCAGACATTTGGCACGCTAGTTTCCTAAAGCATTCAACTTGAAAAACCCATCAGTCTTAAGCTGCTGTGAACAGCTCGTGCTCGTGGCTCACGGCTAAGACCTCGACCCCCGAACCAGTTCAGGGTTAATTGTGGGATCTGCATGATTGTCGTAGTCCATTTGCTTTGTATTTGTATGTTTGCCTTGTTTGAGTTTGGGGTTAAGGCGTAACAGGGTGCGGGCTGGTGTCAAGAAACGCACACCCAAACCTGCTCGAACCCGTCAGCCCCTATGTTGCAAGCCGCCTCACCTTGAGCCCACTCTCTGTCGCAGTCGCGCGTGAACCCCATCTCCGTAAAGTACCAGGGTCGAGGTGTGTGCTGTGGGCTTTGAGTCGTTCGCCGGTTGTTCAACCCCTGGTGGAGATACTTTAGTAAAGTAAATATAGGTGCAAGGTGCGAGCTGCCCTCTACCTGTGTTATGTTGTAGCTGTCGTGTTTGACTTGTGTTTGTATACGGCGGTTGCATGTTGATTTAAGGGTGTGGCATCACCACATTACCCAAACACTCAATCTTGTCCTTCGGTTCGACTGGCGGGGCTTCGTGGTTTCGGAGCTTGTCTTTATGAAGGAAGGGTCCATGTACCCAAACTAGGTATTGAGTCGGGATGATGTTTAGGTTCCCTTGTTGTACAGTATATAGAAGTATATACTGTAACCCTAAACCCTAAACCCTAAACCCTAAACCCTAAATACTGTTTGGATACATGGACACTTCGGGCTTGGAGGTTGTCGGGTCAAGACTGCGGGGTATATGTAGGGTTGCGAGTTTGGGGTTGAGCGGTTTGTGTGTTGAATTTACCCAGAGGCTCCATAGTAGTTCCTTTTGGGGATTACCTTATAGGATTCTAAGTATGAACCCCAAAAAGGAACTACTTTGGAGCCTTAGGGTAGTTTAGGGTTTTTCATTGGGATGATAGGGTTTAGGGATGCTGGGGCTTGGTCGGCGCAGAGTTCTAGAGTTGGGATCGAAGGTTGGGGGATGTTTAAGAGGTCTGCATATATGGGAGTTTCCGAAAATAGGAAGTACCGTATTTGGGTGTCCTTATAAGGATCCTACTATTTAGGGTACTATATTAGGGCCCCCTATTTTCGGAAACCCCCATATGATTATTAATTACTTGCAAAGTCATCTGTGATTAGAGCGGCCCCTTTGTTGCAGGGTGTTTCTGGCTCGGAGACTTTGGTGCTTCGGCGCGAGACCCGAGCTCCTAAGCCCTGAACCCTAAACCCTTAACCTTAACCCCTTAACCCTAAACCCTACATTACTAAACCTGAACCCTAACCCCTAAACCCTGAAACCCTAGACCCTTAACTCCTCAGCCCTAAAGCCCGTTGTTGTCCTGCTTGTGCTTCCTGCTAACTCTCAGGGGTTTGATGTCTGAGGTCTTGCAATTTTTTTTGGGGGGGAGACCAGAGGTTGGGATTATTCCATGCTGTAACCATAACTAAACTAAACATGGTCATTGGACTTAGAAACTGGGGTTGTGATTACGGTAATACTTATGACACTTAAGGGTCATGGGACTTATAGTAACTATAGGGTTATGATTAGGGTAGCTAATAATTACTTATAACTACTCATAGCCACGATTAAGGTACTTATAACCCCACTACTAAGTCTCATGATCCTCCAAGTAGTCCCCCAAAGGTTCATGTGCTCAACTAGTAAATACATTGCAACTGCCAAACCTACATGGGGACTACGTAACGGCCGAAGCACATACTATTGGGGGTACATGAACCCTTCGGGGTCGCAAACCCCAGGACAATACTATGGTACAGACACTGGGGCATGTTTTGGAAGGTTCAGGCATGTGGCTTCGTGCGACAATGCATCCAGCAATCCGAGAAGCCAGCCAGACTTGCCACGTTAACGAGCTGATGCCATGATATAATTAGAGCAGCATCATAGCGCGACGATGCGTCAAGCAACAGATGAACTGTTTCACAGACATGAAATTGGTCATAGTCCATCCCGAGTCCCTGTTATAGCCGTCAGGTGAGAAGCCACCGCCCTCGGACAACCTCTACGTCAAGGGCCTGCCTGGCTGGATCACTGCATCTTGCCACAACCAGCAATGCAGAGTTCCAGGCTTCGTGTTCAAGTTTACGTGTTCAATTCAGTTAGAAGCAACACGGTGTGTTCTCCCATGTGTTCATGAAGGTGTGAGGGGCATCTATCTCCCAAACCTTAGGGCTTCCGTGGCTTAGCCGCCCCTTACGAGGGATTGCCGGGATTCCGGCGGCATACAATCTAGCCACCAAGCACCGAACTTCCATAAATGGGTCTTTGTACAATAGGGCTCCGTTTACCCTCGGCTCGCAAAACTAGAAACCCGTGCCCATAGCCTCTGTGCCCTAACTATGCAGGGTCTATACAGGGAACTCCAGAAAGTTGGAATATGGATTCTTGGTAGGATCCCCTATAATTTACCTTAAGGGGGTTAGGATAATGATATTCCAACTTTCTGGCTTTTACTTTAGGGCTTAGGATCCATCCCAAAATCCTTAGCACCCTGGACACTGACTGGGCTTTGGTGTACCATACTTTAATACGTTTTTCCCTGGAAGGAACCATTCTGAAATATGGGATTTCCGAAATTTGGGGATACCTTATTTTGGGGTCCTTAGAATAAGGATCCTATTATATATTAGGGTCCCCTGTTTTCGGAAACCCCCATATAAGTTTATACCTTTTTTCTCTCCCTGGTTGCTTAAAAAGCTTAAAAGCCCACCTGATCGAGGAGAGCGATATCGAAGCCATCTTCTCTGAGGTGGGTGAAATCCAGCAACTTGACTGGGGATTCCGGTTTAGGGTTCAGCAACTTGCCAGGACACCAAAATGTTGGGCAGTTAGGGTGTAATAGATGGTAGGTGGAGGGTCTAGGCGACTGGGGATCTTCAGCGAAAGAGTTTGTTGTTCAGGGTCGAAGGGTTGCAGGTTTTTGTGGTTTCATCCGTAGTCTCCATCGTAACTAGTGTGTTTTTTGGTTTACCTGATTGCAGACTAGATATAGATAGGTTTTATAGGAACTTTAAGGTTCAGCCTTTGGGGCTGTTGGGGCTTAGGAGCAAGAGTTTGCTTGGCGATCTCTCAACTTGAGGGTCCCCGTTGCCCGGCAAGTGTAGTCAGCGCAAGGTCCTAAAGTAGGTTTTAGGGTTAAGGATTTAGGGTTTTGGGATTTAGGGTTTAGGATTTAGTGTTTAGGGTTTAGGATTTAGGGTTTGGGTCAGTACACAAGCACTCTATTCTAGGTGTGAGGGGCGCCTATAGCACATGTTCTATCAAGATCTTTGGTGTGTGCCAGAGTCTGATCGGCAACCTCTCTCACGGAAGCCGATGTGGAGGTCGACCTGCATGTTTCTTGCAGCCTCGGACAGGGATGCTCAGTTCAGGACGCTCGCAATACCTTCTTATTCTCGTTCACAGTATTTGGAGCTAGTTTTTGTTGATGGCGACAGTGTTTGTGTGCTTCCCCACTCAGTAATAGTGGAATAATATTCATAATTTATAATATTCATAATATTCATAGTATAGTTATATTGGGACCTTACCAGTAGCCCTACTATAGACTCACTCTTACTGTATGGGGGCAGTACCCAAGGCTTCCAGTCGGGAGCGGATCGCATGGAGGAGCGGGGTCTGAAGCTGAAGCCCTTGAACCCAGAGACTCCAATATCCCTTAATTATAAGGAATATACCTCTCATACTAGGGATCCTACTAGAACTTAAGGTATATCCCTTAATTAAGGAATATGCCTTAAATGATATTAGGGATCCTACTATAGTTTAAGGTATATCCCTTAATTAAGGAATATACCTCTCATACTAGGGATCCTTTTACGGTATGTCCCTTAATTAAGGGATCTTTGAGTCTCTGGGAAGAGGCGATCACATCATCGAAGACGGGGATGGGCCCTGTGGCCATGGACGCGGCTTAGAGTTTGAGGTTTAGAGTTTAGGGGGTTAGAGTTTAGGGGTTAGAGTTTAGGGTTTAGAGTTTAGGGGGTTAGAGTTTAGGGGTTAGAGTTTAGGGTTTAGAGTTTAGGGTTTAATTAGAGTTTAGGGTTTAGAGTTTAGGGTTTAATTAGAGTTTAGGGTTTAGAGTTTAGGGTTTAGAGTTTAGGGTTTAGAGTTTAGGGTGTAGGGTTTTCAGGGTGTTTAGGGTTTATAGGGTTTATAGGGTTTAAACCCCTAGGGTTTACGAGCATCAGCCGCGCAGAAGGAAGAAGATGACAAGTCTGAGCAGTCGCCCACCAGCGTTGTCCAGTCGGCGGACGGGGCGGACCAGGTGAAGACAGGACCACAGCTCTTTTGGACTATAGGTATCCAGCGCACGCACTTCTAAAGGCCGCCCTTACAAACCCTAAAACCTACACCCAACACATTTAAACCCTGAACCCCTAAACCCAAAACACCAAACCCCCAAAAGTACAACCTCAATCCTACAACCCTAAGCCCTAAACCCCATAATTGTCCGAAGCCTCAAAGCCCCCACCCTAGACCCCGCCTTAATTTTCCCTAATATACCCTAACTATCCACTCTAAAACCACCAGAAGGGCTCCATTAACGGCCCCCTTTGGGAGCCTTGGTCCGTTTTAAGAGAGCCAGGAGTAGGGTTCGGAAGGGCTACCCTTTGAGGCTAGGATGCCCAGTAGTACCCTTATTCCCTTTTTGTAGTCCTAGGTTCCTTATAAAGCTACCCAATACCAAAAAGAGAGGCCTTCTTATTCTTAGGTTACTGGGTATCCTAGGAGGGGTCTCCCTCATCATGCTATCCGCTAAGGAGCATGAAGGTGAAAGCCGCCGATTGGGGGGCCATTGCCTTCGTCCGGCGGCTTGCTGCCATACAGGGGCCCTGGTAGTTCCGGGTTTAGGACTTGGGGTTTAGTGTTAAGGGTTTACAGTGGGGCTTCATACAGGGGCCTTTTGTTGGGTTTAGGGTTTAGGGTTGAGGATGCTTCAGAGTTTAGGGTTAGACGGTTTGGGGTTGAGGGCTTCGTACAGGGGCCTTCCTAATGATTGGAATAAGGTTCCTTTGAGGGTTCCTTTTTCATTAAGGGATTACTATAAGGGTAGTATAAGGGTTTGTATTGGAGGGGCTTTCTGATAATCGGACCAAAGTCCTCTAAAGGGCTCTACAAGAGCTCCATAAGGGGTTCTACATATAGAGACCTTGAAAATTGGAATGGTGTTCCTGTGATAATAACATTTTAGAATCCAGTTATTCAGGCCCCCATAGTGCCTGGAATCCGATTTTGGTCAGCGCTTGGCGTGCAGAGTTTTCAGTTTCGAAGCCTTCGCCTGGACCAAACAAGCCCCTACACTCTACCTGTTGCCGAAAAGACCTACTTTTTTGGGGTTCCTTATCATGGTTTCTATATGTAGTAGCTTAAAAGGTAGGTCTTTCGGCTACAGGTAGGCCCTAAGCCCTACACTCCTGTTTGGATCAAAGACTCGGCGATGAGCAATTTACCGCGAAATAACCCCGAAGTCTATACACCCTAAAGTCTATACCCCCTAAACCCTAAACCCTAGACTAAACCCTGAACCCTAAACCCTAAACTAAACCCTGAACCCCCTAAACCCTAAACCCTCAGCCTTGACCACTTCTTCTGAGGCTTGCAAGCACCCTAAACCCTAAAGTCTATACCCCCTAAACCCTAAACCCAAATCCCTCAACCCTGAGCCTTGACCGCTTCTTCTGAGGCTTGCAAGCAAGACAGAGGCCGAGAGAGCGATCACCCACTTCCACAATCGAGTGCCCCGAGTCCTCGAGAGGTCCCACTGGCTATCTTGAGAGATCTTGGTGAATATACTGTTTGGTTTAGAGGGTTCCGGGTGAGAGATTTTGGTGGGTTTTAGTGTTCAGGGCTTTAGGGGATTAGGGGTTTAGGGTTTAGGGTTGAGAGATTTGGGAATTTCCGAATATTAGGGGTACCTTATTCTGGGGTCGCTATAATAAGGATCCTATTATTTGGGGTGCTATATTTGGGTGCCCTTTGTGCGGAAACCCCCATTTTGGGCAATATACTGTTCGGTTTAGGGTTCCGGGTTGCCAAACCTAGAGCGTGCTATTTAAGCTCGCATGAGTCTTCAGAAGCACCCACCCAGAAGCCCAACTTACAACTTGCAGGGTTGTGAAGCTTTCCATATCTCTTTCTGACTTTCTGGTGGATTATTGGCGTTTCGTGCTGTGCAGTATATTGGTTGGACGACACCTTCGGCCGAATGGTTTTTGCATGGCCATGTTTGGACGCAGTGGAGTTTTCGAGCTCTGTGCTTGCTGCAGTATCACCTCTGCCTGCAGTGTCGGTTTTGCCCATGCGAACGTGGCAACATCATTGGCTTAAGGCAGTTTTGCTGATTCCGGGTACCCTCGAAGATGTTCGTCGGTGTCGCTGCATTGCTCGAAATCTCATTTTGTGCATGGAATGTCTTGTTTTCAAAGCAGGAGGTCAGAGCCGGTAGGGTTTCAGGGTCAGGGCCAAGGAAGAAGCATTTCGTTTGCCAAACATGGATCCATGTTGTCACTGTTGCTGACTCGGCCTTCGCCCACCACCGCCCGCCGACCCCAAAAGACAAGTGAGCGGGCTGGCGGGCGGGTTTTAGGAACTATGGTTGGTTTCCGGGGTTTAAAGGGCTCACGGCATTTGGTTTGAAGTCTGAACTCCCTAAACCTAAACCTGTAAACTCCCGACAAACTCGAAAAAGGCTTGCCAGTAGGCCAATTTTACATTTTCGTCGTCTTGGGTTCCCCCTAACATTACCCAATACCAACACGGGAGCCCTTGATATTCCTACGTGACTGAGCATCCTGGCGCCCAGGTTAGGGTTTAGGGTTTAGGTTATTCTTTTCCTACTAATTTGCTTTTCATATTAGGGAACCAAAAAGATAAAGGGCACAATGGTGCTACTGGCGAACCTAGCCGCAAGCCCTATAAACCATACGCATGTACATGTATGTGTACATTGATGTTTGTATACACATAATATGCGTATATACATATACATGTATATATATATATATATATATATATATATTTATTTATATTTATATATTTATTTATTTATAGATATAGATGTAGATATAGATATAAATCCTGCAAACCCTACAAAGCCTAAGCCGTGGCCAGGAAGGAAGCCGAGCTCGAGTCCAAACGACTCGCTACGGAGGTCACAAAGGCATCAGAAAGCAGGTCTTTGGGTTTTAGGGGTTTAGGGTTTTTGGGTTTTAGTGGTTTGGGGATTTTGGGGTTTTCGGGGTTATCGGGGTTAGGGATTTTAGTGAGTTTAGGGAGTTTAGGGTTTTTGGGTTTAGGGGTTTTAGTGAGTTTAGGGATTTTAGGGATTAGCGTTCGGGGTCCTTTGGGTTTTAGGATGGTGTTAGGGCTTAAGGATTTTAGGGTTTGGGGCTTTAGGCGTTTCGGGTCGTTGGGTCATTGGTTTAGGGTCTTTGTGGCTTGGGTTGAGGGTAACCCTGCTGGAAGCAGAAAGGCTGCAGCCCTGCCCTGCTATCACTGACAAAGTCACCCTGCAAATCACGTTCAGTGTCCTGCTTGCAAGCAAGGTCCTCCACCTCCGAGACCTTGGCAGGAAAAACCTGGGGTCAAGACAAATCAGCCCAGAAGATCCGAACACCGTGACCGAAATAGTCTTCCTTGACACCAACGATTGGGCCAAATATGAACAAGGACAGCGGCCCCACTTTCCGAACTCCAAGCGTGCACAAGGCTTGTGGGCGCTGATTCGAAACTTCAGCCCAAGCCTTTTGGAACCACTTAAAACAATGGTGGAGAGCCATCAGGCTGACCTTGAAAGGTTCACGACTGAGCTCTATCAAATCACCAGAGGTCTCCTTTCGGCTTCGGACTGTGACGATGTGATGGCTGCCCTTGTATCCTCCCGGGCTCTGGACACCACGCCAGAAGGCAGGCTCTGCCAGCTTGTCTTGGAAGGCAACCCGCTTCACGACCTGGAGCCGCGTCGGGCGTGGGTGCTAAAGTTGTCAGGACCGAAGGGGAGGGTTGAGGAGTTCAGGGCGCTTGGAGCTTTAGGGGTCTCGGGTTTAGGGGTTTAGGGCTTAGGCTATTTTAGGGTTTGGGGGCTTAGTTTGGTATTATTTAGAGTTTGGGGGGGTTAGTTTACTTTTTTTTTTCCGGTTTGAGGGGTTTAGTTTTGTTTTGTTTCTGTGGGCCTGGTTTGAGGTTTTTTAGCGTTAATCGTTTGGAGAACATGTTCAGAGTTTCCGGCCTTGTCGGAATGCTTTCAGGGCTTGGCTGAGAGTTTAGCGCTGTGCAGCAGAAGAGTTGTCTGGTTGCCTAGACCCTACCCTAAGGCTCCAAAGTAGTTCCTTTTTGGGGTTCATATGTAGAATCCTATAAGGTAATCCCAAAAAGGAACTACTATGGAGCCTCTGGGTAAACCCTAGATTGAGACTGGGGGCTGATTCGTTGTCGCGGTGTCGGCTTTGTTGGGGCCGTTTGCTGGTACGAGCAGAGTTTATCAGGATATTGCCAGCTTAGCAGCTTTTCGCATTTGACCAGCATAATATTCTCTGAAGTTTCCTGTTCTACCTTAACCCTAAACAGCCTCCATTTTAAGGACTTAATATTAAATCATATTAAGGAGCCCCGAAAAGGTAGGTTTCTTGGGGTTCAGGTAAACCCGATACCCGAAAGCCTAGAAGCCCTAAGTCGGAGGGGCGGTAGCAGAGACCGAGACTCATCTTCTTGTTTGAGATTATACCCAGAGGCTCCATACATAGTACCATCATGGAATTAGGCCCCAAAGACCATCCTTATCAGGGTTTTAAGGGCCTAATTCCATAATCGTACTATATGTGGAGCCTCTAGGATACTTTTGTGCCCCCTTTGCCGTACTCTCACCATACGCTGCACTCAAAAAAACCCAGACCTAAGCCCCAAGCCAGAGGCCCGATAATACGAGGGCCTGAACAGTGATAATTGTTGTTCCTAAGCGCTCCTTTTTCTGTTTGGCTCTCTCGATAAACAGATATTGTACCTCAACCTCAAGTCTTGCCTTGCAGCAAATGGCAGCAATCAGGTCATACTGGTGTCGGACAAAAAGGGTACCTAGTTGTGGTCGTGCCTCGTACACATGGAGGACAGGACGTGTACGGAAGACTGCATCGTGCAGACACCACGAGCTGCAGAAGTATGAGTCTGCTGCGCCCGGAAGAAGAACGTCAGTGTCACAGCGACAACGGCGACGATGCGCTCAACTCGCAGCATCCCGGCACATGCAAGTTTGGAGAAGCCTTGCTGCAGTCCTTGACGAAGCAATTCGTCTTTGGCATGCGGGGTAACGGGTATCCGTGTGATTGTGGGTGATTCCTATCATACGCGCCGCGGGGGCGTGGCAGAGCCAGCGTGAGTAGTATACTCCAAAGCCCTCTTGCTATCATGGTAGAAACATATGCGAAGCTCCGAGATAGAGACCCACAAGCTTCCCTAAACTCGAAAACTAAACCTCTAAGACCCCAAAACCCTAAATGCTAACCCCCTCAAGCCCTCCAAATCTTTTAAGACCCCAAATCCCTGAATGCTAAACACCTGAAGCCCTCTAAATCTAAAGCCGTAAGACCCGAAAACCCGAAATCCTAAACCCCTGAAGCCCTCTAAATCTTAATCCCAAAGACCCCAAATCCCTGAATGCTAAACCCCTGAAGCCCTCTAAATCTAAAGCCGTAAGACCCGAAAACCCGAAATCCTAAACCCCTGAAGCCCTCTAAATCTTAATCCCAAAGACCCCAAATCCCTGAATGCTAAACCCCTGAAGCCCTCTAAATCTAAAGCCGTAAGACCCGAAAACCCGAAATCCTAAACCCCTGAAGCCCTCTAAATCTTAATCCCAAAGACCCCAAATCCCTGAATGCTAAACCCCTGAGCCCTCTTGCTGTCATGATAGAAAAATATGGGAAGCTCCAAGATAGAGACCCGCAAGCCTCCCTAAACTCGAAAACTTAACCCCTAAGACCCCAAAACCGTAAATCCCTGAACCCCGAAGCCCTCTAAATCTACACCCCTAAAAGCCCCCAAAACTCTAAACCTTAAAGCCTCTGAAGCCCTCTAAATCCTAATCCCTAAGTCCCCAAATCCCCAAATCCTACACCCCTTAAGCCCTCTACATCTAAATCCCGAAGACCCCAAAAACCTATATCCTAAACCCCTTAGACCTCTGAATCCAAATCCCTAAGACCCCAAAAACCTAAATCCTAAACCCCTAAGCCCTCTGGAGCCTCAATGGCACGGTTTCACAGTCCGTGTGCATCAGGGCATGTTGCGTGCCACGGTCGACCAGCTGGCACGAGGCGTCCGTTGGGTTTGGGGTTTAGGGTTTAGGGTTATAGATTTGAAGCTTCGGTCCAAACCACTAAAAATGTAAAGCAGAGAGTGTGGCTGAGGATGGAGGTCTCCGCAGGGTTGGCAGTCAAGGGGGTGTTTGATTTTGGATGCATGGCGATATAAGAGTTGTGAACCGAATTCAAGGTTTGGGGCTTTTGAAGACTTCATATCCATAATGTGGAAGCTTCGAAGAAGTCTAACACGACCGCCTTCTAAAACATTAGGTTTTTCGTTCTGTAGTTATAGACTAAATTTTGGAGGGACCATTCGAACATTACCGCTGTTTTGCAAGTACATAACTTTTCCTAAGGAGGCCATGCAACTGTATCAGTAGAGTACTTGTACCCTTCTGAGAATACAGGCGACTTAGTACGTAGGTTTTTTGGCAGATTAACTCCATTGCCTCCATCCTGTGATCCTTGAGGTACTTGGAGGATCATGGGACTTAGTAAGTAAGGTTATAAGTTATAAGTGCCCTAATTGGGGTTATAAGTATAGTTACCCTAATATTATAAACCTAGTTACTAACTCCCATGACCCTGTAAGTAAGGTCAGCTAAACCCTCAAGCCGAGTTCTTTCACGAGCCGCAGTGGCGTTTCGGTTACGGTTCGTACTAGTCCACCCCCGAACCCAAACCCTAATGCCTGCGTTCAGCGGCCTCCGGCAGAATTGATGCACAGCCGGACAACCTACAATCCGAGTCCTCGCGACCATCGAACCCCTTGACCCTTCAACCGTTCCAGCCGTAAGAGCCCACATCCCTAAACCGTATGCCCGAAGCACTATCCCCTAAACGCGACACCTCATACTCTAGAACCTAAGCCCTGACAAACCCCAGACTCTGAACCCAAATCCCCAAATTTGAGCCCTGAACCCTGGCATCCCCCAACCCTAAACCAGCGAAGCCCAAGTCAATTCCTGAAAGCTCCCCTAAAGGGAACTCCAGAAAGTTGGAATATGGTTTCAGGGTAGGATACCTTATAATTTACCATAGACGGGTTAGGATAACCATATTCCAACTTTCTGGCTTTTACCTTAAGCTTGCTGGCGCTTACTGCTAGGGCGAGGGGGAGAATGGGATCCGTATAACAATACTTACAGGGTCTTGGGATTTAGTAACTAGGGTTTAGGGTTCAGGGTTTAGGGTTTCGAAGGGTCATGGGACGTAGCAACTAGAGATATAATTGAGGTAACTACGCGTATACTTACTTTTATCCCCAAAGCAGGCACTTATAACATTGCTTTCTGAGTCCCATGATCCCCAAGCACCCTACATGAGCCCCTATACGTAGTCCTTTTTATCGCTTTCCCTACATTTCCTTACGCAGCAGTAAGACCTGTCGGAACACCGTTATATACTGAGCGTTGTAGAAGCCCTCACTGGAGCCCTATCCTAATTCTTTAGGCCCCCATCTTAATCCAATCAGGCATCATTGTGGTGGTGGACTTGCGGAGACCCCTTGGTTGTGTGTGCCTCCGTCGCAAGCTAGTAAGATGTGGTTTTTAAGGTCTAAAGATCGCAAGGGCTATGCGGAGTCTCACTGAAGGTTCAGCGACTTCCTCGTCACGAAGACCGTGCAGGAGGACTGTGTCGAGCCTTTATTTCTCATGCCTTCGCCGCTGCATAAAGCCCTAAATTTGACTTCCCAAAGCCCTACGGACACAAAGACACACACAGACACACACAGAAACGAACAGTGTGCGACCTTTCAGATGCGATGGCGGCAACTGGATCTTGGGCTGCTTGCTCGGCGACTGAATCCGGATGTTTGACACATCAACACTGGCTTTGTGTTTGAGAGGGGTTTAGGGTCGTTTAGGGTGATGATGATGATCATCATCATCATGACCAGCACTACCATTGCTGCCTCCACCGACAGCGCCGCTGCCAGCGCCACCTTCGTTTTCTCATTCTTAACACTTGAAGACATCGATGTTCATCATGGTGAGAGTCACGACGTCCACCATGATTCAGGGGATCAGGAAAGTGCGAGTATGGACATGGAGGTGGGTTCGGATGCGTGTCTGACTATCCATCGCTGTCCTTTGCCTCATTTCCGCAGAAAGCCTACCATGAACAAAAACAAAAACACTGTGTCTCTTGACATCGAAGAGATCTCCCAAATCCAGAAACTCTAAGCCCTTATCCACCAAGTTCAATGTTTTTTTGCAGTATTGCTCACTTCAACAGGCCCTCTGACAAGCCCTGAGCCCTTTACCCTCAACCCCATGAATTGTCACCTAAACATACCTATATCCTCATCAAGCCGCATACCCAAGCCCCCTTACGTCAACAGAAACAAAACTATACCCTTTACAACAACAGAAACAAACCTAAAACTACCCAAAGCCCCCTGTAACAACAGCAAGACACCCCAAACTGTCAGCACTTAAAGGGTCACGGGACTTAGTAACTAGGGTTATAATTCAGGTAACTATAAACATAGTTACATATAACCCCAATTAAGGTACTTATAACCCTAATCACTAAGTCCCATGATTCTCCAAGTAGACCCTAAACCCTAAAGCATTATAGTACCCCTATACATCCCTTAAAGGGACCCTTCACCCCCTACTTACTAAGTCCCATGAATTAAGGCTAATTACTAAGTCCCATGATCCTCCAAGTAGACCCTAAACCCTGTAAACCCTATAGATCCCTTGAAGGAACCCTATAATGAGATCCCTTTAAGGAGCCTTACTTACAAAGACCATGAATTAAGGCTCATTACTAAGTCCCATGATCCCCCAAGTAGACCCTAAACCCTGTAAACCCTTTAGATCCCTTTAAGGAACCCTATTAGATCCCTTTAAGGAGCCTTACTTACTAAGTCCCATGATCCTCCAAGCACAGCCAGCACAGCAGGACCCTAAACCCTAAACCCCTAAACCCTAAACCCCTAACCCCTAAGCCTAAACCCCTAACCCCTAAACCCCTAACCCCTAAACCCTAAACCCCTACCTAACCCCTAAACCCCTAAACCCTAAACCCCTACCTAACCCCTAAACCCCTAAACCCTAAACCCAAAAGGACGGACAAGGCTTCGCCCTGGGGATCCGGCAAAACTGGCGCGTCCGCTCGGTCGGGGGCGTGGAGGTTCAGAAGAACACTGACCTCAAGGCCATTGAAGGGTTTAGGGTTTCTGTAAGAGTTCCTTTAAAGGGATCTATAAGAGATCTATGAGGGGTTGAGGGTTTTGGGTTTAGGGGTTTCGGGTTTAGGGTGTAGGGTTTAGGGTTTATATTCAGGGTTTGGGGTTTTGGGTCTGGGATCGGGGAGGTTCCATACAGTTCTGTACGGCTGAACTCTAGGGTTCCTGGTGTAATACGTCCCAAGACTCTCTTCCGTGTGTTAAAGTCCCCATCCCTATGTTTGAGTGCTCCGTGCCCCCTACTCCATGGACAGAGTTCGATACACCTTCGTCCTTGCTACCTACGCTCACTTTGCTGGAGCCTCGCAGACCGTTCCTGGGCACGTCACGTGGGTTTACTTGGAGGATCATGGGAGTTAGTAAGTGAGGTTATAAGGTCATAAGTCCCCTTAGTTGCCTTAGTTGGGGTTAGAAGTAATTAGTATAGTTACCTTAATTGTAACCCTAGTTGCTATGTCCCATGACCCCTTAAGTAGGGTTCAGGGTTTAGGTAGGGTTCATGACTAACAGGGACGTGCTGAAGAAACAGTTTCTGGAGCGGCTGCTTCTTATGATTGGCCTGCAAGAGACCCGATTGCAGAGTCAGCTGTGCCGCCTGATGCCCAGTTCCACATGGGAGTTTCCGAAAATTCGGGGTACCGTATTTTGGTGTCCTTATAATACGGATCCTACTCGATTTAGGGTACTATATTACGGTCCTTATTGTCAGAAACTCCCACATCACTCGCCTGGATGCACTCTGCCAGGCCCGGGACGCATGGGGAGATGAAGCTTGCGAAGTAAGGTTTGTAGGGGTTATAGTGGACCCCAGAAAGTTGGAACATGGATTTAGGATGATTCATGCTGGGATCCCCTATACTTTGCTTTAAGGGCATGAGGCTACTGATGTTCCAACTTTCTCGCTTCTACTGTAGGGTTTAGGGTTTCGCTTTGTGGACCAACGGCAAGCAAGGAGGTTCCATATGTGGAGGTGGCAAGAAAGACTACTATTTGCTTAAGAAACCCCCAAAAAATAAGATAATGATCCCTATATTACCCCCCCAATAAGGAATATATTTTTTGGTTTTTGGGGGTTCTTAAGCAAATAGTAGAGGAGTACTGCCTCACGGCTGACCATCTCACTGTCATGGCAGCCTGGTCTCGCCACATGCGTCCAGATATATGGGAGTTACCGAAAACTGGGGTACCTTATTTTAAGGCTCCTTATAACAAGGATCCTACTATTCAGGGCACTATATTCGGGTCCCCCATTTTTGGAAACTCCCATATAATAAACCCAAGAGGGTCCATATGTACTACTATAATGCAATCCTAAAACGGCAGCAAAAAAAAGGACCCTCTGGGAACCCCATGCCCCTGAAACAAGGGAGCTAAATGGCTAAACCCCCAAACGCCGAAACTCGGCCGCTAAACGCCTGCAACTCCGAATCTCTACTTGGAGGGTCGGGGGACTTAGTAACTGGTTATTTTAGGGACTTATAGGTACCATAACCCCAATTAGGGTCCCTTTTAGGGTACTTATAAGTCTACTTACTACCTACTTACTAAGTCCCCCGACCCTCCAAGTACAGCCCTCAAGCCCCAACGGGCTGACAAGGGTTTTTGTCAGCAAGCAGGCTGTAGGATTTACTAAGGAGCCTACATAATTACCGATACTGTTTTGGGGGTTCCTTGCTATATTTATAATATGATGGGCACCAAAACCCTATTCTAATTATTAAGGCCCCTATACGGGAACACCTCAGATGTGACAGAAACAAAGACTGGGTGCACATGAACGTATGAAAGAGGCTTGAAATAGTTGTGATAGTACTCTGCTGAGTTCCCGCAATGAATCAGACTGGACCCCAGTACACTGTCCTGATCTTTGAGGCCCCTACAGATGTGACAGATATAGACATATAGACATCCCATAAAAAGATGGTCTGCATACACTCCCGGTATGTTTTTTGGACTGATGGTGTTATTGCCCAGCTTGCTCATTACTGCACAAAATGCATGCATTTGGTTGTATGCAGACCCGTCTATCATGAGATGAAGGACGCTACACGTCTAAACCGTATGTTTGCCAACGTAGTAGAAACCGCGAGAACACCCATCACCACCCACAAATCCTTTCTAACACACCTCTTAGCAGTCTTAACACCCTGCTTACTCTATGTACTCGCATCTTCGTGCGTCCGATCGTTAAACTTACGAGTCCTCGTAGCCCAGTTACCTATATAGTTGGTTGATGTCCCTTAAAAACCTTATCCCTAAGGGTCCAAGTACCCAAATACTAGGGTTTCAAAGTCCAAAACCATTCAGAGTATGGATTTTTGAACTTAAAGCCCTACTATTTGGGTACTTGGACCCTCTGGGTTATAGTACCCATGACCCATAAACTCACCAAACAAGTAACTGGGGTCCTAGGGTAAGCTGGCATACCAAGCTCAAGCTTAAGGCAGTTGTTGGGCCTCTGCGTTTACGGTTGGAACCATGGTATCCCCTATAGTATCCCATATAGTCTCCACTATAGCATTCCATATAGTCTCCATGATAATACTCCTTACGGCATCCACTATATGCCAATAACTTATCTAGAATCGCGCGCTCGTCAACTGAACTGGAGGATCGCATGGCCAATCTGATCTCGCAGGTGCGATGCTTAGATTCTGTAATGGTGAATAGTGTCTCTGCGCTGTAGCAATAGTCGTCTGAAGGCTGAAAGCCCTCAAATCATGAGAACATTAAAATGCCCCTGCGCCCAGCACATCAAGCCTCGCACCTACAATAGGCCGTATAGGCTGTATGGTTTGGGGGTGAAGATGCAGGATGTACAAGTGGGGGCGGGGGGCGCAACAGTGCAACAGTAGGGTTTTTTCCAGTTTTTTCGGGTTCAGAGTTGGTCAAAGGTCAGGGCCCTTTAACCCTAAACCCAAAATCCTAAACCCTAAACCCTATAAGCCCTAAACCCTAAACCCTATAAACCCTAGACCTTAAGCCGCTGTGATCAGAGCTGAGAGCTTCGAACGGAACTGCAGGAAGTTGAGGCAATTGGTGCGAACTACCTTCAACCTCCAACACCCGAAACCCGAACCCCGTTTTAACAATTATAGTTTAGGGTTGAGAGTTAGTTCCCTACCTGGACCCCCAAAGTATGTAGAATGATAGCTGTTTTATGGGTTTTGGAACATTTGTTTACCTACTTTGGGGGGGTTTAGGTAAGCCCTGTACCCAAACCTGCACGTTATCGACCACGGCAGTGAGAAAGAAGGCTCTTCGCAACAAACTTCCATGCATGGCAGCATCAACAGTCAACTGTGGCTTGGTCACCAGAGGGTCCGGTCCACATAATACGAGGGGTTTAGGGTTCAGGGGTTTGGGGTGTAGGGGTTTAGGGTTCATATATACTACTTTTTTTTTGGATTTCTGCCCCAAAAGACCATCCTTATTATGGTTTTGGGGACCTGATTCCATAATCGTAGTATATAAGGACGCTCTCGGTTCAGAAGTCGAAAGAAGTCCCGCCACAATCCCCGAGAACCCTCTTGTGACCATAGGCGCCTCAATGTTCCTTGCCCCAAGGGTCCAAGTACCTAATAATCATATACTCTCCAAAATCCTAACCTACATTCATAACTACTATCCTACATCCCCTTACCCAGAGCCGTACCCGTGAAGGAGCCCTTAATCCTAAACCCTAAACCCTTAAATCCTGAACCCTGAACCTCTAAACCCTAATCCCTAAACCTTGGTATTATGACCCTGAAAGGCTAGGACCCAGAGTACGCCCTTATGCCCTTTTTGAGGGTTTAGGTTCCCTTATAACCTGCTTTAACCCAAAAAGGGCACCCTTTTTGTTCCTAGGTTACTCTTAGGTCTAGTGAAAGGAGCCCTAAGCCCTTCCAGGGAGTGAAGGAGGTGGCCATCGTTTTCTCGCCGCCGCCCATCGTCGCCAGCTTTGAGAAACGGCCCATGGGCTTCACCGTCGCCAAGGCCTTATGATTTCCTTATATATGTCCTTAACAAGGTAGGTCCTTCAGGGTTTAGGGTAAAGGGTTTAGGGTTTCTTATAAGGTTTTAGGAGTGTTTGGGGTGTAGTGTTTAGGGTTTTAAGGTTTAGGGTTTAGGCTTCAGGGTTCTTAGCTGTGTATGACCCCTACCCTATAATGGGCTATATAATGGGTATATAATGGCTATATTATGGGTATATACCTAGGGGTCCTTATTAAGGGTCCCTCCTTTTCCCCTTGGAGCCAAATTCTGGATCTCTCAAGGAGTACGCGCTTCTTGCCTGACAGCCCGACTGCCCCGGTGCCGAATTTCATCTTGTAGGTTACGGTCTTGGGGCCATAGGCAGTCTACGCCCGGCCTGATCGACAACCCCAAGAAACCCTGCATAAGTACTAACAGCTTCTAAACCCTAAACCCTAAGCCGGAGATGGTATACGTGGTCATCCCGTCAGTATGTATGGGTAAAGTACAGAGAGGTGTTCCCCTCCCTCAAGCAAAATGGCATTTTGGACGCTAGCTGCTGAACGAAAAGAGGGCTCAACAACAAAAGAAAAGCCGGAGATTACGGCGCAGGACTCAGAACCGTAAGCCCTAAAACCCTCAACCCTACCCTAATGGTCCTAACAAATTGGGGAACCTCAAAATTGAGGATTTCTGAGACCACCAAAAAGACCCAAGGACTCTCCATAGGACATTCCGGACCCTCCTAAGGAGATACCTAACCCTACCTTAACCCTGAATAACCTAACTTTTTAGGACTCCTTATTATGATTTCCTTATATAAGTCCTTAAAAAGGTAGGTCCTTCAGGGTTAAGGTAGAGCCTATGCAGGATTCAGAACTGGGTCTCATCCACGTCTCCAGCTCCACCGGGGTGGCGCGCGCCTACGGCAGCTCGGACGCCTGTCAGTCCCAAGGTTCCATGTGACTCCAAGTAGTCCTCATGTAAGTACCTTACGCCAAAAAAGTGTAGTCACTGTATAGTATAGGTACTTTAAGGTACCTATAAATAGTCCCTAGTATATAGCTAGGTACTTTATGGCCTAAAATATTGGCGTTTTGGGTGCATGTAGCTTTTGGGACGCTTGAAGGGCCAGTCACATGAAGGCTTTCCCTCGGGCTCCGGTTGCCTAAGTAGCAGGTTAAAAACTTGAAACATCCATATAAGAGTTTCCGAAATAAGGGGTACCGTATTTTGGTTGAGCACGGACACATCAAGCATGTCATTTGGCACTGCCCCCGCTTTAATGGGCTGCGTGAGCATTGGCCCGAGTCACTGTTACAAAGGCACCATTGGCATGAATGCTCTCTCAACGCCATGGTTTGTACGCGAGACCTGCCCGTAAGTGTGCGCAAAAAATGGCATTCGTTTCAAGTTCTTGTCTGCCAGCTCCTGACACAGTGGATGACGCTGAACAGGGACAAAGATCAATATGAGCCCTTTTTGCCGCGCAGTATCGACACCCCTGCCAGATGCTTTGGTCCAGCCAAACTTTGCAACAATCTGTCGCAAAAAGTTTTTAGAAATATTCCCCTGCTTTCTCTCAAATGGCAAAGACCTGGCACATCACATGCCATGCAAAGGTGGGGAGGAACTCGGGAAGATTTCAATTCCTTTTTCTCCTTCTGGAGCCAGTGGTCTGTTGCTGATGTTCCTGGCCGTGTACCTGTCTCCTGCTGGTCGCAAGCTTTCGCACTCTTTGTCGCTTCTGGTGGCGATGCTTCCCCGTTCGCTGCCTGTGGCCAGTATGTAGGCATGAATATTTACAAGTTTCGGCTTTTGTCCGTAGCACTTCTCAAGAGTCAGATTGTTCCGGAGGATTCCCTCGATGATATTTTAAGCCCTTCCGACAACAAAGCAAAATGGGTGCTGAATTTTCCTGCAGACACAGCTTTTCCGCACGCCCTTTGGTTCCCCAAAGGCTGGAACCTTCAGTCGTCTGCACAACAGCTTATGGTTTTGCAATCACAAATCCAGCTTGAAGAAAACGTTGATGCACAGGTAATTCGCATCCGTCCCTGTGATTATATAGATGCCATTTCGAAAAATGGATGAAACTTGAAGTTAATGACCTTAACGCCTCTTGGAGTGTTCCTCGCCTTAAAAGGAAAATCACGATTCCACCTTGGGTTTCTCAAGTTTTGCATTGCCGCGATCATCCTGACTGCCCTGGGGATACCCCTATTCCGTGCATCACTCAGAAACCACTGTCTGAATGGGTGAAATTGGATTTGGGCCAGATTCGTTCTTTCATCGCTCAGCCCGGCCTCAGGTTTATTGCTGCCAGAAAACGTTATAGGGTGCTTAGGCAGTCCATTCTTGACTTTTATAATGATCAGCTTCTGGGTAATTCTCGGAGATCCCATGTGGTCAAGCCTGACTGGACCATGGATTTTCGGTGTTTTTGCTGCCACAAAAGTATCAATTTCGCTTCTGACCCGCGAAACTTAAAGTCAGGCTGCTCGTCTGTTACAGACATCTCTGAAGCTACCTACAGTGAATGGCTTTCCTCTCTTGATGAAACTTCCAGCGCGTTAGACATGATCATCGCCAATTTCCAGTGATTGAAACAACACCTGTCTGTTCTTTCTGTCTCACCTTTGTCGCCTATGACCTTGTGTCCGACTACCTAATAAGGATCCTACTATTTAGGGTACTACACTGGGGTCCCCGATTTTAGGACACTCCCATATCATGTAGCCCGGTAACCCAGCATTAGCTAGCTCGAGCCTTGGGGTTTGAACGGTTGAAGCAGCTTTGGCAAGATTCGATGGGCTCCAATCGTCCTGGGATAGTTAGGGGATTTACACGGGTTCGCAGCGAAGGTAGATATGGGGGGTTTCCGCAAATTAGGACTACTGCGCCCCACTATTCAACATGCTCCAAGACATGGGCCTCCACCCTCTGACTCCTAACACAAGGGAGCCTTGGGGCCTCTGCCGGAACAAGTGTTCGGGGGCTTAGCTCACCAGGACTGCAAAGGAGGGGACTCTTGCCGCGAAAATGGAGGCTGTATCTTATTTTGGGGTCCTTATAACAAGAGTCTTATTATTTAAGGTAGTTTATTAGGGTCCCCCATTTTCGGAAACTCCCATAAGAGTCTATAGACGGGCAGGCACGCCCTCCAACTGCTTCAGGCCTGAATCATGTATATGGGTTTCAGAACTTCCTGCACGATTTCAAGGCTTGTTGAACGTCCCATGTCCTTGTCCGTCTTAGTCGTCATAGTAGTAATGCGAAACACAGACATGCTCAAACTTATGATACTGCCAGTCACCAATTACCATCAAGGCAGACACCATGACTCCTGACTGCTTTCGTCTCCATCATTGCAGCATCAGCATCAACAACATCACCACCATAATGATGATGATGGCTGTGGTGATGGTAACTAAATACGCGCGTCACCATCAGCAGCATCGCATTCTTCACCAGCATTGTCCTGATATTCGTCATCCTCAACTTTATCATCCTCTGTATCTTCAGTGTCAACAACACACAGGGGCGCCAACATCACGCATCGCCCTAAAACCTGAGCCCTAAACCCAGTTACGAGCTTAGCTTGTGCACCCGAGGCATTAGGCCTGGTGCGATTGTCTCCAACATCGGTGCCCTGCCTGCAAACCTGCAAGCGGTTTTAGGACACCCTCAACCTTCCTTTTGGATCGGAACCGCTGGATTCTGTCGGAGTTCATATCTCAATCCCTCAAAAGACAGATCATCAATTGCCCAAAGCCCTATAATCCCGAGTCGCAAGCCAAAAAAGCCGCCAGGGGTATGGGTCCGAAGGCTGTGACTTGTAGGCTTGCTCCTTTATGTTTTGGGGTTTGAAGTTTAGGGTTTACACGCAGATTTGACATTTGCCCGGTTGTGAATGTCGATAGGATGGTGCCGTAATCGGGCTGACGAGCAAAGCTCCTCCAAGAGATGGAATTTGAGAAACATTGTTAGGACAACAAGAGCTCATAATGTAGGAACCTGATTCAGAAACCCTGGTCCTATAATTAACAGCAAGGTTCATATCAGGAACCCTAATAAACGCCCAAGGTTTCTTAATCAGGTTCCTACACGAGCCCAGCAAAAGGTTCCTGTGTTTCAGAGCCGAGCAGCAGGGCCCGTGTTGAAACATGCCCAGACCCCCGGATCCAAAAAGTAGATCCCTTAATGGGGGTTCCTGTAAAGCTTTCTAGATCCTTCCGGGGGTCTGGGTAAGGGCCGGCCATCCCGGATTCTTCCGTAACCTGTTTGAGAACCCGGCCCCTATAACCGCAATACAGGGTTCATATAAAGAACCCCAATAAAGACCCAGGGTGTATTTATGAGGTTCCTACATTAAGGGCTTAGGGTGCTGTGTGTGGGAAACGAAGGTGGCTCAGAAGTCAGCTCCCTCCGAATTGAGCACGTCCGGGACATGCTCAAGGAGGCCCACGAGACTCTCTGAGACCCAACCACAACCAGAGTTTTAGTTTCATAGGCTAGGATTTAAGGATCAGGGTTTAGGGTTTAGGGTTCAGGGCAGTATAGTGGCGCCTGAATTTATCAACATTATTCCTTCGGGTTTCTTTGATAAGAGTTGACTAAGATATATTCCCAGACAGTAGTCTTTGAAGCCAGTGCCCGGTATTAGAATCTGGAAGTGATAACTGTTAGCATCTAGAATGGGCGAAATGGGGACCAAACAAGGAACCACACTGAGGGCATTGGCCACACCCACAGGCGGAAAGCTTGAAACCCTCCGACCATAGATTCCCGAGGTTCCCCAGTAGCACCCTTTTGCCCTTTTTGTTGTTGGGCTCCCTTATCGAAAGCAAATAATAAGACAAAGGGTAAGCTTGTTATCAAGGGGCTACACAGGAGCCTAAATTCAATCCGAACCCCTGGATAAACCCTCAACCTCACTGGGGTACTTGTCGGAATTCATTTAAACATGTATCTGTCGAGAAATTCAAAACTGAGGAAAGTCCGAATGTGTAGGTTTTGCCTGTAGGGTTTAGGGTATACGGTTCAGCAGTTTAAGGTTGAGTTCGCAGAGTTGGTAGGGCTTATAGGGTCTATTCTTTAGGCTTTCCGGTTTGAGGGTGTCGGGTTTAGCTAGGCCCCCCCAACTACGCTTTGCTGCCCAAGGAAAACTGTGAGATCCCATTAAAGGTTACTTGGAAACACCCAAAACCCTAAACCCTACACACCTAAAACCTAAGTCCCTGAGCACTGATTTCTAAACCCTCAATATAGGGGCCGTCCTTAAGAATTACCTATACCATTTTTGGCGGCTCCTTATCATAACTACAGTCTAGTGGGCCCCAAAACTCTATTCTAATCATCAACCCTTACAGTATCCCTATCCCTTATAGTAACCCTGATAGGCCCCTTTAAAAGGAACCCTATTCTAATTTCTAGGGCCCCTATAGTACATGCATGGGATCCTTTGTAGTAACCCTTATAGACCACTTTAAAAAGGAATTCTAGGGGATTTTTCGTATTCCCACTGTTCTTGCGAGGTGAGCCTGCCCGTCTCCGTCCATTTCGAGTCTACGGCTTGCACACGTTTGGGTTTAGGGTTTCAAGGGTTTAGGAAAGTTTAGGGTTCAGGGTGAGGGAGACCTTAGGTTGGTATCGGTTTAGGGTTCAAGGATTAGGGTTCTGGGGCCGTTTAAAGGTCTAGGGAGTTCTTGGGTTTGGGGTTCAAGGATTGACGAGGCCCCTGCACCCATACACAGTGCCGGGCTCTTCCTTTGCAGCGAGTCTGTTTTATGTTTTGCAATCGCCGAGGCCTCAACAGCGAAAAGTACTCTTCATTCCACATCCGGTCTGTTCTCGCGAATGCAGATGTGCATTTTCCATTTTAGACCAGCCCGAATGCCTCCATGCCCGGCTGATACTATGGTTAGGGTTCAGGTTCAGGATTCGTTGCACCTTTACCTTACTATCGCCAGTGCATGGTATCATCGTCATGGCTGGCATAGATGAGGTAGGTTTGCGTTTGCTAGGTGGGCTTTGGGTAAGTGTATAATAATATGGTGTAATACAGGCTCCTGAAGAACATGATATCATCGTCACGGCTGACATACATGAGGCACGGTTGATGATATACATCCTGCATTACTTTAATGACCCTAGACTTTGGGAATTATGGTATGTTCCTCATTATGGGTAATGCATATAAAAATATAGGGCTCTCGAGAGCACTGGCGAGTGAATAGTTGGTACGTTCGTCTTGGGGCTCGGGATACCAACAAGACAAACCCACCCTAAAGGGTTCGGGTTCAGGGTTTAGCGTTTAGGGTTCTCCGCTTCACTTTCTAAATCTTAAATCCTAAACCCGACTCCGTTTGCTGAGGCAGGCCAGAGGAATGCCAAACACGGTTGCAGGAATGATCCAGCTGCCGTCTCAGAGTGCTGAATCAGTATAAAAGCTTCATATTAGTGGTTTATTGTTCAGATGTTAGGGGCCTAGGGGTTTACTTCGAGGTTTTGGGACTATATTTTCCCTTACGGCCCCCTAGTATCAGTATATTCGAATACCATTCTAACACACCCCAAACCCTATTCGCATCGATGCCCCATATTACTCTTGAGGGTTGGAGGGATTCAGCAGGGGTTACCATAGGGGTATATAGCCTTATCAGGCTCCCAGGCCTTTGTTGGAGGTTCACAGTTTTTTTTTGTTTTTTGAGGGCGGGGCGGCATTTATGGGTTTGCGGGTTTCGGAGCTTGAAGCTTTATGAATAGTTGTGTAGAAGGTCGTAGCAGCAAAGCCCATCTACCCTCCATCATAGCTTAAACACCCACTACTCAACCCCTAAACCCTAAACTCCTAAACTCCCTAAACTTATAAACCATAGACATCATCTTGCTCGCATGCGACTCGAAGCCCACAGGCATGCCGAGACCACGGCGAGGAGCTAGCTATTGACAATGACCAAGTCGCCCCGTCCTCTTCCGCCAAAAAAATTCATCCACACGGCCGAAGTAGTTGCAAAGAAGCCCGCACGGAACTCGGTCAGGACCCTTGGACCGGTTGTAAGAACCCTCACTCGCGAGTCTTTCCGTGGAGCCCAAACCTGGGTCTCACCTAGCTTTGAGGGTTAAGCCAGAGTCGACAGCTGGTTAGGGTTCGCCGTTCGGGGTTCTTCGACGCTTAACCCGTATTATTTATAGACATTCGGCCCCAACGTAGGTACTATTTGTATACTTGGAGCCCCAGGGTAAGGCCTAGGTTTGAGTTCCGCAGACGATATTCACAGCTCCCCATCTTTTGGGGGAGCTGCAGGCAGAGGCTGAGGCCGCACCTCATGCCACCGCAGTACCCTACTTGGAGAATCATGGGACTTAGCAAGTAAGGTTATAAGTACCTTAATCGGGGTTAGAAGTAATTATAAGTATAGTTACCTTAAATATAACCCTAGTTACTAAGTCCCATGACCCATTTAAGCCTTCCCCTAAACCCTAAACCCATTAAAGATCCCTTATAGATCCCTTTAAAGGAACCCTACATTATAACTCTAGTAACTAAGTCCCATGACCCTTGAAGTAAACCCCCCACCAACGCTCTGTAGCGCCTTCCTCGGCCTAAACCCTACCTGGACCCATGGGCTCACGGCTTACTTAAAGGATCATCGGACTTAGTAACTGGGGTTATAATAAATCAATGTAACTATGCTTATACTTACTTATAACCCCAATTAAGGTACTTATAACTCTACTTACTAAGTCCCATGATCCTCCAAGTAGGGTTCAGCTCAGGGGTTTAGGGTTCAGGGTGTTGGGGTTGAGGGTTTCGGGGTCCAGGGCTTGAGTGTTTAGGGTTTAGGGGTTTAGGGTTCAGGGTAGTCTCCATTGTAGTTCCTTTTGGGGGATATCTTCTAGGCAGGATCCTAACTTTAACAAATGGTTAAACCGTTTTTTGAAAGTTAGGATACTACAACGTATCCCCAATAAGGGAACTACAATGGAGACTATAACTAAGCCTTAAAACGTAAAGTACCACCAGTGACTAAGACTAGCGACTTGTTTTTTGGAATCCTGCGAGTCTGGTTCTTAAAGAACAAGGGGGCTGTATTCCCAGAGACTCCAATACCCCTTAATTAAGGAATATTCCTTAAATCATACTAAGGATCCTACAATAATTTAAGGTATATTCCTTAATTAAGGGGTATTGGAGTCTCTGGGTTAATCAGACTAAAAGCCCGATTCGTACATCCTCCAGATCTTGTCAGCCCTAAAACCGTAATCCTTGAGATCGTAACGCTCCTAAGCCATAAGCTACTTGGAGGATCATGGGACTTAGCAAGTAAGGTTATAAGTACCTTATAAATTGAGGTCAGAAGTAATTATAAGTATAGTTACCTTATATATAACCCTAGTTACTAATTACTAAGTCCCATGACCCTTGAAGTAGTTTCCTTGATTGAGATGCGAGGCACGTCCCAGAAGAAGCTACTTGGCTGGGCTGCCTTAAGGTTCTTGCGGGGTTCGGCTTGAAGATAAAGTTGACAAAATCTCCACATATCGTTGCTTTGGCTTATCAGTGGCTCACGCAGCAAACGGTCAGTTTCAGCTTTCTGCATCTTTCTGTCTTTGGCATCATTCTGGCTGCTGTTGGCTCTAGTCGTGTCATTGTGAGTAGGAGTAGCGGTATTGCCTTGACCACTGGCACACTTGGGAATACACGTGTGGCTTGAAGCAAGTATGGTATGTGTACATATATGTACGTATATACACACACATGTACATACCTACGCACATAATGTATACACCTACAATCACAAGGACAGCTTTCGCTTGGGAATCCGTCCTGAAGCTCTTGTGAATGACATTGCAGAAATGCGGACATCGAACCCTCAACCCTAAACTCTAAACCGCTACCCAGCGATAGAGGCCGACTTCAACATCGGCTGTTTTGAAGGATGTGTCAGCAGGCTACAAGCGCAAAAACGGATTTTCCTACTCGACAGGTCAGGGGACGTCAGTCACCAGTTTAGAGTAAGAGTTGTAGGTGCACTAGTTGTGGATATTCTGTTCGTGACCCTACTAATACTATAAAAAAATACTAATACTATTAATTCCACCAATACTAATAATAATTTAATACTACTACTACTTACTACTACTACTACTACTACTACTACTACTACTAGTACTACTACTACTACTACTACTACTACTACTACTACTACTACTACTACTACTACTACTACTACTACTACTACTACTACTACTACTACTAGCAATAATAATAATAATTACCAATCATAATAATAATCATAATCATAATACTATTACGAAAACTTGTATGATAGTTCCTAAGTCGCTAGATCTCTCAACTAATCGGTTTTAGGGAACCGCAGCACTTGCAACCCTGATCCTGAGCCCCCCATGTGGGTGGTTGCTTAGATAGGGTTCCTTTAAGGGATCTATAGGGGTTTAGGGTTTAGGGGTTTTGGGGTTTAGGGTTCCTTTTTGCGGTTCCCTAAATAAGAGGTGAGGTACTATATGAGGGACCCAAAAAGGGACGATAATTTTTGACAACCGCCCATATTATATCCCCAAGCCCAATGCACTAGAACCCCAAAGACAGCCTGCCAAACCTCCTGCCCTAAACCGCAAACCCTCACATTTTTGTGCTTTTCAGGAGCAGGAGGTGGTGGCAGTTGTCAAGAAGGAGGAGCCGCGTCCTCCTCCTCGTGGCTCGGTTGTCTGGAGTTGGGGTTCAGAGCTCTGGGAGATATGCTTGAGGACTTTAGAATGTGTGTAGTCTCTTAGGCTTTGGGAATGGGGTTTCAGGGGGTTGGGTTTGGGGATGTGGTTTTGAATTTGCCGACTTGCCTTGAAGGCATGCGACTTGTAATTAGGTATTTCAGGGTTTTGGGTTGCTAGGTCTTTCCAGATGTGTTCCGTCTCGGGGTCTGTCCCTGTACCGAGTTTTAGCAGCAGTTTTTGTTTGCTAAGCGCGATCGCTTCCAGCATAATTGCTCTATGGCGTTTCGACTGTAGACAGTGTAGGTGCTGCCTGCTGATTAAACCCTACACCCGAAGCCCAAACTTGGAAGTCCCTAACCTGAAGGGTCCAAGGGACCCAATAATCAGGTATTCGGTTTTAGGATAGTAGTTATGTAGGTTAGTATTTCGGGGAGTCTATGATTCTTAGGTACTTGGACCCTGGAGAAATCCAAGCCTTTGAACCCTACAGTACGGGCCTTAATAATTGCCAATACTATCTTGGGGGGGGGGGTCTTGATTATATTTACAGTATCAGTTACCCCAACACCCTATTCTAATTATGAAGGCCCCTATATCCCTAAATCCCACATAGTAACCTTATAGCAATCCCTACAGACCCCTTTAAAGGAACCTTCTAAAGGAACCCAATTCTGATTTCAAGGCCCCTGTACTAAACCTTTAAACCCTAAACCCTAAACCTTTAAACCCTCAACGCTGAACCCTAAACCCTAAACCCTAAACTTTTAAACCCTAAGCCCTAAACCTTTAAACCCTCAACGCTGAACCCTAAACCTTTGAACCCTAACGCGCTTTCGCCGGGCTTTCGGGTTTCCGTTCGGACGTCTCGAGGCAAGAGCACCCGCCCCTCCTGGAGCCCTGTCACGGTTACAGGTCACTACATGGTATTTTAGTCTAGGGTTTAGGGTTTAGAGTTTAGGGTTTAGTTTTTAGGGTTTAGGGTTTAGAGTTTTGGGTTTAAGATTTAAGGCTTAGGGTCTAGAGTTTTGGGTTTTGAGTTTAAAAGTTTAGGATTTAGAGTTTAGGTTTAGGGTTAGGATTTAGGGTTCAGGGTTTAGGGTTTAGGGTTAGGGACGGTTAAGGGTTTAGGGTGTGTTCCGATGTTGTTGTTTTGGAACTCGATGAGGTCTCTGCAGGGTTTCTAGAATTTCTCACGCGTCTCCATAGAGGCTGTTGTTGGTGTTCTGAAATTTGCTAAGGCTTGACGTTTCCAGTGTTTTGGAGTTTTGAGGTTAGGCTTTTCAAATGGTCTTGGGCCCCTCAGCCATAGTCTTGCAGAGCCACAGTTACCCCCATAAAGCCATCAACTCCCCTACACCCTAACCTCAAACCCTAAATCGACCGTGATTTTTTCTGATCCAGGAGACCCTAAACCCTAATCCCTTGGTCAAGCCCTATAGATCCCCTACGACCCAGAGTAAGCCCTTATCCCCTTTTTTAGGGTTCAGGTTCCCTTAAAATCCCCTTAACCCAAAACAGGGCACCCTTTAGATGAATAGGTTACTCTTACTAGGATGCCCAGTAGTACCCTTATTCCCTTTTTGTAGTCCTAGGTTCCTTATAAAGTTACCCAATACCAAAAAGAGAGGCCTTTTTATTCTTAAGTAACTGGGTATCCTAGTTTGGGATCTATATGGATCTGTCTAGGTTCTCCTTGAGAGTTCCTTAAAGGGCTCCTTAAAACGTCTGCCTGATTCAGACGATCCTAAACCCTGCATGATCCCTAAACCCTTGATCCAGGCGACCCTGACGTTCCCATATCTGGGATCTATAGTCTATAAGGATCTTTCGAGGTTCCAATTCAGGGTTCCTGAAAGGGCTCCTTAAAACGGGTTCCTGATTCAGACGATCCTAAACCCTGATCCCTAAACCTTATTTAGGGAACCTTTGAGGAGCCCTAGGACATTTTTCTGATCCAGGCGATCCTAACGTTCCCATGGTGGTGCCGCCACCCACCGACATCGAACTCGACTTGCCTGGGCCCCGGGTTTGCCGGTCCGGACGTCCCCGTGGGTTGAGGGTTTAGGGCATTCACGGGTTTACGGAGTTTAGGGTTTAGGGGGGTTTTAGGGTTTAGGTGGTTTAGGATTGAGGGGTTTAGGGCTTAGGGTTTAGCGGTTTGGGGTTTAGGGAGTAATTAGGGTTTAGTTTATGCCACATGCCCCGAAACACGAGAACCCTGCGCCACATGAAGCACATTCGGCCATTCTCGAAGTCCGGAACGGCGAAACCCGAGCGTTCCTACAGGGATAAGGGCTGACAGATTGGAGTTTATTTTTCTGATTTTTGTTGAGGTTTAAGGCGGTTGTAGAGATTGATTAAGGTGCAGGGTATATGATGTTGATTCTAGCTGGTGTATTATATTATTATATTGTTTCAGGCAGCCACAATTTGTGGCTCCGTTACTCTTACAATGAGTAATTGTACTTCCAAGGTACTAAAACTCTAGCCGAGGCCGAGACTGCCGGATGTCGAAAAGGTTGCCGGGAAGTTCACAGAGACAACGGGGTTTATTCACAGATCGGAAGCCGCTGCGAGTTCTGTTACTCGGGGCTCCAAGCGCAAACCTGCTGCAGCATCTGCACCGAGTGCCAGTGCTGTCACAGAAAAGCCGAAATCTAAGCTTGCAAAGAAGTGATGGTGTTCAGTCCTTTTCAACGTTCGTTTTGTGCTGCAGGCGCGACTGCCACAGCACCCAGCCGTGCACAACAAAAAAAGGGCTTGCATGTTGCTTTCGTGCGGCTGATGCTTCAGTATAACACGAAGCCTGACACGCACACAAACAAGCGCTTCTTTCCAGGTCTACCCCCTAGGACGTCAGGCAGTCGACGAGTTCTACTAAAGCCATCTAAACCTGAAATTAAACTCCAAATTCAGCGCACATATACCATGCTGGAATGGTAAGTAAGTACCCCAGAAAATAAGACATGAATAGCAGAGGCCCCTATTTCAGGATTTACCGGAAAATAGTCCCTATATAAGGCACACAACCCCCCCCCCCCCCCATATCCCCCCCAGGGCCCCGTGAACAAACCTTCATTCAACCCCCTCCTCTGCAATCCAGCTCCATGCTTTCCGAGTTCTGTTTTTACGGGTAGATGGGTGTGGTGTGCATCGTGTGCGGTTTAGAGATTAGAGGTGTGTGTGTGTGTGTGTGTGTGCTTGATCGTTCGCGTGTTTTTTTTTTTTTTTTTTGTGTGTGTGTGTGTGTGTGTTGTGTGTGGTGTGTGTGTGTGTGTGTGTGTGTGTGTGTGTGTGTGTGTGTGTGTGTGTGTGTGTGTGTGTGTGTGTGTGTGTGTGTGTGTGTGTGTGTGTGTGTGCGTGTGTGTGTGTGTGTGTGTGCGTTTCTGTCTTGTCTTGTTTGTTTTTGTGTGTTTGTGTGTGTGTGTGTGTGTGTGTGGGATCGTCTGTATTGTCAAGCCAGTCTGATCTCTGATCTGCTACTGCCTTCCATTCGCCATCCCGGCCTCCAGGAATCTATACACGGAGGTCGCACCAGAACTCCACATCCAGCAAGCCAGGGAAGGGCACAAGTTCAGACCTTCACAAACGTAGCCACCCTCCTAAACCTAAAGCTTAAATCCTAAACCCTGCATCCTAAACCCAATTACCGAAATACCTATAATGTCCCAACCCCCCAACTTAGGTCGCAGCCTTTGGGCATCGTGTGGTACCCCAGCCTCGTGGTGAAGAGCGTGAAACCAGGTTCCCAGGTCCGGCTCCCCGGACTTCACGTTAGCTTAAAGCGGGTGGTTGTCAAAACTAGGGTCCTTTGTTTGGTATCACAAATATTAGGTGCCGTGTTATAATAGGTACCTCAAACAGGGACCATAATTTTGACAACCACCCAAATATAGGGGCCTTAACAATTAGAATAGGGTTGCTTGTAAATGGGTCTCTAAGGGTCACTATAAGGGATACTATAAGGGTACCCTGATTTATAAACTCCGCTGCCCGAGTAAGGACTATCATCAGTAAGGCCCCCAGAGAAAGGAGAATCTTCATCAGGGGCCTACATGTATATGCACTGCCCATTGGTTTCCATGAAGAGAGCCTTGCCTCTGACAAAGTCCTCCGTCACCACAACCTAAACCCTAAACCTTGAGCCGCAGTGAAAGCACATCCCAAATCTTTAACACCAAAACATCTATGTACATCTTTAAAAAAAGACGTAACGAAACCGGACCATTGCAGTAGTCCCTAAACCTTGAGAACCTCAATCCCTATACTGCCTAAACATGCCTAAACCCTAGGTCTCAAATCGTAAGTCCTAAAGCCCAAACCCTGTATCCTCAAAGTCTCTGAAAGCCGTAAAGCCCCATGCCGAAATCCTAAGCCTACACCCCAACATCTCCTGAAGATCTCGTAACCCCAAAGTTCCAACTACCTGAACAGTAGGCTTTCAGGCCCCCGAATTCATACTCTGAGTGGTTTTTGGACCTTGAAATTCCACTATTTCGGCATTTAGACCCTAAGCCCTCAGCCCCTACACCCCTGACCCTACACCCTAAACCCCTACATAAACACCCTAAACCATAAACCCCAAAAACCCTGACACCTAAACCCCAAACACTTTAGAGCACGCTTGTAGAAATCCTATAGAAACCCTTATAGATCCCTTCAAGGACACCAAAGCCTAAACCTTAACTAAACCCTAAACCCTTTAGAGAACCCTAAGCCCTAAACCCTCTTAAGGGACCCTAAACATATACCCTAGATCGCCCCTAAACCCTAAACCCTTAAACCCTTTCAAGGAGCCTTTAAAAGGGACATAAACCCTAGACTAGACTCCCCCTAAACCCTAAACCCTAAATTTTAAACCTTAAGCCCCTAAACCCTAAACTCCGTAAGGAGCCTGAAAAACGGACCCCCAGCCCCAAACCCCTAAACCCTTTTAAGGTGCCCTACAAAAGGACCGACGAATTCCTCAAGCTCCCTGAAAAAGGAACCCTCTAAGGGAACCCTTAAGGGACCTAGCCCTCTAAGAGACCCTGAAGCCCTAAACCCCAAAACTCTAAAGCCCCAAAACTCTAAACCCTAAACCCTACTTGGAGGATCATGGGACTTAGTAAGTAAGGTTATAACTACCCTAATTGGGCTTATAAGTATAGTTACCCTTAATTATAACCCCAGTTACTAAGTCCCATGGCCCGTTAAGTATTTCCCTAACCCTAAGCCCTAAACCCTTTATAGATCCCTTATAGATCCCTTTAAAGGAACCCTTATAGAACTCTACATTATAACCCTCCATGACCCTCCAAGTACACAAATAGTAGGACTTTAAGTCCAAAAACCCATACTCTGAATGGTCTTTGGACCTTGAAACCCCAGTATTTGGGTACTTGGACCCTTAGGGATAAAGTTTATAACGGACATCAGCCAGCTATATAGGTAACTGGGCTACGAGGACTCGTAAGTTTAACGATCGGTAAATGCACCCTGGGCTCCTTAAAACCCTTAAACCCTGAAACCCTAAACTCTAAACCCTTGAAGCCCAAACCCTGGTTAAACCCTAAACCCTAAAGCCTAAACTCTACACCCCTAAACCCTAAACTCTAAACCCCTAAACCCTAAAGTCTATACCCCTAAACCCTAAACTCTAAAGCCCCTAAACCCTAAACTACCCTAAACCCTACATGAACCCTGGGCTCCTTAAGCTCCTGGCTCGGACAGGCGGCGCGTCTCGGCATCGGCCCGGGCTGGGAGGCGGCCGCTGACGCGAGTTTCGGGTCGGTAGGGAGCTTTGGGGGTTGAGGGGGTGCCTTTAAGGATCTCTAGGGGTACTAGAAGGGTTTAGGGTTTAGGGAGCTTTGGGTGTTTATGGGGTTGTTTAGCGGTTTAGGGGGTTGTTTAGAGGTTTAGGGGTTTTAGGATTTAGGGTTTAGGTGTTCGGGGGTTTAGGGTTTAGGGGTTGATAAGTTAGCAGTTAAGGTTTATAGGGTTTAGGGTTGAAGGGTCCCTTTAAGGGATCTATAGGGATACTAGAAGGGTTTAGGGTTTAGGAGTTTTGGGGTTTATAGGGTTGCTTTGAGGTCAAGGGGTTTGGAGGTTTAGGGGTTTAGGGTTTAGGGGTTTGGAGTTTAGGGTTTCAGAAGTTTGGCGTTTAAGGGTTTAGGGGTTTAGAGGTTCAGGGGTTCAGGGGTTTAGAGGTTTAGGGGTTTGGAGGTTCAGGGTTTAGGGGTTTAGGGCTTAGGGTTTAGAGGGAGTCTAGGGTTTTGGGTCATATCCGGATGGTCGCCTGTAGGATTTTACGGCGTTCTCGCAAAGTTTTGAGGGCTGAGTTGGGTTTCACAGGGGCTGAAATGTGGTTTTTATCAGGGTTAGATGGCATTGAGGGTCCAAGAGCCGTAATAGTCAAGGGTTCTACATTCGTAGGTGTCTCTGAGGTTTTAACGGGTTCTCATTGGGCAGTTGTCTTAAACACCTATATAATATTTTAAGGTTATATGCGGGGATGATTTAAAGGGATCGCCAAGGCTTTGGGCTTCGGGGTTTCAGGCTTTCGTGGTTCGGGCGCTTGGGGTCTTCAGCGTGTAAGCGTCTGCAGGGCTGTCGGGTTCTACCCCGAGGAAGAGATACACCGAAGTCCCTAAAGCCAAGCTTCGTTTCAAAGATTGTTGAAGACGTATGCACCGTAAACTCCAAAGCCCTGAACCTTGAAGTGGCTACACTTCTAGAGCCCCTTTAGAGGAACCCTGTTCTTATCATTCAGGTAAGTCCTTCTATCAAAAGCAGCTACACTTCTACTTGGAGGATCATGGGACTTAGTAGGTAAGGTTATAAGTACCTTAATTGGGGTTATAAGTAATTATAAGAATAGTTACCTTAATTATAACCCTACTTACTAAGTCCCATGACCCTTTAAGTAGCCCCCACACTCCTCTTTTATAGATCCCTTATAGGAACCCTTCGTAGAACCCTTTAGAGGAACCCCTAAAACCAGGAATCCCCCCCCTCTTCCCGAGCAGCTCGCAGGTTCTGGGCCTCGCCGGGGAGGAGCTCCGGGATGTCCAAGAGCTGGAGAAGAAGCTCGAGGCAGCTCTAAGTCTTGGGGTCATTAACACGATTATGAATGATGACAATGAGGATTCTAAGAATTGGGGTTTAGGGCTCATAGGGTTTTGGGTTTAGGGCTTATAGGGTTTAGGGTTTATAGGGTTTAAGAGGCAGCTCTTTTAGGAGGGCTTACAGTTTAGGGTCTTCGGGTTGAAAGGGTTTAGGGTTGAATATAGGGTTTAGGTTTAGGGTTAATAGGGTTTAAGAGGCAGCTCTAAGAATTGTGGTTCGGGGTTCAGGGTTTAGGGTTTAGGGCTTATAGGGTTTAGGGTTTATAGGGTTTAAGGCGTCTAGAGTCCTTAACTCAGCAGGTTTCAGTACTAGAGGGGCAGGCATAAGAGTAGGGGTGCCTAAAAGGGATTATCTTAGAAGCTCGAGGCAAACAATTGGGGCTCCTACCGTAGGTTTGACGTTTCAGGGTTGAGGGTTTGTTGAGGTTTAGGGTGTTGGGTTTTGGTTCGGGGTTTAAGGTTTCTAATCGCAGAACCTTGGGAAAATCTAGAAAGTAGATCCCTAAAGGGTTTTCCTATACAGTATCCTGTAGTAGTACAGGGTCTCAAATATGGTTTAGGGGTTTGGGACGGCTTCAATATGGTGGCTCCTTAAGCCTTAAGCGTTGCCATAAGAGGTGCGGCCTTCCATTAGGGCTTTGGTGATGCAAACTTTTTAATCGGTTTGGGACTTAGCTAGGATCTTAGGCCCTTGACTGTGTGGCTGCCCTGAGGTTTTTATGACCAGATCAAGAACCTTAGAGGTAGTTCTGTTTTGACGATGAGGTAATTCAAGACGCCAAGCAATACATAGTACTCCTTACGTTTCCTGACACTCGTAGTATATCAAACGCCCTAAAGCCGTACCAAAATTATTAAGGCCCCAACGTTTATGTTGCTGGTCTTTTTGAGGGGGAATGTTTAAGGGTGTATAGGTCTCTTGGAGATTAGGGGTTAGGCGTTAAACGTGTTTCGGGTTAAAGGGAACTCCAGAAAGTTGGAATATGGATTAATGGTAGGATCCCCTATAATTTACCTTAAAGAGGTTACGATAATGATATTCCAACTTTCTGGCTTCTACTGTAAGGGCTTCAGGCGGCGTCAGGCTTGGTAATGGGTTTGCTGCCGTGTCAGATTAAGATTGGTTCCCGAGGTCAGCAGGACCCGTCCAGAACCCCCTCCCCAGCATCCTTTAACAGAGCCCTTACGGTCCTTAATAGTGGGTATTTATGGTAATGAGAGGGTAGTTGCTCAGTGAATGTAAGGGCAGCAGCTCAGCAACAGCAAGGGACAGACATTTATTTGCTTTGTGCATTCATCCTGGTAACTTAGACCATGACAAGGACCAATGAATCCCACAAGCCCCAAAACGAAAGCCTCAAAGGACAAGCTCAGTCATGTATTTTTTCAGACATCATACAGACCTCGAAACACACTCCGGAATCCGCGTCGAAAGGCAAAGCCCTAAGCCCTAAATTCGCATCAAATCCTAAACCCAAAACCCTAGAGCCTAAACCCCGAATTGGCGTCGATTTGTCCTTTTGTTGGGAGCCGCGCGGGCAGACAGACAAAGGAACGTCACCCCAACTTAAAAAAAACCTTCAGGGTGCCTTCAGCGCCAGGCCCTCAAAGCCGAAGGCTGCCTTGGCCAGTCGTGGCCTGGCTTGCGCTGAGTGTGCTCGCGTTTGGATTTATGTAGGTGATACTTGGAGGATCATGGGACTTAGTAAGTATAGGGCTCCTTAAAGGGATCTAAATACAGGGTTCCTTAAAGGGACCTATATGGCTTATAAGCTTTATTAGGGTTTACTTGGAGGGTCATGCGACTTAGTAAGTAGGGTTATAAGTACCTTAATTGGGGTTAGAAGTAATTATGAGAATAGCTACCGTAAATATATCCCTAGTTACTAAGTCCCATGACCCTTTAAATTGGATAAAATCAGAGGAAAGAAATCCTACATAAGTCCCTGAACCCCGAAAGTCAAAGCCCGATGCTCTCAACGCTGAGCCTAGGATGATGTTCCAGCCTGCCGCAGTGCCAGCGACCGAGGCCTGAACCCAGAAAGCTACCAACTGGCTCAGGGTCCCGAAGGGTCCAAAGCACCTATGTACCCAGAGAGCCCAATACCCCCTAATTAGGGAAGGTGGCTTAAATTATATAGGGCATAATGTTATGAGTATATCTATATCCCTCAATTAGGGGAATTGGGCTCTCTGGGTAGTAGAATGTAGGGTTGCTATATTAGGAATTGCTGGTATGATTTGGGGAAGTATCCCCCCTAACAATACCTGGGACCCTTTGGGGGTTAAAGTCTAGTTGAGGGATCGGCCAGGCTCGGAACATAAAGCCCACAGGCTTTGAAGCCCTGAACGGGCTTATAACTTCAGAACACCCAAAGACTTGACCTGGCTCCTAGTACTGGTACGCTCTTACAGTCTCTGTACACGTACACCTTCCTACGACACTAGAATTCTTGCAATTAATTACATTTTCACGGGACAACCACAAAGGAAGCCGAGACCCAGCGTCCGGTTCAACCTTGGTTTTAGTTGTTTGTTGTTTTGGTTATTGTTGCTGTTCTTTGTGTTATTATTCTGTGTTACCCTAAACCCTAAATCCAAAACCCTAAGCCCTAAATCCCTAACTCTCGCAGGTCAAAACACCCAGCACTGCCGCCGATGCTGCAGCGATGCTGCGAGAGCGCGCGGCCGCTGTCGCGAGGGAAGAGGAGGAGGCCGAGGAGGTTTAGGGTCTCTATAAGACTTCCTTTAAAGGGATCTATGGGGGATCTTTAAGGGGTTGGGTTGAGGGTTCACGGGTTAGGGCTTTTTTTATAAGAGTTCCTTTAAAAGGGATGTATAAGGGATCTATAAGGTGTCGAGGGTTTAGGGTTTAGGGGTTTGGGGTTGGTTAGGGGTTTAGGGTTTAGGGGTTGGGGTTTAGGGGTTGTTTCGTAGTGCGAAATTCCTATAGGGTTACAGTCAGGTTTGTGGCGCGAAACTTCTACAAGGGTTTTAATTCATTAGGTTTGTCGGAACGATCGAAAATGGTTTTGCAGGTGTTTTATGAGGGAATTAGGGGAAAGGAGGCAGTGTTATCTTCCCATGACGTGTTAGGGCATATAACGCTTCAGGGTCTGGAGATGGAGGTCTTCGGGTGAGCATGTTTTAGGGTTTCTGTTGGACGTCAGGGCTAAGGGGGTGCGGTTTCCGCTGGGCTTTAGGGGCTGAGGGTTCAGGCTTGAAGAGGACCTGACTTAGAGCATCTATCGGCTTAAGGACACCGGGTGAGAATTGAGTGACAAAGATGCTCTTCACTCTGTGCGTACACCTTGAGTCATACGGATGGTTGTGGTGTTCTGGACGTCCATGAGCTTTCCTCTGAATTGTTATCGCGTGGATGTTAATTTCTCGGATTTCCTGGCTGAGATTGCTTTTCGGGACCCCGCCAAGGCCTGCAACACCTCATACAGCTTGAAAAGCTATAGGTCCCAGATCCTAAACTCCATAGACTCTAAACCCCAATCACTACATCGATTGCTGGTGGAGGACCGTCCCCTACAGTAATTCTAAACCAGGGAACCTCAAGCCATAGGGAGCACAGTTCTCTACAGCTAACCTGTTTTTCTATTCGGGTGCTCACGAAGTAAGTCCCTCAAGTAACCGAAGAGGGTTCAACAAGCGACGGTAGCATCCTAAGAAGCAGAACACGTTGGAGGTACCTGCAAGACTGTGAATAACTAGAACCTGTCATTTCCCTGTTGTTTGGGCGAAGTGGGGAAGTAAGCAAGTGAAGGATGTAGGGTTAGTGGTACCATTAGGGTTTTGGAGTTTAAGGTCTAAAGCTTAGGACTCTTTATTTGTAACCTGCGAGGCTGAGTCCTACGGTTGATGTAATTACCCATAATGAGGAATGTCCCATACTTCCCATAGTTTAGGGTCAATAAGGTATTATACCATCAACCGTATGATAACCTACTTAAGGGCTATCGGAGTCCAGGTTAGGCTTCGCAGCTGTGGGGTTCGGTGCTTGGCTCAGGGAGTCGCCAGTCCTGTGGCTGGGGGCCACCAGACCACAACAGTTGGGACTGGCACCCTAAAGGGCCCATGTACCCATATAGAGATACATGAGCCCAAAGTACCTATATAGATACTATATGAGTACATGGACCCCTTAGGGGAAGGCAGAGCATGACGATAGCGGAGTGCTGCTATCTGGGCTCTCATTACCTTCACATTCACGGCTTCCGAGATCCGAACATCGTGGTTGTGATGTGGGGTTGTCCGAAGCCGGGGGCCCCTATACCCTAAATAGTAGGATCCTTATTATAAGGACCCCAGAATAAGGTACCCCTGGTTCCTGAGACTCCCATGTGCAGCGATGTGAGATCTGACAGCCTTCAAGGCTCCAGCGAGAACTTTGTGGCTGTTGAACCAGTACTGCCCTGCAATACCTATAGTCTCCATTGTAGTTCCTTTTTTCGGTTAATCAAAATCTCTGCCATATGGTCCTAACCATAAAACTGGTTAACCAAAAAAAGGAACTACAATGGAGACTATAGGTAGTCCTGGATGTCCGGAACAACAACGGCATTGACCGAAGTGGGATCTGGCGTCACATCCGGAGTGGGCTCAGGGTGTACCTAACTAGAGGGGCGTGACCTGCTTCTTTTGTAGGCTGCATAGTTTTATGGCTAGGATCTGTGATATGAAAAAGTATGTATACCCAAAAGGGTTCAGAGTTTCGGACAAGGGGTAGGCCATGACCGTCTGGGTGCATGGGTCAACGGTTTAGGCTTCACCGGGGTGCGCCTTAGGCTGATTATCCGTAGTTTTCGTTTCGATCTGCTAGGATCCGAGGTAGGGGTTTTGGGAGTTTAGGGGTTATAGGATGATCTAAGGCATGGAAGTTGTATTTCGGATTGTAAGTTCACGGCTTCGGTTGCAGGCCGCAGGGATAGAACCAGGGTGCTTAGGGTTCCGGGCTTAACAACTACGGTTGATGATATAAATCCTGCATTACCTTAAGGACCCTAAACTATGGGAATTATGGTATATTCCTTATTATGGGTAATTCAAGGTTGATATCATCAACCGTAGGAGGAGTTCTTGTCCTTGCAGCGAGGCGCGGCTGAATATGCGAGAGGTCCCGCTGGCAGCTTGGACCGCTTAATTGGGAGCGTCTACATGATTAGGGTTGAGTTTAAGTTTCAAACCACGCTCTAATCACGTAATCACGTAGTTCGTATAGTTTAGGATGTAGAAATCTGGGTCAGGATTTGTAATTTCTAGGACCAGCCGTCGCAACAAGCAGGTAATTCATGTTTTTGCTTAGTTGAGTGGAGTTACCGCACGATCCATCACAGTCTATTCGCTATTGAACGGATTATGCGGGACTGTGGTCCAATTGGATGATTGTTTCCTGATTAACCTAAGCCCCCAAACTCCTGATTTCCACTCCACTCCACTCGTCGCCATGTTGGATTCATGCGCCCATTCATGCAAAGGCCAATGAGTTTGGTGTACGTAGAAGGGTAATGTAGACTCTGATTTATACACAGACGCATCCTACCTTAAGCGACAAAATCCTGCATTACCTTAAGAACCCTAAACCATGGGAATTATGGTATATTCCTTATTATGGGTAATGCAGGGTTTATGTCATCAACCGTAGGGATCCCCAATATTCAGGCCCTTTAAGACTGGGGCTTCTTCAATCACGGGTCTACATTGTTGCTCATGAGTTAGATGGCCTCAGTCCGGGCCTTATCTCGACGACAACCCATACCATCAAACAGTGTGTTAAGGTTTTCTAGGGTTTAGTGTTTCTAGGGTTAGGGGTTGAGGGCTTGAGCTTCAGGGTTTACGTTTCCCCCCTCCTCCAAGTGAAGCCTTAGACCATAAGGCCTAACCTATAAGCCCCAGACTTAAGCCCTAAACCCTATCAAGACCCTTTAGAGAACCCTTGTAGAAATCCCATAGAGACCCTTTTGGATCCCGTTAAGGAGGCCCTAAAAGGGAACCCAAAAGCCTAAAGGAGCTAACCCTAAACCTTAAACCCTAAGCCCCTAAACCCCAAAACCCCAAAACCCTAAAACCCTAAGCCCTAAACCCTAAGCCCCAAACCCCCAAAACCCCAAAACCCTAAAACCCTAAACCCTAAGCCCTAAACCCTAAGCCCTAAACCCTAAACCCTAAGTGCGTACTAAGCCCTAAACCCTAAACCCTAAGCCCTAGACCTTCAGGAGCTGGACCTTTCCCAGCCTCTTGGCATCCTCTTCAACAAGACTCTCGAAGCCGAAAGCGTCAACGAAGGCTAATAGGGCTTAGAGGGGCTCATAAAAACGGTTTAGGGTTTAGGGTTCAGGGTTTAGGGTTTAGGGTTGAACAGCATATGGGTTCTTTAGGGTTTATAGGGCTTGTAGACTTTATCAGTTTATCGGGTTTAGGGCTTAGAGCCATTGGGTTTTGAGTTTAGGGGTTCAGGGTCTGCAAGAGTTTGCAGGGATTGGAGATTCGGGCTCAAGGGTGCCTTGGTTGTTTTCGGGACTTCGGTTCGGGGTTGTCGGGTTGTGTGGAATTCGGACTTGTGAACAATGATTGTAAAGCTCAGGAAAAATGCGTGCTCCAGGCCCCAAACCTGTGTTCAGAGGGTCATGCGGTTACGCAAACTCGACGCAGAATGTTCCGGGCCTTGAACTTTCTTGCAGACATTCCAGTTTTTTGGGGATTCTTCGAATCCCCCATGTTGGGCATTTAGATCCTACATAGTGCAACATGGGTGTCTTGATCCTAATTATAGGACAGCATTACAGCACTACTCCTGACAGGGTTCCTAGTAATGTAGACATAGTTTGGTACTCGTTCCAAATATTAAGAAACCCCATGCCATAGAACCTCTACAGGACCAAACCGTATATACTCATTTACAGCACCTCGCAGGAACCCTATTCTACAAACTACTAAGACGAACTGTAAAAAGACCCGCAACATGGGGGCCTTAACAAATCACACATACTATTTTGGGGTTTCCTTCTAATATTTAAAGCAAAAACATACTCCCCAACCCCTGTTCTGATCAGTAAGGCCCCTGTATTTATATTGGAGTTTCCGAAAATTAGGTGTACCTTATTTTGGGATCTTTATATTAGGGATCCTACTACCTAGGGTACTATATATTAGGGTCCCCCAGTTTTCGGAAACCCCATATAAAGCATCATAGTACCCTCGCAGATCCCTTTAAAGGAACCCTTATATAGACAAAGGGACCCTATTTTAATTATTCATACCTTAGAAGCTGCCCCCACCCTGTAATAGTGACTAAAAGGACTATATTAGGGCCCTCTTATATTCCTACTATACCACTATTACACGGTGGGGGCCCCCAAAAAAAAAACCTAAACCCAAACCCCCCCCCCTCAAAAAAAAAAAACACACACACACACACACAGATCTGCTTTGGAGGCTCCCAAGCCGCTCGCCTCGGCGTCGAGGCAGGCTGGCGCGCTGTGTCCCTGGCAGGCAGGGGGCGTAAAGGAGTTTTCGTCTTCTTCTTTTTTTTTCTTAAAGTATATATATATATATAAGATAGGGCCTTAATAATTCCCTGGGGCTCCAACCAGCCCAAAGTAGGTTTTATTTATGGACTTTAGGCCCCAAAGTAGATACTGTTTGTATACTTGGAGCCCAAGGGTTTCTTTTTCTTAAAATGTGATAGTCAATGGTGTGGTCAGTGTGGTGTTACGGCTTATATTGGCTCTTATTCGTCGTGCTTTTTGTTGAAGGGTGTTCGTATGTGTGGGGGTTCCTTGAAGGGTTGCGGTACTTCGAACCCATGCAGTTTTAGGTGGCTTATATATAGAGTAGCAAACTTATGACTGTAGCTTCTAAATCAGGTAACAAATAAAACGACCCCAAGGTTTAGCAAGGCTTAGGGCTCCAGGCGTGGATTTGGTTCAGGATGCGGAGGCTTGTTGTTTTTTCGGGGATGGATGCGTCGAACAACAGTTCATAGAGTCTTTCTACCTACGTTTGGCTTGTAGCATGACGAAGTTCTCGTCAGTGTAGAAACTCTGCCAGTTGCTGCCATTTTGCAGCTGTGGTAGGATGAGGGTACCCCTGTGCATCAAGCATGTAAGCCTGTACTGACAGGTTCTGGAGTTCTAAGTGATGACTTGAAGGTTCATGGGTGCTCATTCGACGTCCTGAATTTGAAATGTCCTTTGCTTGCTTCTAGGTAGGAATCCAGATTTTAGTTTGCAGTAGCTCAGGCAGCCGGTAGTTTCAGAAATTTCAAGTCTTGTCGCGCGGCTCTTTCCGCTTGCTCAGTCAAAGTTATACGTGAAACTTGGAGTAAGACGTCCGGAGACGTCTTCAGAATTTGCTCCTAACCCCGATCAACCACATGCCGAAAGCCTCGGTTGAAGCCTATGGGCAGGCTCTGCAATGGAAGTTTAAACTGGTATAGTTCCCACGACTTGAGGCACTTGTACCCCCACTAACCGCGAAAAGTTGTCATATGGCCTCAGTGCCTCTCCGACGGCACAGGTGAAACCTTTACGAACACGCGCGATCTCGTGGCGAGGATTCAGGCAGGATCATATGCAGGAAATCCCCAGTTAGCGAATACTCTGCGACCTGAGATGTTGAGATCAACCGGTCCCTGCGGACCTAAACCCTAAACCCTAGGATCACGACTTTGGGTTAAGGGTTCACTGTTCAGGCTTCAGGGCTTGGCTTCAGCTGCATGTATCTTACATTCAAGTCGCATACACATGCACTGTGTGCTCTCTCTCTCCCCCTCTGTCTTTGTGTTTCTCTCTCTCTCTCTCTCTCTCTCTCTCTCTGTCTCCTCTCTCTGGCTCTATCTCTCTCTCTCTCTCTCACTCTTTCTCGCGATCGATCAAGCAATCACTCCGTCAATCAATCAAGCAAGCACGCAAGCCAGCAAGTACGCAAGCAAGCAATCAAGCGGTCCAGCAATCAAGCAATCAACCAACCAGTCAGCCAAATCAGAGATCAGCCAATCAATCAGTCTTTCTGTGAGTCTGTGAGTCTGTCAATCAACCAATACTTGGAGGATCATGGGACTTGGTAAGTAGGGTTATAAGTACCGTCATTGGGGTTAGCAGTATAGTTATAAGTAGAGTTACCTTAATTATAACTCTAGTTACTAAGTCCTATGATCCTTTAAGTACTCAGTCCATCGATCTCTTTGTTTCTCTGTCTATCGTTCTGGCTATCTTACCAGCTAGCTCACTTCCTATCTATCTACCTGTCTATTATCTATCTACCTGTCTACCCATCTATTTACCTATCTATCTATCTGTCTATCTATTTATCTTTCGATCTGTTTGTATACGTACATAAACAATATTGAGTTAGGAACAGCTTCAGACTCGGACATCCAAACCCTGAACTTAGCAGCTGTAAGAAGCCTCAACGGACGATGTACCGGCACAATACCTGTGGTCTAGGCAAGGAATACGTACTACAAGTTCAGGGCTTATATACTACAGCTTGCTGAAGAGAAGAACCTTACATACACCAAAAACCACTAGAAGCCGTGCATGGCAAACAGGCCATGAAAGCAGACGGTGCCACCACTGTGGCTGCTGTCTTCGCCGCACCGCAAAGCCCTGATAATGGGGCCGCGATGGAGGCTCTGTCTTTTGTCTCGCTGCGGTTGGTTTTTTTTCTATATGTTCCTCGGTGTTTTGCGGGAAGTGTCCGAGATCTCAGTGATCTCAGAACCGCTGCGGAGGCTGGTTGATAGAGACAAACCATGTTCCTTGCATGATGGACTACCTCAGCAGGGGGATCAGGAGCATGTTGACCTTAGGCGGGAAGTGCGACCAGGATGCTTCCATGAAAACTCTGCCATTGATCGGGTCGATAAGGAGCCGAAGTACATCGCTGTGACGCTGCTAGATGTTTAAGCTGTCGACAAAGAATGCAGGGACAGTCAAGATCGTAGAAAAGGTCGTAATCATTCATAGGGAGAGAGTATCTATGTTTTGAGTTTTGAGATTGGTATTTCGAAGGTACTACATAGTAGAATTTTACATTAAGCCCATAACCCTTAAGCCACACACTGCAACCCTTGGGAGTCCTGCAACTAGAATCGATCTAAGCCTGCACTCAGCCCCAAAGCTCAGGGCGCTAAACGAGGCTTGTAAAACGGGGTCATCCCCCCCCACTCCCCTCTCCCCTCCCCTCAGGAAAAGGTTTAATATCGGGGCCTTAATAATTAGAATTGGTTTGGGGGCCCGCTATACTGTAGTTATGATAAGGAACCCCAACTAGTATAGGCCCCTACATTAGTCTCCAAACTTGGCATGCAGGAGCTGAAATGGCTCAAACTACAAACCCTGCGGCGCCACATACCCATATAGTATACGTACACTCCGGCCACAAGTACGTATATGGGGCGACATGAACCCGCAACAAAAACAACCGAAGTCACCGATTTGTCCTGAATCTTTAAGCCTGAAGCTTTGAACCTGCCAGGTGGTGGCAGAGGCCGGAAAGTTGTCCGGGGTGTAGTGCCAAGCATGCGTGTTTTCATTTCTGTATACATGCGTTTTGTCTATGTATGTCTGAGTATGTGTGTTTGTATTTTTTACATATTCACATGCTCTCCGAAACGGTCGTAAGTACATATGCAAAGCTTAAACCCCCGGGTCTTGTTAGATGGGAGTTTCAGGAATTCAGGGTCCTCAATATCGACAGGTTCTCATGATCAGAACACTAAAGGCATCCCAGCTTCAATCAACCTTCCATACACCTTGACAAGTCTGGAACATGATTCAGAGACTGCCCTAGATCGCTAGAGAATCGCGGACGTATACTTTCTACTACCTGGGCTTTATTGCTTTTGGCATCTTCAAGGCTAGCCCCAAAGCACAACGCACCCCGTAGAGGACCCTTCAACCCTGTAACCCTACCCCCTATAGACCCTGAGCCCCACGCATGAAGGAACAGCCCTAAACCCTAAGCCAGTCCCTCAGCCCTTTACCCATAGATCCAAAGCCCGTGTATCCCCAAGCCCTTAAACGCTAAACCCTGTACCCTGAAAGCCCTAAACCTTCAAAAAGAGCTGTACCCTGAGGCAAAGTAGTTCTTTTTAAAATATTTTTTTGGGGGGGTTCGTAAATAAGATCCCCTAGGGTAATCCCAAAAAGGAACCACTATGGGGCCTCTGGGTAGTGTGGTGATGGCTAGGGAGATGGCGAGAAGCGGCCGGCACCAGCCGAGGCAGCGCTGTTTGCATCGAATTTAGAGATTTGGGGTTACAGGGTTTAAAGACATTGGGGGATAATTAGAGTTTTGGGCATGGGTTTGTATCCATTACTACAGGATACCCCCACTTGCTAGGTCTCTCAGGGGGTCCGTTCGTTTCGTTGTAATGCCGTACTGCCACCCGATACCCAAAAAGTGAGCCCATGTTGTGCCTTCGTTACTGGGGATCCTCGTTGGGAGAAGTAAATGCAGTCTCCAGTGTAGTTCCTTTTTGGGGATACCTTATAGAATCCTACTTATAAAATTGGTGAAACTTAAAAAAGGAACTACAATGGAGACTGTAGGTAGAACTGCCCAATGCCAGAAAGGGAGCCCTGTTTCTTCCGTGGTTACCGGGGATCCCAGTTTGGGGTTTAGGATACTGGTTGGGAAAGCAGGAGAAGATCGTGGGGCCTTGAATTGGCGGACCTTCAAGTCAAGTGCTGTCAGACATCTGTCAATGCGAAATATGTCTTAGGGTCCACGTACCCGAGTAGGTGCCATAAGGGTTCAGGGCCATTGACTACATAGGGTATAAGGCTCCATGTCCCCATATAGTATATACTCAGGCCTTAAAGTACCTAACTAGGGACCCCTTTAAGGCTTAAGTATCTACTACAAAGCTACATGGAGCCTTTGGGTAGGGTATATAAGGCTCCATGTACCTATATAGCATATACTTCGGCCGTATAGGAGTCCCTATGTAAGGGCTTTCGGGCCGAAATATAAATTATGTGGGCGAAGGGAACCTTAGGGTAAGTTTTGTTTGGCAATGCTGGCTCCCTGGCAGTGTCCTTCGAACCTCAGTAGTGATACCAACAATTACGGCTACAGGAGAACATCAGCTTTGCCAGGAGTTCCGCGAGATCACCATGGATCTGTCACAGCCTTTAGGCATTAGCTTCACTGACGACGTCGTGGCGAAGGAGTCTTTGTTCTGGGTTGCAAGCTCTGCGGAGGGGAGTATGTCTTAGGGCTTAGGGTTTGGGGGTTAGGGTTAGTTTGGTTTTGGGTGTGGATTCAAAATCGTCCATACCCTTTGCTTTAGACATTTTGTCGTTGTTTGTCCATGCGTTTAGCCGTATGCCTGAAGGGTCTGCCACTAGGGATCGTTTTGCTGGCGGAGGATTCCCATGCAGAGTTTGCCTTGCGGGTAGTGGGTTTATCGTTGGGGTGTAAGATTTTGGGTGTACGCAGTACCAGTTTTTATCTCTAGTTTGGAGTATGCATTTTCGGTTGTACAGGGTACAGGGTGCAGAGTGAGGATGTCAGAAGGTTACTTGGAGGGTCGGGAGACGTTGTAAGTTGTCTATCTAGCTCCTCCTCCTCCTCTTCTTGCTCCTTGCGCTCTAGCTCTTCCTCTTTCCCAGAACCTCAGGAAGAGTGGTCGCACAGTGCGGACTCGGAACATGTCCTGGCGACAACTACTGTGTCACCGTCGGTCTCGCCGACACATGATGACACGGCAGGCCCGAGCAGCTCCACTAGAGAGTTGGTACACCGACCACCGTCTGAGGCATCACTGGGAAGATCGCCGAATACGCCGGATTCGCTGGAACTTGATACACAGGCCTCCCTGGCCTCCATGGCGGTGCCGGAGGCCTTGCCAGGGATACCGGAGGCACCGTTTCTGGATACAGCTAAACCGGTGCACCGCAAGTCTCTCTCTGCAGCAAAGATGCTGGTTCGGGCAGGGCTGCGCTGTGGCTGTCACTATACCTACCGATGGAAATGTCCAGGGAGAGAAGAGACATGTAAGCATCATAACCCCCATTAGGGTCCGTCTTAGGGTACTTATAAGTCTATTCATTACGTGCTTGCAGAGGCCCCGACCCTCCAAGTAGGGTGTAGAGATGTGTAGAGCCTATATCGGCTTCAGAATGCAGATGAGATGTTGAGTCTAGCGCACGGCATGCGGTTGATGATAAAAAATCCTGGATTACCCATATCAGGAATATACCAGAGTTCTCATAGTCTAGGGTCTTAAGGTAATGCAAGATTTATATCATCATCCGTAGTTTTCAGGGTTCATGGTGGAGGTTATTGGCTTAGGGCCACAAATTTGTTGTGCAAAGAGTCCTGAAATCCTGCCTTTTCCGCGCCCCTGGCCCGCCTGCTGAATGTCAGGAGGATATATGGCCCTTACAACATTCAACAGGCACTCGATCATTGAATACTGCGGTCCGAAAAAATCCGCCGTCGGCCTTCAGCAGTGCATTTCCCGTCGTTATAGCACCGTACAACGGCCATACAAGCACAAGCAGTCCCTACAGAAACAAGCTGCGACATCTCCGTAACACTGTCCAAGGTCCAGCATCCACAAACCCGCTGATGCCTGTAAGAAGCCACTTACAGGATATAGATTAGCTATGTGTGTATCTATTTAGATGTACATACACAGGTTCACATATATATATATATATATACATCTATATATCTATATACATATACACATATGTGCCTAATTACATTAATACACATATGTACATACATGTATATGTGTGCATGTATTCACCCATCAACAAGTCTGGGATTCAGGGCATGTAATGTAAAGTTTAAGGATTACTATTACTATTTGGCAGCGACCGTGGCATCCGGATGGGACGCCAGCAGCGTCAGCAACACCAGAAACAGCGTCCGGATCAGTTGAACCGCCAAGAGAACGGGACTGACGGGCCGGAGACTGAAAGAGCTATTTGTGTAGCCGACCTCGATGATCATGCACCTGCATGTCCGGGCAACCTCTCCCAGCTTGTAAGTATTTAAATCCGAGGAACGCAAAGAAAGCGAAGCCAATGCAAGATAGTCCCGCCCAGAAAGAATAAGGACGAGTTCCCCGAAGCCGACGAGCAACTTAACTATGGAAGCCCTCTCGGTCGAGGGCCTTTGGTCCAGAGTACGACAGCGGCACATAAGCAGGGTTTAGGGCTTGGGGCGGGAGGTTTAGGATTCACAGTTTAGGGTGTGGGCTTTAGAGACTATGTAAGCTTATCATGGCCTCTATATTAATCAGAGCTCTAAATCCTGCTTGAAGGATTGTGGGACGAAGTAAGTAAACGAGGTTAGAAATAGTTAATTCCACCCGGTTGTTACTTTTCGAAGTTCCTGAATCGCCAAGGCAAGCTTTAGGCCTTTAACTCCTTATCTTGAAAAGTAGCGATGTAAGACACCCCTCTCAGAACCTTGTAAACAAGAGGGTAGTGATCCAGTGTAAACGACAACCCAATCTCAACCCCCAAGCGTCACACCCTTAAACTACCCCGGAACTTGAAGCCACCTGTCAAACTCCAAGCTGCCCCGACAACCCAAAACTTCTGACGCCAATAAGAGGACCCCAAGAGCACTGAACAAACTCTGAAAACACCCACGCGAGCGATTTAAACTCGATATCCGAAACCCTAAATCCCACAAGCCCTAAACCCCAGCCACCCTGAGCCTTAATGCCCGAACCAATCCCTAAACCCTAGAAACCTTGACCCTAAGCCATAACCCCTAAACACCCTACGAAAGGAAGTGAAGCCCTAAATGCGGAACTCCCAACCCCGAACCCCAAAGCCTAAACCCTAAACCGTAAACCCTGCCCTTAAACGAAAAAAAAAACAAACCCTAAACACTGCGAAAGGAAGTGAAGGAGGGCTCCCAAGCCGAGAAGCTGGGAGTAGGCTTTGGGCTCTGGTTTCAGGGGGTTTTCTGGTTGTAGACACGGTTTTACGGTTTCTGTAGGGTTTAGGGTTGTAGTCACCGTTTTTAGGGTTTAAGGGTTTCCGGTTAGGGTTTCGGGGTTAGGGGTTTAGCAGTTTATTGTTTGGGGTTTTTAGGTTTGTAGGCACGGTTTCAGGGTTTGGGGTTTGGTTTTGGGTTTGGAGTTTAGGATGTAGAGTTGGGTACGGTTTAGGGTTTACAGTGTATATCGTTAAGGGCTTTGGGGGTCTATGGGGCTTTTAGAGTTTACGGTGCAGGTCCGGTTAGGCTTAGGTCTTAGGCTCTACGGTTTAGGGTTTGGGGCTTAGAGGTGATGAGGGTTTTTATGGTTTACTACAGGGTGTAGGATGTAGGGTTGCCTTGGGTATTGATGCAGCGTTCTAGGTAACTTTCCCACCTGTTAGGTTTTGCAGGTTTGGGGTTCACGTGTTGCGTGGAGTTTAGGGTTTAGGGCTGAAGGGTCAAGATCTGAAATCTAAGCACACCCATAGGCTCCATAGTAGTTCTTTTTGGGGCTTCATATTTAGAATCCTATAAGCTCATGCCAAACAGGAACTACTATGGAGCCTACGGGTATGTTGAAGTTTGTCGTTTCGCATCCATGGTGGCCGTAGACCTGGCTTCTGAGAAGTTGCACTTCTTGCACAAGCCCTTCATCAAAAGCCCTAAATTACCCTAGCCAAGGCCCCCTAAAGCCCTAAGCCCTCAACCAGAAGCTCGTAACCTAAACCCCCAAAGCCTGAGCCCCAATTACCCTACACCCTAAACCCTAAACCTTAAACCTTAAAGCCGAAACCTTGAACCCTAAACCTTAAACCCTAAACCTTAAAACCCTAAACCCTAAACCTTAAAATCCTAAACCCTAAACCCTAAACCTTAAACCCTAAATCCTAAACCCTAAACCCTTAACCTTAAAACCCTAAACCCTAAACCCTACTTTAAGTGAGTCCATGGCAAGGGCGGCTCTGGAAGCTCACGACCGCTGCGGGTACCCCGGTGGCAACAGCGAAGGACCGAGGGATCAAGAGGGACTCAAGAGCGGTTTACCCAAAGGCTCCATGTACCCTTATAGTAGAGACTTAAGCCTTAAAGGGGTCCCTATATAGGTATTCTAAGGCCTAAGTCTATACTATAGGGGTACATGGAGCCTTAGGGTTAACTACTTGGAGGATCATGGGTCTTAGTAAGTACGTTATAAGTACCCTAATTTGGGGGTTATAAGTATAGTTACATTAATTATAACCCTAGTTACGCCCCATGACCCTTTAAGTATTAGAGCCAACCTTATTGATGCTGAACCTTATAGTAACCCTTATAGTACCCCATATATTAAGTTAATATGGGGGTTACTATAAGGTCCACCTTCAATAAGGGTTACTATACGGGTGACTAAACAGTTTTACTATAAGACTATAAGGGTTATTGCAAGTTAGGGCTTTCGGGCTTCAAGGGTTTAGGGAGTAGAGGTTTAGGTTAGGGGTTTCTGGCTTAAGGTTCAGGGCGGAGTTTAGAGACTCGGCAGGTTCTAAATGGTTGTTTAGTTGTTTAGGGTTTCTGCGGTTGTGTGAGGGCTTAGTACAGTTTCCTTTGAAGGTTTCATAGGTTTAGGGGTTTGGCGTTGAAATTTAGGGCGCTTCATGTGTTGCGACCTGATTCGTTTAGGCCTTGACGGTCTTGCCGGTCTCCGCAAGTTCAGCAGCCTTAAACCGCGAACTCCAAATTGGCGATTAGACAGTGCCGTGAGCCTTGTATGTAGAATACGCTTTTAGAGTTAGGGGTGCGGTATACGAGCGTAGAGATTGTAGATGGGCTGTATGCATACCAACTCTAATTACATTTGCGATGTTTCGAGTCCCAAACCCCAACCAGGCAGGATGCTCATAATTAATACTTCGCACAGTATCCATAGTTTGCCTAGGGTGCCAAACTATGACTACCCTAAGGCTCAACATAGCTCAACAACCTTGTATAGTATCGTCCTTGGGCCCAAAGGCCTTGCAAGATGAGTCCTCAGAGCCTTGGGGTTATACGGCTGATGATCTAAATCCTGCATTACCTTAATGACCCTAAACTATGGGCAATTATGGTAAATTCCTTATTACGGGTAATGCAGGATAGGTATCATCAACCGTAATACACCCCAAAACATTAACCCGGAATAACCTACCTTCTAGGAACGAATAAAAATGAAATCATAGCAAGGAACCCTAAAAAGGTATGTTATTCAGGGTTAAGGAAAGCTCTAGGCCTAATTCTTACGGCCCCTAATGTAGACTCACAACACTCAACACCCCTGATCTGGAAATCCTCCGAGCCTTAAAGACCTTAGGCCCTAATGTAGGAACCTGATCAAGAAACCTTGGGCCTTTATCAGGGTCCTTTATATGCATCCTACTATTTTGGGGTTATAGGCCGAGGGTTTCTTAATCAGGTTCCTACATTACACTCTGAACCCTGAACCCTTACACCCTAAACCCTGCCTCAACCCCCAAACAGCCTGCATTTTGGTGTTCTTTAGTATGGTTTCCTTGTACAAGTTCTTAAAACCCAGAGGCTCCATATATAGTACCATTATGGAATTTGGCCCCAAAAGACCATCCTTATCAGGGTTTAGGGACCCTATTCCACAATGGTACTATATATGGAGCCTCTAGGAAAGGCTGCAATATGATTCAGGTTCCAGTTAAACCCTACATGCCCTAAACCCTAAACCCTGAAAGGTTCCAGTTAAACCCCACATGCAGAGGAGCTGGTGGCAAAGGTCAAGGGCCTGAAGTCCGAGGGGGCTAAAGAGGCGTGGATTTGGAGTTCTCCGGTTTAGAGCCTACCTTAACCCGGAATAAGCGACCTTTTTCAGGATGTATATAAGGAAGTCATAATAAGGAAGCCTAAAACGATAGGCTATTTTTGTTTCAAGGTAAGGGTCTAGGGCCTTTGGGGTTTAGGGCTTTCGGTTTGGGGTTTTGAGGGCTTGGGTTTAAAAAGCCTTTGGGTTTGGGGCTTAAGTTTCGGGTTTGGGGGGCTTAGGCTGTAGGGTTTGGGCTTAATGTTTCGGGCTTGGGCCCAGGGTTTAGGTATTCGAGTCTTGTTTGGCTGAGACAGTCGGTTCCATTTCTGCGGATGTGAGTGCTTTTCGGCTGTGTGCCTCAAGTCTTGTGCTTAATAAGTTGGCATGTGGATGTTAGTGTGGAGGCTGCGACAGTTTGTCTAAATCATGCGTGCTCTTGTGCATATGTGTGTGTGGGCGGGGCCTGTAGGATGCAAGGTATCTTATGTGACAAGGTCATACGGAAGCATCAACGATTAGTAATGCAAATCCTCAGCGCTCCTCATATCCAAATATTATGCGGCATACGGACCCCGATCCCTAAACCGTAAACCTTAAACCCTATCAACCTTAAATTAAACTCTAGACCGTAAACCCCAAGCGCGACGCAAGCAAGACCGTAAACCCCAAGCCCTAAACCTGAAGCCCAAGCATCAAATCCTGAAGCCACAAACACAAGCCTCTGGAGCCTGCCCCAAGTTCATCCTAACCCCTCAAGTCCGGACTTTACTAGAGCCTTTGCCTGCTGTTGAGGCTTTTTTTTTGGATTTCGGGCTCAGGTTCGGGCTGGGTTCAGGGTGTAGCAGTGAAAGAAGCCTGCTCCAAACTCAAGCAGGTATAGACGGAGTGAAATCCGAGCAGAAGCCATCATTCCACCCCAAACTCTAAACCCAGTACAATGCACACCGAAGGTACGGTGGTCAATCCTATACTATACGGGCCTTAGTAATTACCTCTACTACTTTGGGGGCTCTTGATTACAATTGTAGTATATTGGGCGTCAAGACTCTATTCTGCTTATTAAGGTCTGATATTACCAGCATAAGGCCCTTATATGATCAGCATCCTCTACATCGCAACTCTGGGCGCCTAGACCCTAGCCGTCGAAACCGCAAGCAAGCTTGGTTACATGAGTGTTTCAGAACGGCCCGCTGATACTCATCCCACAACCCTGAACCCTGAAACTCTCGCCCTTCCCAGTAGCTTTGAATGGAGCATGATCCTCAAAAGTGGGTATTTAGAGCATATTAGCGGGTAGTTGAGGAGTCTTTGTCAACCCGAAACATTCGGCTGATGGACAAAATCCTGCATTACCCAGTATAAGGAATATACCATAGTTCCCATAGTTTAGAGTCCTTAGGGTCATGCAGGACTTCGTCCATCAACAGTTTCTTATGAGAACCCTTAAACTTTCGCCTAGTGTAGGAACCTGATTAAGAAACCATATATAGAGAACCCTGATAAATCCCAAGGTTTCTGAATCAGGTTCCTACATCAAAACTCTTTTAAGAGCACCTCCGAAGACTCGCTCCGGGGGAGGTCACACTTCGATTTCTCGTCTCCGGAGGCAACCCACGGGCCTAGGGGTTAATAGGGTTTAGGGTTTGGGGTATAGGCGTTTAGGGTTTTGGGCATGGGCGTTTAGGGTTTTGGGCATAGGGGTTGGGCATAGAGGTTTAGGGTTTTGGGCTTAAGGTTTTGGGGTTTAGGGTGGGGTTAGGATTTGTTGCCGGCCTTTCTTTGGGGGGTAGGGATGCACAGGGTTTTCTATGGCCTTACCGGTTTTGAAAGGTTTCAAAAGGGGTTGCGGAGGTAGTTGATAGGGATTTGCAGCGGGTTTGAGAAGGCTTGATGCCTGAATCCTAAACCCGAAGCCCGCCTGGATCGAGGTGGTCACCACAGGACGCTTTCAGCGTCAGACACCACCACAGGAACACCCACGCCAGCAAAAGAAAGTGGGAAGACCTGGCATATGACTGGCGGAGAAAACTCCGGCAGTAGGCAGCATGGTGGACTCATGTGAGTTCTGAGAGATCGGTAATTCGCCCCCACAGCTCCAGCAACCATCCACTGACGCCCCAGTGGACACACACCCGCACAGAAGGCAGAGCAGCAGGGTTTGTTTGATGGATTTGAATGCGAACTGCTCACAAGGGCTTCCGGAAAAGTTGGAAACATGCTACCAAGAGCAGAGCACTGTTTCGATCTGTCAATGCAGCGCCACCCCATGGCACATTTAGCTGGCCCGAAGCCGTAAACCAGCTTGCCTTCCCTGGTCAGCTATTGTGTTTCTCTTCGAAGCTAGGATGAATCACATGGGTAGTTGTCAAAACTATGGTCCCTTTTTGGGTCCCTATTATGATACGGCACCTAGACCTATTATTTGGGGTACCCCGAAACGGACCTTATTTTTGACAAACACCCACATGAGAAATCCAGAGCCTTACTCGCCTTCATCCCACCTTTGCGGGCCTTGGACTACCGAACAATCCAGATTCCAGCAGTCCATCATCCACGCACATTTTTTTCATTTATGCCCCATCAAAGCGCTCAGCCCCAAATAGGTCCTAACCTTAAATCCCGAGACGATAGGGTGCCCTAATTTTGGGATCGGAGGCTTTGGGTGAGCCTCAGTCAGAATTTATGGCGAGGGTCTTGAATAACAAATCTAACCAAACAGGGTATCAACATTTCAGGGCCTGGATCCCAGGTGTGGTAAAGATCGTATGACAATAAGTCACAATGACATACAACACTTGTTTGGTTTAGGGCTTATGGTAAAGGTTTTATGAGTAACAGGGAAACGCGAGTCCGAGCAAAGCCTCCTCAACCCAATTGCAGTCAGAGTAACTACTTCGAGAACATCTGACGGTGACACCTGGACGAATGCCGAAGCTGAAGCTACCTGAACCAAATTTTTGTCAGATTCCTGTTAGAAGCCCTAATCTGAATTTAAGAGACCGTGCAAAAAAAGAGGTGGTCTTGTAGGTTGAGGAACCGTGAACAATCAGGATTGTTGAAACCCCTACTTTGCTGTTTGCGTGCTCCGATGTCTCAACTGACAAAAGCCTGGCACCTTAGTTCCCTGACCCTAATGTAGTACCCTAAATAATAGGATCCTTACTATAAGGAACCCAAAACAAGGAACCCCTTACTTTCGGAACCCCCAAATCCCAAGAGGAATCCCAAAGCCCGCGGCCAGACTCCGGCGAGACAGCAGCGAAGAAGCAGCGGACAGAGTGAGAAACCTCCTCGCCGGACCAGCAAACTTCGAGTTTCAGGGCTCCTGCAGCATAATGAAGGTAACTATACTTATGGTTACTCATAACCGCAATTAAGGTACTTATAACCTCACTTACTAAGTCCCATGATCCTCCAAGTAAGCCCAAAGCCCCAACCTCGCACCGCCCACTTGTAGCCCTTAGCTTGCAAGCCCTGCAATCTCTGAATCTGAAGATAAGGAGCCTCGGTGTCGGTGAGTCGAAGTTTCGGATGTTCTCGTTTCATTGCCGGAAGCTGGTTTTATTGTCTCGCGAAGCGAGGTTTGGGGTCTAGGGTTTGTTTCAGGGTTTGGGGTTTTGGTCCAGTGGTTTAGGCGCTTCTGACTCCCGGGTAGGTAGTAGGTACAATAATGGCGACTGCAGTTTCTGAGTTGGTGCACGGTTTAGGGTTTAGGGTTGGCACGGGTAAATACATCCAGACACCCTGAACTTCTGAAATGATCCAAAGCCGTTGCAAGTACCCTGAATCTCGAAGTACTTTGACCGGCTGCGGCTATGTGCAGAAAAGGCGCGGTGCATGTCCCCCCCAATCTTCGCCCTCGTAGGGGCCGCAAACCCTAAACCCCAAGACCCCGAAACACTAAAGTAGAAGCCAGAAAGTTTGAGCATCACTATCCTCATGCCCTTAAGGTAAAGTATAATTAGGGGATCCCAGCACTAATTTATCATCCTAAATCAATGTTCCAAGTTTCTGGGGTTCACTATACGTAGACTAGCCCCAGACCCAAACGCACAAAGCGCATATCGGCCCTTGTCTGCTCCGGCTTGGTTGCCTGGACGATCACTGTTTCTCTGGGGGTTCAGAGTTTAGGGATTGTTCTGAATTGGCACGTCGCTTTGAGGGTCATGGTTGTTTTGAATGCGATGCCCTTGCAGGGGTCATGTTGCAGCAAGCTTCTTGAGCTAGGCAGCTAGGTACTGTAGTGGCCTAAATAATAACAAATAAATACTATTTTGGGGGCTCCTTATCATAATTCTAGTATACTGTACCCCAAAACCCTATTCAAATTATCAAGGCCCCTATATTACCTGTACACAGGCTCGAAGTATACAGAACAACAGGATCCAGACCGCCCCCGATTCGAAAGCATGAGGAGTTGGAGCACTTGGCTCCACACACGACGATGACCATCACCACAATTGCAAAAGAGGGTCCATGTCATACATTATTGGGACCTAATTCCATGATGGCAGTATATCCCTCTGGGTACGTATAGACTCCAAACACTATCTGATTGCGTACTGTGGACTACAGCATGTGTGTTAACCCTCATAATTGTCCTTCATAGCTTGGAGTTGGAGGAAGCCGTTCATGCCGCTCTTTGACCACTGGCTCCAGTCACCATCAGTGTGCCGACGTTCGGACTCTACGACGCCACTATGACTCCAGTCTTTCAAACTAGTAGAGATAAGGACTCCTAGAGGGGAGCTAGCTGAAGCCTCGCACACAAACGGACCTGAACTGGTTAATTTCAGAAGCAGTCCTCCTCATGCACCGATGCCTGCATTAATGAATATAGGGGCCTAACTAATTACTAATACTACTTTGCGGCTTCCTTCTTGTAGTTATAGCATAATGGGCCCCAAAACCCTATTCAAATTACTCAGGCCCCTGTATTGCACGTGCAGCTGTCAGAACTAGCAGAGTGTAGGCGGCCTCTGAACCCGCTGGGTCTGTAGTTCCTTCATTCCCTGCATACGCCCAAAAGCTCAATATCATTAGGAAGCTGAAAAGACCTGCGGGTCCATGTGCCCATAAAGTGCATATTTATACACATATGTGTATTCTTGAATATTTTTCTACATTTAGACATTTAGATATGCATACATACACGGAGAAACATATGCTTTGGTCTTCAACTTACACGGACCCTCGATTGGAGCCGTCACTTCAAACTTGGAGCAGAGACGCCATGTCTTTGCAGATTTCACTGGGCCTTGTTCGCCTGGGCCGTGCCCATGCAGCATCGTAAACGATACCCAAAGGGTCCTAAGTACTTGTATAGTAGAAAGAAGGGTTTCAATAGTAGGACAGTAGGACTCGCGATTATTCAAGTATCCCCTACGACGGTACCTAGGAGCCTGGTTGGATGAACCTGAAATCTGAAATCTAAGGTTTTGGGCTCGCGGTTAATGTTTGTAAACATCAAGCCCGGAAAGCCTCAAACCTAAACACCACATCCTCACACCCGAGGAACCCGACCACTTTGGTTTGATGGTGTAGCGGTCGGGGTTAAATATAGGGGCCTAGATTATTACCAATACTATTTTGGGAGTTCCTTATTATAATTAGAGTAGAATGGGCTCAAAACCTTATTCTAGTTATATTAAGGCCCCTATATTGCTGTGCGCCGGTCTCAGGGTCTGGAGTTTAGTAGGCTCCTGAAAAATCTCAGGGTGTGCAGTGTGGAGTTTAGGCGTTAGGAATCCACCTACATTGCTTTTCTTATGTCCTGAGTACACAGCAGTTCACGGCGTCAAGTTAAGACCTATTAGGTACACGGTTTGGTATACTTACATATTTGCAGTTTGAAACTTGGGGTCCGTGGCTTCAAGCAAATGTGAATTCGAGATCAAGCAACCATCAGGTTTATGTTACTATCATATTACTACCATACTACTATCATATTACTAGCATATTACTATCATATTACAACCATTCTTGCCAAGGCGGCCGGGACCCGTGCCCGGAGGGGCTGAAGTTCGTGGATGGCGAGGCCGAAGACGGGAATTTGGGATTCCGAGCTAGATAGGGGGCCTACTTGGAGGATCATGGGACGTAGTAAGTAAGTTTATAAGTACCCTAATTGGGGTTATAAGTATAGTTACCTTAATTACAACCCTAGTTACTAACTCCCATGACTCTATAAGTAAGGCTCCAGGGGCCCAAAGGACCCAATAATCAGGTACTCGGTTTTAGGATAGTAGTTATGTAGGTTAGGATGTTGGAGAGTATATGATTATTGGGTGCTTGGACCCTTAGGGAAAGGGCCTAAGGCTCCAAGGACTCATGTTTCAAGGCTTTTGGGCTCCAAGTCCATAATATGTTGGGCCTTTAGGCAATTTTGAGCCTTAGGGTTATAGTGCTCATTAAGCGGGCCTCTATCGGGTTCAGGGTTTTTGCGTTTAGGGCTCAGGCTTCAGAGGGTGGGGTCCAGGTTTCAGGTTTCAGGCCTCAGGGTTCAGGCTTCACGGTTTAAAAGGGAACTCCAGAAAGTTGGAATATGGATTAATGGTAGGATTCCCTATAATTTACCTTAAAGGGGTTACGGTAATGATGTTCCAACTTTCAGGCTTCTACCTTGGGGTCCAGGGTTCTGTGTTCATGTTTTGGGGTTCAGGTGTTCAGGGCTTCCAGCTGCAGGGTTTCATTTCGCAGTCTGAGATTTAGTGGGGTTTAGGGTTTAGGCGGTAACCATTAAATTGAAAGCCTAGAGATCCTAGAACGTTTTAGATGTTCTATAGGACTCGGCGGCTAATCGTTTAGGAGCTCTTTTCTTGTGGGTAGACGATTTAGCTGTTGGACATTGGGTTTCGGGGCTTGGGGTCACCCGTATGACATTACAACATCATGTGAAGTATTCCTGTGCAATGCTCGGGTCTGCATCGTTTCTGATACCAGTCCTGCTTGTGGCCATGGAGCCATCTGCTATAGAGTCCCAGAGAGGATAGACGGACCGTCATGGGATTCCGGCTGGGATGTGGAGAGTTTGCAACAGGTCAGGTACATTCATGTTCTTCAGGTCCTTCACCGGACCTCATGCCACATGTATGTTCGCATGCTTGCCTGTATGTATATACGTCTGTATTGTGGCCCATAACGGTAGGCAATTGAGACGACCGAAGAGAGGCTAGATGGAAGTTCTGGGTGTGTTGTTGGCAACTTCACTCTGTAGCCTATTCGGGTTCAGCTCAGATTTGAATAAGCAGACGGGGTCTCAGGGTTAGGGTTTAGGGTCTAGTGCCTCGAACCCAAACCCCCAAACCATAAGCCCTTCAGCCCCAAACGAGACAGTAAGCCCAAAACCGCGAGCCCAAGACCACAGGAAGCCAGCAACTTCGGTTGTAGAATCATAGGAGGCCAAAAAGAGTTTTAGCCTATGGGGGTTTAGTAGGGAATTAGGGTTCCCATAATAGGTTTCATATTAAGGAATCCCTACCCCAAGAATCTTAAACCCCCGTTTTGGCCTCCGATCAGAGAAGGGGCTTAGGGCCTGGTTTGTGTTCCCAGAATGAAGATGAGCCCCTCGAAAGCCCAAACCCTGGACCCGAAACTAATCCAAGCAGCCCCTTTAGGGGTTTAGGGTTTAGGGGTTTAGGGTTTAGGGTTCCAATCGCATTCGGAGGAGGGGACCTTCCGTGTGGACGACCTCGCGAACTTCTGGCGTGACGGTCTGGTCGAAAGCGAGAGTGCTGTGCATCAGCGAAGTTCTTTCCATCTGGATACATGTGGGGGTTTCCGAAAATAGGGGACCCTAATATAGTACCTTAAATAGTAGGATCCTTATTATAAGGACCCCCAAATAAGGTACCCCTAATTTTCGGAAACTCCCATGTATAGAGACACACACACACATAACATGTATGCCAGGGTTCTTGAACATAGGTGCACCTGAGGAATGTAGCGGTCCTTATCACAGCGAGCCTTGTTTTCTGGATCTCCACCAGGCACCGTGATTTTCTGAATCTCCCATATGTGCAGTGAGGGTTTAGGGTTTAGGGTTGAAATTGGCCTGGTTTTCTGGCCGGACATGGAACACAGTGCAAGGCCGAGGCCAAGCCACAGGTGCCCGAAAGAATTCACTCACCATACCTTTGTTTTTTTGCTCTCTCCCTCTGTCTCTCTCTCTCTCTCTCTGTCTTGTCTGGCCTCTCTATCCGTCTGTCCATCCGTCTAGGGGTTTGTCGCTGTCTCTGTCTTAGACCAATACCTGCATGGAGTTATTTCTGGTGATGCGACACCAGCTTAGACCGGCAGCGGTATGCATCTGTGGGTGAAGCATGCCTAAGCCCTATATCGCAAACCCCAAACCCTACACCCCAAACCTTAAACCCCAAACCCTAAACCCCAAACCCTAAACCCCAAACCTTAAACCCCAAACCCCAAACCCTAATTTCCAAACCTTAAACCCCAAACCCCAAACCCTAAACCCCAAACCTTAAGCCCCAAACCCCAAACCTTAAGCCCCAAACCTTAAGCCCCAGACCCTCAACCCCAAACCTTAAACCCTAAACACTCAGCCATTTACCGCACTCTGCAGGTCGCCACTCGAAGAATGAATTGCTCGACACCATCAGGAAGAACATGTACCATGAGGCGCGCGAGATGGTAATAATATGCGGGCCTTACTGGTTAGAATAGGGCTTGTTGGGGGGGGGGGGGTATAGTATACTATCACTGTAATTACCACGAGGCGCGCGAGATGGTAATAATATGGGGGCCTTACTAGTTAGAATAGGGCTTGTTCGGGGGTATAGTATACGTTAGTTATAATAAGGAACCCCCAAAACCCTATGCTAATGATTAAGACCCCTGCAGTATCCGGATGTGCACTCATGTGCACAAGAGGTAACACTGAGGCTAGTTTGTATTGCCGTGAGTTCATGTTGCAAGAACTTTCGCACCACAAAGGTCCGATACCATCGAGTAGAACCGATCCCATGCTTGTAGCCAAGTGATGGTACAGCACATCTGCACAGAAATTGCATCGCCGCCATGAGTTCCAGCAAGGTTCAACGGAGTTACAGCCCTATAATCATAGCCATGTTCTTGGCTTGAGCCCGCCCTGACAACTGATAACATCGATTGTGCAGGATGGTGAAGAGATGCGCTTCAACCTCTTCGAGCATTCGGACACTGCTGCCTGAATTTCATGGGGGCTCTTGAGTTGCTCTGCATTTGCTGTAACAGCAGCAGCAGCAGCAACCCATGCAAGCAGGCTCTTAGGAACGCAACTATGCGTATTGAAGATCCTACTCCTAACTCTACTATTTGCTTAAGAACCCCCCCCAAAAAAAATATTCCTTATGGGGGTAATATAGGGATTATTGTTTTTATTTTTGGGGGGTTCTTAAGCAAATAGTAATTGCCCAACGGGACTACAGTGTCACCCGGACCGACCAAGCAGATGTCACCCGAGGCCCCGTGCTTTGTGCCGTTCTCCAATTTTGTCCCTCGCGGCTGTGAAATGTAAATTAGGGGTTTAGGGGTTTAGGGTTTAATAGGGTTTAGGGTTTAGGGGTTTAAAGGGTTTAGGGTTTAGGGTTTAAACCTCATAAACCTTCCTTCAAACCTGCAGCATCGAACCATGAAGTTCTGAAGCAACAAAACATGAGCAAAAGAGACTGAGCTCCACCCGTCAGACATGCGAAGCCCAAAACCCGGTAACTGGCAACCACACTCCACTGCAGAACCCGTTCTCTGCAGAAGTATCTGGTTCATCTAGAACTGACTTGTTGAGCTTCGGGTTTGGTGAGTAGGTTTGGCTTAAGCTTCTGGGTCCTCTTCGGAGTCTTCAATTGGGACATGGAGTCAAAAAACCTTACAAGAGTTAATTTCAACCGAGTTGTGGGGGACTGTTGAAATCGACACCTAGTGTAACATTAACCTATGCAGGTTCTTATCATTAGGGTGCATCCTATTTGAGCACATCTCGTACCCAAATCCCTTCACCCTGAATCCTAAGCCCTCTCATCCGTATGAAGCCCTGATCCCTTGACCCTGAAACCCTACATGGCAGTTTCCGAAAATAGGGGACCCTGATATAGTTTCCTAAATAGTAGGATCCTCATTACAAGGACCCCAAAATAAGGTTCCCCTAATTTTCGGAAGCTTCCCACATCAACTCCAAACCCTAAGCCTTAAACCCTAAACCCCAAACCCTAAGCCTTAAACCCTAAACCCCAAACCCTATAAACCCCAAACCCTAAGCCCCAAACCCTAAGCCCAAAAACTGCCCTACAGCCCGGTACCCTCGAGCTGGAGGAGATCGGTCTTTGTGTGAAAGTGTTTCAGAGCCGCCACAGCCGCTTGGTCTGCAAAACAGGGTTTGATAGGCTGGTGGGAGTTGGAATGCTTTCGTGTGTAGGCCTGGCTCGAATATGGTTTGTGGGTATCTTGTATACTGCACATTTCGTCGGGAACGCTAGGGAATACGATTGAATACTAGTCCCAGTTTGCACAGGATCCCATACTGGGCAGTTGTTTTTTTTCATGACCGTCAACTCCTAGGATGCGGCATTAATTACAAGCAACCCACAACCACGAAGCTCGATACTTCCCGGCGCGCCACAACTATATTTCACGTGTGGGGGGCGTCTGCATTCTTCAGGCAAGTCGGAGGGTCGGGGGACTTAGCAATTAGGTAAGAAGTAGCATTATCAATACCTTGAAAGGAGTTGAGAAAACACGTACCCCGGACATGTTTCCTAGTGTAACTACAAGTGTCAGGTTAGGACAGAACGAAGACTCATCAACTGAACATTTGGCTCAAGGAAAACAAGTGCGATTGCTGTACTTGTTGCTGTTCCTTGCTAGAACACTTGTGTCTCTTGTGTTCTTCTGGTTAACAGCCTCAGCTTTGTTTGTGTTGTGGCTAGGTGAACTAGAGCCTTTACCTGAGCCATAGCCGTCCATATTCTCCACCGTCCTTTGGTGTCGAGAGCGAAATCGCATTGCGTAGGGCATTAGCTGTCCTGCCTCGTACTGATACTCCCCGTGTTGTGCTAGAGCCAGGCCACCGGGTTGAGTTCCATATCTGCAAACATTACGCACTTCAATCACTGGGTTAGATTCATACAACAGTTGCGCGTGCGTCATCCATTGAATCTTTGGACTAGACTTGCAAGGGCCCTAAGGAAAAGGGTTTACAGGCAAGCCAGACTAAGGGTTCAAGAACTTCTCACACTTCGCAGGTGGTTTAGTCTTAGACTTGAGGAGGTACCTGTCCCGTGGTTTCCGCTTCGTGGACCCTCCCCTTGGCCTCAGGCACCACCTTACTCACCGTGTATGCCCAGAGCAGACGGGCATCCGACTGTGTGTGAAGCCTTGCACGACTGGTTTGTGGATCTTTACTATAGTATAAGACTTTGGGTACTTGAGACGTTCTTCCCCACTTACCTTGAGAATCGTAGGAGGTGGAACAGGACTAGAACGCGCTGGCGAAGGATTGTTCGCAGGTCCATTGAATCGTGGTATCGCACATCCTTCTTCTTGTACCGATTGCATCAAATACATAGGGTTACCCAACTCCGATACGCAGACGATTACATCGATTGGGGAATCCCGAGATACTACCCATAACCAAAAGGCTGCATTCGCGCTTGCCTCCGCCTGCTGCGTCGAGGCTGCTGCATTGCAACAGGTAAGAGTGTCTTTGAGTCACTGTGTTGGCATCCCGCCACCGGTGGACTTAATCTGAACTCCAAGCCTGATTTCCCAAACTGCGTCTGCTTAAGCAATTGAGTGGACTTGCAAATCATCCAATCAAGGATTGTGGTGAGTACCCATACACCTCTTCCGAGACCCGTTCACGGTTTAGGAAGGCCTAGGGCTTTGTGGTGTGAAGGGTTTTGTGAAGGGTTGCAAACGGTTTCCCATCACCGCCATCGTCCCAAACAACATCGAAGGCACAACCTGCAGTCCCGCGGTTCTCCCTTTAGGTTGAGGACTTGTGGTTGACTGGGTTATTGCCCTCCTGCTGGCACCTCGCCACAGGGGCAACAATCTGCAAAGCACCATTGCCCGTGCACTGAAACCAACGATTAAGGATTCAGGGTCAAAGACCTGTGTGCATTCGTCGACGACGCTGGCTTGAAGCCGACGGCTTGGTTGGTGTTGTTAGTGGTTGACTCTTGACCTTCCGGTCTTCTAGTCATCGGAGAAACCGTCAAAGGCTGTGAAGTCTAGCGAAGGCACTTCGCACATTCACCTTGTCCGTAGAGCCATTAAAACGGCACGGGGTAGATTGAGGGAAAGCCACTAAGACGGCATTGGGATTACATAGTGCTTTGGGGATGGATCCCACATCTCAGCGGATCATCGCCCTCTCGACGGCCATTGCTGGTGATGAGAGGCTGCAGCGATCTATCGAGATTTTTAGTGGGCTATCTGGAGGAGGAAAGATTAAGAATAGGAGGAGGAAAGGTATGGCCGTGACCATTCTCAACATCTTCAAGCAGCACCTACACACACTTGATACGGCAGAGGCGTCAGCTCTCCTTGTTGTAGTGTGCAGGCGACTTGATGAGATTGAGGATCCTGATTTCCTCTTTGGTCAGTCGGTGCCGATTCTTCAGGACGTTCCTAGCGACTATGCTAATGCATTGGAGCGCGACGACGATCTTGAGGAGGTTGCTGATGCATCCGAGCGCGACGACGTTCTTGAGGAGCATACTGATGCACCCGTGCGCGACGACGAGCTCGAGGAGGCTGCTGATGCATCCGAGCGCAACGCAGACGACGACATCCACGAGGAACCTAATGCACCGGACGCCGATGTTGAGGAGTCTAATGCACGGGGCGTCGTAGCGGATGTTGTGGATCTTTTGGATGAGGTCCCAGTGCTGCCGAGACCTCCCGCTAGTGCCTCGGCCGACTTGCCTCCTACTCCGAAGCCCCCAAGGTCTAGACCAAGAATAGGTGGTGCTAGGACTCCGGTTCCTCCACCTCCTAGGCCTAAGCACTTGGGAATTAGAACACCAATCCCTCCATCTGCAGGACGGGAGGCTCCAGAAGGGGGCTACTTGGTAGTTCGCCCCAAGAAGCGGCCAAAGCCGCCGCAGGACACTTCGGATAACGAATACTGTAATGAGTACCCTACGATAGAGGAATCTTTTGTGCCAAAGGCGTCAGGGGTTTCCGTGGGTTCGGGTTGCATTGGAGATTGGACATCGGAGCAGTGGCGTGAATACAATCGTAGACAGGATCTGTCAACGGCCGCTGCCTCTTCATCTTCTGGTGCCGCTTCATCTACTGATCCCATTCCTGCTACTGCTGCTGCTCCTGTCGTCGATCCTGCTCCTGCTGCGGGTGCCATTTGGGTTGAGCATTTTGCTCTCGACGGTGCGGTTGCAGAGATTCGCAGGCGATCTGCTGCTGATCATATTCTGACGCTGGATTGGCATGGTGTGGCAGACAAGAGCCTTGAGGCCACTTCCCGTGTTTTCTCCTCGTGTGCGAGCCGGCCTGATGTTTTGATGCTCATTCTGTCTAAGACAGAGACGCAGCGATTCAAGGAGGTTACGTTCAGGGAGACAGACCGAATGGCCCGGGCGCACGGCATTACTGTATTGTGCCTTTTTACTCCGCGTGCCGTCGGAAAGGACGGAAAATCCAATGCACTGTGGACGGCGGTTAATGGCTCCGGCGCGACTTTTCGAACGATCACGCATGTTGACGATCGTGAGGACATCGTACGGGACTTCGACCGCTACAATGCATATGGGTGGCGCGGTATCCACATGTCTGCCCGCGAGCGCCGAGATCTGCACCAGCTTCTGACTGATCAGGGCGTTCTCTAAAAGAAAATCTGGTGCCACGTTATCAGTCCTAAATTCCTATCCGTGCGTGCTGCGGCATTTTGCTTAGTGCTGCACCCGGGGTGGATTCATTGGATTGTGATTCGGGTATTAAGGTTCATTCGTTCGGGTTTGTGGCATTGGCATTCCGCCTTCCTCACTGGTTTGGTGCTGCGGCATTTTGCTTAGTTCTGCACCCTGTGTGGTTTCCCATTGGCCCGAGAACCGAAACACTTGCAAACCGAACATTGTGGTGTTGGCATTCTGCCACCCACAGTGGTAACAATGGCGTCTTCACATGAGATGGAGACGGATCCCCTGCAGATCTCTTCCACTTCTGCCTCCGACGAAGCGGCAGCTGCTGTGCAGGCACCGGATGTGTCATTCGGGTTATCGGTTGTAACCGCAACTAAACAAAGTAGCGGGAGCGAGAGCTCACCCAGGAGTGCGAGTAGAACCGCATCCGAGGGTAGGATTGTTGCTGCATCATCATCAAATAGGCCTTCGAGGGCTTCTAGTCCCTACCATAGGAATAGAGTTGCCCCAAAACCAAAGCACATGTATGCGTGCGAGGTTGCAAAGCCTAAGATGGCAACACCTTCCGGTAATCCAGTGACGCTTGGACCACCAACACAGGAGGTTCATCTGCATAAGCATCAGCAGTTGGGTGTCATTGTACAAGGGGTTGACCCTCAGCTTCATTCCCAAGCATTGGCGCAAGCCCAGATTGTTGAAAGCCAGGCAGTAGCATATGTTTCCGAGGTTCAACAACAAGCTCAGGATCAGGTCCAGGCTATCGCCGCCAACATGAGCAACCAAGCCCAAACACGGGTTCAGGCCATTGAGCAACAGGCGCAAGCTATGGTTTCGGAGGTTTCCGTTGAAGCTTCGAGGCAATTAGCTGTGGCAAATGAGACCATTGCTAGCTTGAAGCAACAAAACGAGATGTTGGCTCGTCAACAGCAGGAGCTTTACAGTCAGATCGCAACGTTGCAAAGCATCGTAGCTGAAGTTAAGGCTGGTGCTGTGAATTCGAGTGTACCTCAGATTCCTCAAACCCAAAATGGCGCGGAGATTACTGAAGCGCTTAAGGCCATGGCATCACATGTTGGACAAACCATGAATGAGCTTAAAGATGCAGTGTTGTCCTCGTCCGCCGGAAATTCACCAAAGGCGAAGGGGCGCAGGGATCATAAGAAGGATTCGGATTATTCAGTATCGGGGGTTCCACTTGGCAAAGCTGCTAAAGCCCCATACTTATCCAGTCCCCCACCTTATGCATGCGAACGACAAGCACCAACGAACTTCTTTGATGCTTGGGCACGGTCCTCATCATCACTAGCCAATCGCCCATCATCGAATGCAAATTCTTCACCTGTGTTCACGACACCATTCTCTAGCCTACGACCTTTAGCTGGACAGGCTACAAGTAAAGGTATCGGGATTGGCGCGGGTTTTGGGCCTGCCATTACACCCATTGCTGGGCCGCCTGGCCCGCCACCGCCTC